CTCAGTGATACACGGGGGTCCGCAGGCTGGGACGTAGTCAGCTACGTTGATGGCAGCGGCGACGGCCGCAAGAGCCGGAAGAACGAGCACGCGAAGAGGTGCCATTATTAAGTAACTGGTAGGTTTTGTTGGGTATATTATTCCTTAGGATAAGTAGCGAGCGAAAGTTGTCGAAGCGAGCGTGTTTATAATTCGAAAAACCCTTTTCCTGATATTTACAGGTGAATCACCTTTGCTACCTCAGTATACAGTTGAATATGTTAAATTACAGTTGAGAAACTAGGTGGATGGGAGGAGGGTTGTTTTATAGATGGGAATCGGGATATGTGCACTTTCTTAGAAGGTCGGTAGAAGATGGGGCTGATCTACGTTCGGCGATAATGTACCTTACGGTATAAGGTATAAGTATAGATGATCGACAACGGGACGTAAATAGAGATTGCTCATGACAGGCCTAATTGCCCGAAACTTCAAACTAACCCATGTTCCTTTTCGCCTGCCGGTGCGGTACGAAGAGGCACATGGGAAGTAAAGCTTGTACTATTGTAATAGGTTTAATGTTGTAATGGGGAGATCATGGAATTTGGAGAAAGCCACATTCTTCCCTTCTTCCCTTCTTCCCCCTTAAATTGGTTAGATTGGACAAGATAGAGTTACGTACCCAAGTATACACCAGGTATAATCCAGGAAGGTAGGTGCAGCTTCAACTATGAGTGGTCGAAGTTACAGGGCTTTTAGCAACCAGGCAACTTAGCAAGTCACACCAACTAGAATTAATGACCACTTAATGCGCGGTTGCGTTGTTCACATTAAAGTTTTTTTCGCCCCTGCCGTCCCTGCATTTAGACGATAGAGCCAACCACAGCCCGTATATGACCCGACGTGAGCCAAAATACCTTGTTTCAACATCCCGATCTGGCAGGTGGAGTGCTTGAAACGCACCGAAGGAACAGCCCATACCTTACTCTATTGGCCTAGTGTAACGTGCCATCGTTTACCCCGGACTCACTATTTTTTACTTCTTTTCACTATTTTATCTGAATTTGTACTACCGCTTCATCAATACGGTACCCTCCTGAACCCTCCTAACCTCCTTCGCCTGCTCCATCTACACAGGGAGGAAGCGGGAGGAGTCAACGCCTCCTTATTGGTCCCAGAATAGCAATTTGCGCGCCGCAGACTAACAGAATAAATTCTCTACATAGTCCACTTCAAATACACAACGGAAGAAAGTGACGATCTTTTCTATTGTCAGCTTGTCTCCTTCACGTCTGTTGGATTTGGTTCCCATGTAGGATTATAACTTCTTTCATCCCTCAACTTTTTTTGCATTTATCTGTGTTGCTAGTTATTAACCAGAAAGCCAACAAATTCAGCCATGTGAAAGTATCGTATTCCTAGCTTAGCTCTGAATCAAATCGTGGCTGTTTAGGCTTGGCTCGCATTGTGACAGCCTGTTGGAGTGGTAAAAAGTAACGCATTGCGCCGCAGCCACATATATATATCCACTCGTATACTAACATATTTATATTGTTGTTATAATGGTCAGGTCTTGGTGGAGGTTACATCCGTGCGCCTTCATGCCTCGTAAAATAGACCAACTGATCTTTTTAACAATTCCTAAGCGGCTGGCCAAGAGTATAATAATGTTATAGTCTATACCTCGTATACGACGTCATTTGACTAGCATAATCATAAATAGAAGCCGTCGTAAAAAAATATGTTGCTAACGACGAGAAATGCTATCCTTCTAGAAAAATTACGAGCAAGGACTTGGAGGTACAAACGTTACATGGCTACCTAGCAATGGGCGTGAGGCCAAATCGGGCACCAAAGCAGCAATAACGTTAGGTAATTATCCGCTCCATAAAGAAAATCAACTTTGCCATAGGTCTAGTTCTACCATGGATCGTTCCCAACGACCTGTATGTACGACCACATACCGAATATTGTCTTGGCGGGAACAATTCGCCTTTCAAAAGCGGGGGAAAGGTCGTGATGGTGATCTGTTGGTGAGATTTACTGAGAAGACGACAGAAACGGCAATGAACCCATGCCATCGCCTGGGTGGTCTCACCCTCGGGTCATGTGAAGTGGCCAGTGACGCAGCGATGTACTATTTCGGCCACAAGTAGTAAGGTGATCTACAAAATAACTTCCAGAGGACCAGATAGAATATAGGAAATTAAAAAGTCATATCGTCGATCATCACTCTGACAACTCTCAAGTGAACTGCCTACCTAACTATGGACGTGTCGCCACATAAGTCGGTGAATATTCTAAGAGCCATGCGAGGTCTCAGGCATATTTAGGGCTAGTTCGTATTCTATGTACTCATCCGTCAAATAAGATATATATCTTGCGAGGTAGCCCCGTCTTCTTCCAACCCTATGGCAAAAGTTCATTTCTTCCGTACTATAATCCGTCTTCCCGCAGTCCGTAAACGTTTTGTTATATCTTTGAATAAAACCAATGAGCTACAAGACAAACTTGTCTATCCAGGTACATGTATGAAAGCTCACTTACCATTAGTGGATATTATGTAGTTTTTTAGATAGAATTAGGTACACTCGACGATAAACTACTTAATTTCACAATGGTGAGATTAACATAACGATCATAATCGAAATGGCCTGAAAAGTTTTAACCCGTGGTGTCTTCTAAGGGATGATGGGGTTAGCAGTATCATCATTAGGAATGCTTGTAAGGATACGAGTAGGGGGTTAAAATATAACGTAGTCTTTGTATGAGTGGCTATCAACCTATCTAAGACTAGACTACTAATAGTGGAGAGTATTTCACTTTAGGCACTCCAATGGTCGAGGGAGTCTAAATATACCACTTTTCGAGATAGGATGAAGAGCCGCATGAAATAAAGGGGTTCCTCAGTTCCAAAACACGAATTAAATGATACGACACAACATAAGACGGGCCTCGGCAATAGCATAAGAAATACCATAAAAACATGGCACCTTAACTAATCTGAATTCTCTACGAGATTCTCATAAAACGGAAAGAAAAATCTATAGGTAGTATGTACCTCTTAGGATAATAGGCATGAGTGAGGAGGGGGCAAAAAGAAAAAGGGAAACAATGCGATTATAGCGTAAAGACTCAATATTATAGATGGATGATATTATAAAGTAGCTCATAGAGAGGTAGCCAGACTTTGCTATATTTTATGTCTTGATAGAAGAATTATTAAAAAAAAAATTATAGCGCCTACTTATTATCAAGTAGTCACAGATAATACACCTGTTATACAGAGCATATATAGCGGTCAACACCATTATACAGGTTTATTTAATGTATTCTCTAAGTAACTGGGTAGCTTAGGGCGAGACAGCTTCTTGGTAGGTTGTAATTACCCATACACCTTTTTGATTACCCCCCCTTCCCCCCTATTAGAGATTGGGTGAAGATACGCATAAAAGCCTCCGAGATGTAAGATACGTGTATAATTTTCAAGTTTATGTGCAAGCGTGTTGTTCCTCTAATAAGAATTACACCCCTTAAGCCATTAAGTTGACTTATATGAACCGACTACCACAATCGTCCGTGCCCAATATACGTTATAGAGCCACGACAGCGCGGAACTTACTCGAAGCTTGCGTCAACTTTCCATGAGGACACCTGGCAACATATATACATTTAGCCGACCCAAAGTAGATTTATAAGTCTAAAGAACAGTATAGTATTGTAACAAACGATCAATGGCCAGGTTGGTACGGCCTAGCGAATCATTCAAACTCTCCGCCCTACCTAAGAACTACCACTACCATATACTTACCGCATACTTATGCAGTATTGTTACGAATGATCGCTAGGTCCTGGGGTTCGATTCCCTAGATGGCTACTCCCTATTTTTTTTAATTGGGTTTTTTTCTTTTTTTCATATTCTTTTTTTCATATGTACCTATTTAATTATACTTATAGTAGATTTATCGCCATTGCTTATTAGCAATTATGAATCGTATGATACATAATCTAGTTAGTTAATATCTCTGTAGTATTTCTGGAATTTTAGGTAGCTCATTTAGAATCATAGCATCAGGGCCGTCTTGTGATAGATACGGATAGGACCTTGGCCGTTCGTTATTTGCTTGATATATAGGTGGATATAAGATGTGTTCGCTAATGATATTTCCCTATTCACATATATTTTGGTTTAAAAATCATTTTTTCAACCTTGGAAATATATAATTCTAGTTGATGATGATAACGTCTACGTCTATTATCTGCTATATGCTACCTACCTAGGTGGATACAACGCGCATCTATGGCGCTCTTAGACGTCTAGAGTACTCCTTGGGGGGAACAGAGCCAGAGGATCGCCTGATATAGGAAAAAATATATAATTCCTGTTATTCGGTATCCTTCCCAAAATTGGCATGCGATCTGTTGATGGCGAACAAACGATAAACTTCAGCTGGTAATGTTCTTCCCCCTGACACGAAATCTTTATAGCTACTGGGATGTTATGAAATGCTAGCAAATGCTATATATACGCCCCGAGAATTTACAAAAATAAGGAACACTGCGTGGTCCTGATGCCAGTGACGTATACAGCCTTGCCAAATCTCCCGATCTTAGAAAAGTGAACGTCGTGTAATAATGACCTGTTAGATATGATAACTCCAACCGCAGCCTTCCGCCCGCGCAACTTCCCCTCAATTCCAAGATTGTACTATGTAGCTTTCCCCGGTCAAGAAGTGAGTCGCTTCAAGTGATTGGGTTTAAGTGACTGATTGGAAGGGAACATGCATAATATTGACCTAATTGAACCCGCGTTGGATACGCGTTTGAGTAGCCGGTTGGTGCCACGACCTCCAACCAGATGAATCGAAATCCAGGTATGGTCGCACAACATAGTTATAGGCGGGACAATGATTTCGAGTTGAGGCCTCGAGTTGAGGCCACCAGAAGACCTCGATTCATATAATTTAATACCGACTCCCAATCTTTAGGCAACATGATGGTTTCTTGGTAAACCAGTGAGAATGGGGCGTAAGAAAGCACCTGGAAGGCTGGGGATGGACCCGTACTCGAAATTACTCCATCGATTCTATGAACCCCTTATTCTGGCTAGAGTCCTCGGACAGACACGAGGAACACATACCTCAGCCCCTCAACATGACGAGAGTCAATCTGGACGTAGAAGGCTGCTCAGTAACCTTTCTTACCTTTGCGACTATGATAAGGGAGGCGATACGACTTCTTCCATTGCTCTTGAGGACACAGACGAATGCTACATATTCTGGATCGCGTCAAATACAGCTCGGGCGGGCATCAGGAACTTAGGTGGGTTAAAAGAATTGCTGAAACAAATACATCACATCATTAAGCTTAAAGAAGAGCAAAGGAGTCCCTTTGAGGTTAAATTCACCCGCGCATGGGTAGATTTTGCTGAGAAGAGGGTGAAGAAGGAGGTCAAGTTGCTATCAAGGGCGATAAATGAGTGCGAAGGATATATCAGCAAGGAAAATTCCGTACCAGGTTGGTTCTAACTGCTTACCCAGTTGCTTAAATCAAGCTATATGGGTACTTACACTAAATCTTGCAGATTCCCAATTAGTCAAATGGCTACAGCAATTCATTCCTGCCAAAGGGAGGTCTGTAGCTGACGTTTGCTTCCAAGTTTATGATCAACGAAAGACACCAGAGTTTCGTTCACTGGAGGGTAAAACTTACTCCGGTAATGGAAACATCGATCCTAGAAAATATGAGTCCCTTTTCGCAACAGTACGTCATCGTCTAGGGCGATTGGCTAATCATGTCCGAGCACCAAAGAAAGTTATCGAAGATTCACTGGAATTGGGCCACCTATTCGATGTGTACAAGATTTGCTTGGTTAACCCACCACCGATTAACGAACCACCCAAGGCGGACTCTCTTACCGAGCTTCACAGTATCCTCAAGCGGATGTTGCCGGCCAATGACCCAAAATTGGAGGAATATACAGAGGCTCTAGTATCTCTAGATCATAAGTTCCAAATCACAAGACGAATCCGCGGAGAATATGACAATAAAAACTTACAACTGCGCGTCCACGCGGAGGTTCAGATTCTAGAACATTTCTATACGAACCAACTCCGCTACGTTGATAATGATCACTACATTGGATGCAGCAAGCCAGCATGTTATTGCTGCCACCTCTACTTCCGGCATCACAAGTCTAGTCCCGTGGAACCGGTATCACATCAGAAGATATATCTGAATTGGGGAGTACCGGCGCTGCCCGAGGGATCTAGAAGTCCGGGCTACAATATGCAGCGAGATCTGATGAATAAAATGTTGGAAACGATTAGGAAAGATGCCCTGGCACAGATCATACAGAAAGCAGGACCGCTCACATGGCACCCCGATTCGCTGACGGGGATTACTATTTCAACCATGGCACTTCCTGCGGAGAAAGTCCACCTTGAAGAGAGTGTTCTTGAAAGACAGTTAACAAGTTCGAGTTATGGTGTGTTTCACTATTTATTCACCCTTGAGACTACTGCAAGAAACTAATATACGCAGACTCTATTATGCCGGAAATCATTCCCGTCATGGACGCACAGTCACGGATCGCTGAAGAATGGAGTAGCTCATCCCTCGACAACGATGATTCGTCGACCTGTGAGCATCAAGGGGAGGCTATAAGTGAATTTGACTCCGATTCCGACTCTGATGGCGGGGTATCTTTGTAATGTTGTGACTTTATGGCATAAATTACCTTTTATAGGACGCCATGTGAGGATAGGCTTGGTTGGCTTGCAGCTTCATGCCATTGAAATATATTATCTTAATCTCGTAGGGAATGTCACGTTAGGCCTGCAACTGATTTATCGGAAACGGTCCTAAGTATAATATAAATGTTAGTTAGTTATCTCATATCATCCGATTGAAGATTGAAGATGAGATAATTCGAGGTTAATGTTGGTGTTGCAAACTTTAAGTTTATTAAAAGATCTTGTCATTGTCTTAGATTAGAATCATCAATAAGTCAATATGCTGTCAGTTATACATAGGTACATCAGTCGGTAATATACCCTGTTGGGCAAGGTCCGAGTCGGAAGGCGTGGCCGAACAGGGATATTTTCTTCTGGGGACCTTCTGCCAAGAGTGAGACCGGCAGCCAATTCTTCCTGTTGTGTTCTAATTGGTTCATTATGACTGGTTCTGCTTAAAAAGGCTACGTCTAGGTTCCCACTGATTCCCATTGCAGCGGCGTCTGGGTTGCTATCGGTACCCTGGTCAGGTACACGGATACATCTATATCAAATTGGGATAGTGGAGCTTTGACTAGGTACTTTGACTCGTCCTTGCTTGTCTTTGCTCGTCCCTTCTGCCCTCTAAGCAATAAAAAGGGGTGGGAAAATTTCCCCCCCTTGCTTGCCAGCTCTGCAGCTTTGCGCCCACTTTGATTACCTTACATTGATGTCCAACATCGCAGTATATCTCGTCTCCGATTCCTACACCGATTCTTATCAACTCTACTTATCAACTCTGCAGCTCCTTCAATTCTATAAATCAGTTATATCAACTTGCAGTGAATGTAGCTTACTGAAAAGAAAGAAGTGTGATCGCATTTCCTTGCGTCCTTGTGTCCTTGCGGTACCTACATACATAGCATAAGGAGCATAATAAGCACCAAAATGCGACATAACCAAACATAATTAGGAAGAGCCTTACCGAGATTACGACTAATACTACCTACACCTCTATTCCTTTTATTTAATTATCGATACCGGTATCATCTCATTCCTACATCGCACGACTCGAACCTAAATCTTTCTTTTCCTTTTCCGCTCGTTTGACTCTAGACGCTTGCAATCCCAATCCGGTGCCGCTCATACTTTTTACGCCACTCATCGGTATCTGGCGTATATTTATTAGATAACTTACGTGGGGTTCTGTTCCTGCTGGGAGCTAGCTAATCTACCTAAGGTATCTATCGTCCCACAAGGAATTCTGCAGCAAAAGTAGTCGCATAGCGTAAGAGCTTAGGGGGGAGCATCTTGGAAGATATTCTATTAATCAAACGATTTCACAACGACTTTTACTCCAACAATCCCTAACAGCGCAACCTCGGAAATGTCCAACGGTATCAATGGTTTTCATAAGGAGATTGAAACACTCCATATAAACGGCAATGGAAATAGTACGAACGGTACAAATGGGCGATCTGCGTCAGAGGAGAATGACAAGAAGAAAAAGCGAATGAGTCGCAAGCTCTCCAGTCCTATGATGCCGTCCTTTATGGTCTCGGCTCCTGGCAAGGTCATCGTCTTTGGCGAACATGCAGTAGTCTATGGCAAGGTATGATACAACTTGCTTTCTCAGTACCTAGTTACTTCTTTGCGCACAAGTTCACAAGATATATAGGCCGCTATCGCTGCCTCCGTCTCGCTCCGCTCCTACCTCCTAGTGACGCATCTCTCCAAATCGAAACGTACAGTAACCATGCAGTTTCCCGACATCGACCTTATCCATACGTGGAATATTGACGAATTACCATGGGACATATTTCAACAGCCTTCTAAGAAAAAGTATTACTACGATCTTGTCACATCTCTCGACCCCGATCTCGTAAAAGCTATTCAACCTCATCTTGCAGGCATCTCGCCAGGGAAGTCAGAACCCGAGCGAAAAATACACCAAAACTCCGCCGCCTCGTTTCTATACTTGTATCTGTCACTAGGATCGCCAAAGTCCCCAAGCTGCAGGTATACCCTTCGTTCGACAATACCGATTGGGGCTGGTGTTGGGAGCAGCGCGTCGATTGGCGTCTGTCTAGCTGCTGCTATGCTGTTACAAATTCGTACGCTATCTGGTCCGCATCCCGACCAACCACCTGAAGAGGCTCGTCTACAAGTGGAAAGGATAAATAGGTGGGCTTTCGTGGCCGAGATGTGCATACACGGCAATCCTTCTGGCGTTGATAATACAGTTTCTACACATGGCAAAGCTGTGGTGTACCAGCGAACGGACTATAAGAAACCGCCAACGGTGACACCGCTATGGGACTTTCCCGAATTGCCATTACTCCTAGTGAATACTAAAACACCAAAGTCTACGGCTGCCGAAGTGGCCAAAGTCGCGAAGTTAAGTGGCACGCACCAGGAGCTAGTGGGAACGATTTTGGATGCGATAGACAAGGTCACCAGAAGTGCGGAGAGTTTAATAGAGGAGGAATATTTTGACAACGAGGAAACGGAGAGTCTACGGCGCGTAGGAGAGTTGATGACAATCAACCATGGTTTACTTGCGTCTTTGGGCGTTTCGCATCCTCGCCTCGAACGAATACGAGAACTAGTCGACTACGAAGGGTTCGGATGGTCGAAGCTTACTGGTGCGGGCGGTGGCGGTTGTTCGATATCGTTAATGAAGCCGGATATCCCTCAAGAAGAGCTGGATAAGCTAGAACACAAACTCGACATGGAGGGATACCAAACATTCAGGACGACTCTTGGTGGAGATGGTGTCGGCGTGTTATGGCCGGCAGTGTTGAAGAACGGCCTAGACGAAGATGAGGAAGGCGGCATGGAAATCGATCTTGAAGGTTTCCTGAATGCACCAGGTAATGATGGTGTGGAGAAGATGGTTGGTGTATCTGGGGGTTTAGACGGAGCTGAGAGGGAAGGCTGGAAATTCTGGAGGGTCGAGAGCCAATGATGAGATTATGGAATAATGGGAGGCGGCTTCGGGGAAATAGTTGCTTCTGTGGATCGTAGGAGTATGGACTGCGGGTATACTAACGGTGTATTCGGGGCTCTCGTTCCGGTTATATCTGATATAATAATTATAGAGAAGCATCGATAAAACGAAATCGATAAAAGGGAACATTAATGAATGAGTAGCTCGGTCACGGTTTATACATGGAAAATGGACCTATGTAGGTATCTAAGGATTGTAGGGATAAGTACCTACTAGGTAGGCTTAGGGGATTTACTAGAGCAATATTTTAAGTTTAAATATTAATAAGACTAATCATTGGCCAAACGCGCCTGTCTTTTATAAAAAATAAAAAGTTGGGTATATGAGGTAGGTTCTTAAAGGTGGTTTGTACTTGCCCCTCCATCCCTTTATATGCAGGTCTATAACTAGTGGAATTTTGTTGTCATCAGCCTTCATTTCTGAGTCTCCAATTTAAAGGTATTTATCTGATTTATCTGAACCCCACCATTTATACAACATCGCAGCCATGCCTCCAAAGAACAAAGGAGGTGCTAAAGCCAAAGCACCCGAACGTATATTATTCTCATTTATTTATCATTATTATACGTATGTTTTAGAATGGTTGCTAATAAGTAAATCGGTTAGCAGCGAAGCAAGAATCTCCGAAACAACCCCAGACCATCAAAGAGCTCGAGTGGCAGTGGTACTACGAGACGAATCCTTACCAGAAGTCCTTCGAAGAGCTTGGTCTCCATGGCATGACCCCAGCTGATCGACAAGCCTATCTCAACCAAGAATATCTAAAACCGGGCGCTGCCAAGACCCTCTCCAACAAAGCACAAAAGGAACTGTGGAAGCAGCTAAACGAAGCCAACGTTCCTCTACGCAGCTTACCCCGGCCGCGCGATCACCAGTGGGGCCGCGACAAGAACGGCCGCGACGTCGGCGATTATACCGTTGAGGAGTACGAAGCCCGCGAGGCGAAGAAGGTTAAGCTTCTATTGCTTCTAGACGAAAGCTCAGCTTTTAAGGTCAAGCGCGCGAAAGCCGACGAAAACAACCCCGACAACGAGAAGACATACACTTGCACCGAAGAGGACGTAGATGCTGAAATAGCTAGGCGGAAAGAGATGTCAAAATTACAGTACGACCTATACGGCGCCAAGATGGATCCCTACGAGCTGGATCCAGACTGGGATGACGTCGTACCGATACCTCAGATCGAGCCCGAGGGAGCGCTTGCCGCTATTGCGTATCCGGATGAATATTCTGAGGGTATGTGTAAATGGACGCGGCTTTGCTAGGATATGCTTGGATTATAGATACTAATGGTTTCCCAGCTATGTCCTACCTCCGTGCCGTTATGGCAGCGAAAGAGTATTCACCCCGATGCCTCAGACTAACCGAGCGCATCATATCCTTAAACCCGGCACACTATACCGTCTGGCTGTACCGGTTCTCTATTGTACAGGCTCTAAACATATCGATCCTAGACGAAATCGACTGGCTCAACGAAGTCTCTCTCGCACACATCAAGAACTACCAGATTTGGAACCACCGGCAACAGCTGATGGAACACTACTACCCGACGATCGTGACGGTGCCCTCAGAGGTAGCCGACCTAGCTAACAGCGAGCGGAAGTTCCTAGAGAAGATGCTCCGGCTAGATACGAAGAATTACCACGTATGGAGCTACCGGCAGTATATAGTGCGCAAGCTGGGGATATGGGGCGACGCCGAGCGGCAGAGCATAGAGACCCTGATCCACGAGGACGTACGGAACAACTCAGCCTGGTCGCACCGCTTCTTCGTCGTATTCTCAGACCCGGCGTACGCGACACCCAACTCGCACGCCACGGAGCACGACCCGAAGATACCGGATGATGTCGTCGACCGCGAAATCAAGTACGCCCAGCAGAAGATCGAGCTCGCGCCGCAGAATCAAAGCCCCTGGAATTACCTCCGCGGGGTGCTAGTCAAGGGAGGCCGGAAGTTGGTGACCGTAGGGGATTTTACAGAGCAGTTTGTTACGAAGCTAAGCGATGCGGAAGCAGAGGAGGTTCGGAGTTCGCATGCCTTAGACTTGCTAGCAGATATATACAAAGAGACAGGGGAGCTGGAAAAAGCGGACTTGGTACTTAGACGGCTAGGCGATAAGTGGGATCGCATTCGGCGCGGGTACTGGGAGTACAGGCGGAAGCTACTAAAGGAGGACCAGCGTTAGAGAGAGCATGGCCAACCTGTAGCTTCGCTATGGGGGCGGGTGGTGAAGCTTCATGAAGATTGGGAGAGGGCGATGAGTAGAGGAGAGGGGAGGGGTGAGGGTGATGAATAATATCCTTAGAATAGGTAGAGTTATTCTGAAGTTACTATCTAAGGTATCTACTTAGGTAGGGCCGTTGCGATGCATTTAAATCTATGAATGAAGACGTTGATTTTATGAGATTTTATGAGATTTAAGAGTTGTTGTTGGTACTAGACTTGTTTTGAGAGAGGGTTGGGTTTATCTATCCCCCTTTTTTTGACATATCCTCGCCTTCTATAATCTCAACACCTATGATAGTTCTTTCCCTTCTGATTTTCCTTGGAGATATATGCTGCCTTTTTTTCTTCCTCTCTTTCCTTCAACTGCCTTATGATTCTTGGATAGTTACTTAAGTTGTAGTCTCACAAGTTGGTCACATTCCTAAGCTAAAACCCATAGGTGGTAAAGCGATATGTAGTTGGCGGTGCACCAGCCTCGTTTAGACCTCTGTTGTAATGTCCCATTCACTAGGATAGATGGATGCATGTCTACCACCCACGGCCCTTGCAGAGGCTGCCTTATCTACCGTAGCACACAAAAGCATTGGTAGGTATAACGCAAACCCACGGCTTCGCTCCGTTTGCGGCGTTTGCTTCATCCCTCTGTCCCTCCCTCCCTCATCCAGTTCCCCCCTTACAGAGCGCGAAAGTTCTGGCTAACGATAACCCACTTCCTCAGCCCGCGGGACGCATTCCTCCCCCAAGCCTCCCAATGCGGCACTAGTAGAAACGCCTCGTTGAACGGCTTCTCGAGGGGCTCGTTGTCGTCCTTGCCGGTATTACTTACCCCCCCTCCACCTCCAACACCTCCCCCTCCCCCTACAGCCGCCCCCGCCCCCGTCGCATCCCCAACCTTCCCGTCCCCATGCCCCCTCCCATACCTCACCACGCCGCTAACCTGAACCGCGAAGCTCAGCCTATCGCCGTTGCGCACGGCGGCGGCGGCAGTAGCGTCGCGGCCAGCTCCAGCTCCAGCGCCGAGTTCCGGCTCGCCGATCCGGAAGCACGGGTTCACGGGCTGCGCGTCGAAGGACGCGATGTCGTAGGATACGGGGCCGCCTTGCGTTTCTAGCAACGCCTCGTACGCGGACGCGTCGGGAACCAAGAGCCCGTTTATGCTGATGTCGGGCTTGACGCCGGCGGCGGTCAGGCGCGCGGATGTAGAGGCGTAGAAGTTGTTGATGGGGCGGCGCTTGCTGAGGGCTTCGTAGAAGTGGTCTACGAAGGCTTGGGCGGCTGGGGGCGTGTTAGTAAGGGGGGTTGTGAGATGAGATGAGATGGGATGGGTGAAAATGAGAGAGCTGGGTTGGATAGATTAGATTAGATAGGTAGGTTACCTTCGCTGGCTACTTTAGCCTGAGTCTCTGGGCTTGGTAAGGCCATTTTTGACGGAGCTGGAGGATCTTGATGAGATCTTCGCCTCTGGTCTGGGTTAGTGGTTTGCGACCCTTCGCTCTTATAAGCGATGAGCTGAGTTGGGTGGTGGATGTATTTATTGAGCTAAGCCTAGTTTTTGATTTCACAAATTACTAGGATTTGGGGTTGTGAAAAATAAAGAGTAATTAAGGCTTAGTCATTCGATGTTATACAATGAGATATGAGTGTGAACTTTGGAAATTAGACAGGTTGGAGTTGTTAGGATTATGTTATTGAAGGTTTAATCGCAGGGACGACGCTTGAGTGAGTGAATCAAAGGATGAGATATCATGAAAACAATCAATTTTGCCACACTGTGAGATCCATTCCCTTCTTGGTTGTAATAGCTGCTAAATTTAACTAGCAGTACAGTCTTAGTTACACAAGTAAACACTGTATACGTATCTCTCAGCAAGAGCAATTGCCCATCGTTTGCATCGAAACTTTCTATACCTTTTAATATTCAAATTGTCCATCTATCTTATCACTTACCTTACAGCCAAACCCTCTATATTCGACTTTGTGTAAATTCCCACTTCCTCCATAGGCCAAGTTATAAGATATCTATACTCCAGCGGCACCAACTCCTCAATCTTTACCAGCAGCGGCTTGACCCTTTCCTTAAGCCACCACCTATCCTCCACCCGGTGCAGTAAAACACACCAAAAAGCCATTATGAGAAGCGCCGCCGGACGTCTTGCGGCGAGATCATCTCCGATCCGCTGCTGGTTCATAAAAGGCGGGAACCTAAGAGCCGCATTCTTCCGATTGAGCGCCGTGTCCGCCTGGTCCGACAGGTAGAAACTCAGACGAAGCTTACACATGACCTGCGCGTATTCTCCCTTATGCTCGGGCGCGACGGGGAGTTCCTCGCTCAAACCGAGAAGTCTCGCGTCTGTAGGTCCGCCGCTCAGCTCTTCGGGTTTAGGTGTCGATAGATCTCCCAGAAGCACGCGCAGAGGGGATTTCATAATAGTAGGACCGTGCTCCACGGTGACTGCCGCAGTTCCATGGATTAAGACCAGCCATTCGGCTAGAGACCCGGTCTCCTCGTTGAAAAGCAGCGACAAGGCGTCTTTTGCGGCGGCGAAGTGATACGGTATAAATAGACACGAGCAAGCAAATAGCGGGAGGGCCGTCTCCGCCGAACTAGCAGCCAGGGCTTCGCGAAATAGGGGGATAGCTCTGGCTTGATGCTCGGTAGCTACGCGCTCTAAATATTTCGCGTGTTCCGGGGTGGCAGATCGGAGGTGCAGCGCCGCGACCGCGAGGATCTCATGGAGAAGATAGGGATGCCGTGTCGCGAGATCGGGGATGAATTCTCGCCAGACTGCTATCGATGCGCTATCATCGGCCTGCGCGGTCGATGTGGACTTGATAAAGTGTTGATACAGACCGAAGTCGGTAAAGGTAAACGACGGCTCCTCGTAAGATCGTACTATCACTTCCGGCGTATTTGAGTCCGGTCTATTATTCCCGGGTGACGACGTCGACACCAAGCTACACGGAAGCTGTCTCTTGGCGCAATATGAGCACGGTTGCTTCTCGTCGCATTTTACCTTTTTGATTTTGCATGTGGTACATCCGGCCCGGCTCTTGTGGTGATATCTCCGGGACGAGGATGACATTTTTGGGTTAAGTTCATCTCTGCCGCATCTTGGGAGGTTTTCATATATTAAAGTTATTAAATAAAGATTTCTATCAATATTCTCACTGTCTATCAGAACATTATACAATGATACGTACAAGGGTTACAATCCTTACATGTAGAGAGGTATGATGTTTGACATTTAATTGGATCGGGTCTCTTTATGCATTTACTAAGAGATATTATACGGAAAACATCCGTTTCCCCGCCGTCATAGTAATAACAGCCCGAAAACCATCAAACTTAAAGTGAAGAAGGGTTTCTAAGTGAGAATGGTAGAGCGGTTAACTTATAGACTGAACATGAAAGAATATACTCATTAACTACCATTGATTCATACATACAGGTAGGCGTTTAAAATGCTACTCATTACTGACTATCTCTAATCGCTCTTCATGACGACTCCTTGCGAATATGCCAATGAAAATGTCCTGAATAACCTTTTCGGGTCTGCTATCCAACGTTGTACCTCATCCCAAATTCTACGTAATCCTTCGCCGCCGTCGCCTCCGAACCGGTCTCTCAACTGCGCGTAGCTATAGAATCCATCCATCCCCAACTGTTTTAGAGACGCATATGGGCCGTCACGTACGTAGAGCGATTTCGATATTTGGACGGAACCTTTCTAGCTATTCCTCTGCTACACCCCAAGCTTCATATTTAAGACAAGGGTGTTTGAACAATATCTAGGATACAGAGTGAGTCACTAGAGCTATATGATTGCCTTAAGGAGACTATGGCTATCGACAAATGAAGAATACACTGATCACAACAAGCAGTTATGCCTGCTTTAGAAGCTTGAACGTCGCTGTCTCCTAGATCGCATATGGCCATATTATTATTAGACATTTAATATCCTTCCTTGTATAGCCATACTAGGTATGTGAATGGTGCCTTACTGAGGTCCGAGGCCTGTTCCACGAAGCTATTCTGGAAGTCCCTACTCGGAATTAGGGCCAGGGGAAAGGTTATGGTCGGAACTTATATTTAGCAATCACCTAAGTTTGTCCTCTCTGAATATAAAATAGCCAATTTAGGGGAAAAAAACCTTTAACACACCTTTGAAGTGTTGAAAATGTGCTCATCTCAATTTGCCAACAGTAATATAATCAACTCGCCGTTTTCCTAAGAGACAATTCGTTTTCTTCGCATAACGGTATGTAAGTGGCAAATAGCTAAACTAAGCTACAGAAGTAAATGTATCAACCATTCTTAGTTCGCCAGATTTAAAGTTAGTGGAATTCAGGCCCCATCTTACGCCTTGAATTTAGCTCTATTCGTAGAGCATGCATAGCCAGTAGGAAGAGAAAGTAATTTGAAAATTTCGATTGGAATTTATGGTTGTAGTTGTAAAGTTGTAAAGTCCTAGGTTAAGTCTAAGACTCGGATCTGAATAACCTTTATTTAGGAGTGCCATCCCACTTTCCTCGTCCGTACCTTCTATCCAACTCCCCATTGAAAACTTTAAGACATCGACTACAAATGACGTAGTAAACCCAGTACTGTTATATTTATATCAGTTAACATATTTAATGATGTATTTAAACATATATAAGAAGGCGCTTAGATAGTCGTCTAAACTACCTATTCATTACCAATAATAAGCTCGTAAAGATCACACCCAAGCATCGAAACGTAGCTAGATCCACGACTCTCGATAGCGCAGTGTCTAAACTAGTCTTGTGAGTATATCCAATACTACTAAGCAAGCATGTGCTGCTATAATCGCGTTTCCCGTGATCAAAGTTCTGGAATATCCGTGGCGAGTGCTCATTCGGTATAAGCTACTTGCTAGATCAACGCTAGATAGCGTAGTGCTATTCTTTCTTCCTCTTCCCTCTTCCCGTAGTAGAGTCGCAAGATGTCTCGATCTCGCGCCTATCGTCTTATCTACCTATAATCCTCGCATTTCCCTCACCATTTTTAAACGGCTAATACGTCTAGATCTTAAATGCGGGTGCCCCGATACTGGAGCGACGTTTATAGTCGACTCTACAATATATCGTTTCTAGAGCCTTATGATTTCTATGCATGTTCGGATCGTGGCGTTTATTTCGGGAAGTGCCATAGGCCTAGTCGTTCCACCACGCTGTATCCCATGCCTAAGAAGTCGCACAGCTGGACCCAGTTCTCCGCCTGCGAACTCGCCTTTAGCGCAAGCACATCCAGCTCTAGAATTTTGCGAGAGCGCTTTTCCTTGGCGAAGAAATTCCGAGCCGAAAGCACGTAATCTTCTTCCCCTATACGTTGACTACCTCGTGGTAATATGAACTTAGCGTCGGGTTGTGATCGAGCGATCTCTGCGAGCTGCATGTTCGACGTTACTTCGACGTAGGTGTTTGATAGCGCTGTCTGGTCCAGTATGTCTGATTCGAGGTCTAAACGACTGTATCCTAATGTGTTTAAGGCTTTACTGAGAGCGATTGTTGCTGGCGGCGACGTGCTTAGGATATAGACGGATGGAGATACGGTGGTGGTGTTCGAGGCGAATATGCTCGAGGCAAGCATGCCAAGCTCGAATGGCAGTGTGAACTTCATAGTCGATTTAGATCGTGGATAACGATTGACTTTGAATATCGTTCTATTCGGCGAGCGTGTATTTCCTTTTTTTTTAAGGCAAAAAGAAATAAACGTAGCCACTGTAGAATCTGGGGAAGGGTATCTCTATATGTCGACCAGCATAAGGGGGTTTATTTCTACGGGTAATCTTATTATAGGATAGGGTCTGGTCCCATGGCCCACCTGAAACTGGGGAGAGTAAAAGTCGGATAGAACGCTAACATACGTGGTGTTATCTCGTATCAGATCCATCGTTGGAAATACTTAGATATTATGGCCCAGTACGAGGTGTTCGGTGTCCAGATCTCAGGCTGTTATATTCTGCACCTGGCCTCAATCTGTGTTATCCCCCTAAGGCACTGCCACAGTAGACAGCTTCAAAGGGGGAATTCAAAAGCCAATTGGTCCCTTCGTTCTTCATATTGAGAAGAACAGATATTCGGACACACACTTTTCAAATTTTTGTTGCGCTTCGGATAGATCGTCAGGGATAGTCTAGATTTGTGTCCGATACCTTCCCATAACGGATGGTTTAGGGGTCGCGTTGTGCAGGTTGTGCTGTAAAGAAGCGGGACATGAATCCGATTTACTAATTTCAATTCAGCTCAGCCCCGTTTCTCGCTTCATCGCCCTCAGATATTAATAGGGGTCTGTGTACCTGTGTACATGCAGGTAAGAGTCCGAACAGGGATCATTCTATCGAATCTGGTAGCATATGGATATGATTGGTTGAATCGAAAGGATTAAGACAAACTTTAAACTAGATTTATGGAGATGCACCGAAGTGATGAGGTACGTACTGTACATATAAAACCACCTGTTTGGTTAACTTTGTCACAACCTTAAAACATGCCACATAGGAAAATGCATATAACTTTTAAGAATTTCTTTATCGATCCATAAGCATTATTTCCTTTATATGATTACTTACATGGCACATTTATTTTTAAATAAAAGCAAAATTAAAGTTAAAAAAAAAAGTGTTAGTTAACGGTAGTAATTAATAACATTACGGTTATATAATAAAAATGTAAAAAATATAATATTATTAACGTATAATATCGTATAATATTATATAATACCGCATAATTAATCAATTATATGTATAATTAAAAAATGGTTTTTTTTTATCCGATATATTAATATTAAATTAAAATAATATTAATAATAAAATATTATATTTAAAGTTATTTTACGTTAAATTTAATTAAATTAATTAATTTTATTTTATTTTAATTTTTATTTTAATTTTAATTTATTATTAAAACTTAAATTTTAATTATATTTTAAATTAAATTATTAATTTTATAAATTAAAATAAATATTATTTATTATATAAAATAAATATTTAATATAAATAAAAGTTAAAAATTTTATATTATAATTACATAATTATTTAATTATATAATGCGTATTATACGCATTGTTGGATAGACAAGGATGTTGCATGTAACACAAAAAGGTATCATATATATGATAGGTAAAAGTTGTTATTGATGATGTTTAATACGTATTTTAATCGTGGATTAAAATACGTGGGAATATATATAAAATGAGTGGGTTTATCCCACCTAAATTACATGACCAACGTTCCCACACGCATATTACGTATTATATGTATAATATCGCATAATTAATTAATTATACGTATAACTTACATTTTTATTATATAATAAATATTAATAATTATTACGACGTTTTATTTTAAACAAATATTATTATTATACTTACGTAAAAAAATAATTTAATCGGTATTCCCTTATTTTATTTTAACTTTAACGCGTATTTAAACTTATATTTATTACATCGAAATTATTACATATATAATAAAAATTTAAAAAGTATTTCGAAATGTTAATTTAACTATTTAAGTAACATACCATTAATATACCTAATTTTACATACAGTTGCACATAATACTGTATAAATCGGAAACATTACCTAAGTGGTTAGGTAACGATTATGTATAACGGGTGGCCAGCATCGGCAATCGACGGGTAACCGAAGCCGTTCCCCAGTTTCGGATCCCCGTCGTTTCCGTAAGCCCTAAGCGGACACCCGTAGCTTTGCATTAGACCCTGGGCCTTATCAACGGGACCTGCAGTGTTACCTTACCCCATGTTCCCATTGGACATAATTACGCATACGCCTTAATGTCATAGCTGCGTATAGCTTCGTCCGATACAGGAAGAAAGTATAATGCTTTTATAGGGATTTAATAGACGGTGATGGAAGAAATTAGATTCGTTCTTGAGAGTGTTTAAGAAGAAATTTTGCTTATATTCTTGTAAGGATTTTCGGGAGAAAACTTATTTTATAATATACAATTCAGACGAAGTAGTGCTAACATCCATCTGGATATCATCGTTATTAAGATAGACATACAAGAAAGCGCGATAACTAGGTTCTAAAAGACTATACATATATTCATCTGATATTTATTACCAATAAACCCCCCAAGATGGGCTCCTGCAATCCAGAGCCTCAGAAGCTCTTCATAGAGACACCATGTATACCATCAATAGCTCTCTCACGAGCAGCGGGCTGGTCAGGACTCCTATCTTTACCTCCCTACTCTACTCCCACGTCTGATCTTAACAACTCCAAAAACTAACACAGAAAAAAACAGTAACATCTTCCTCAAACTCGAAAACCTGCAGCTCTCGGGGTCGTTCAAGTCGCGCGCCGTAGGAAACATGATGTACCAAGCGATGCTTGCCAAACCCGCCGGCAACGTGCACTTCTACTGCTCGTCGGGCGGAAACGCAGGCCTGGCGTGCGCAACGGCGGCAGCGACCCTGGGACAGCCGTGTACTATCGTCGTGCCGATGATTACTTCCCAGCACATGATTGAGAAGATACGACGTGAGTTATTTACTTATTTGTCTCTAATTAAGGATTTATATTATATTTGGCGATAGATATGTCCCAGTCCAATCCCCCCCCTTTAAGAATACCAACGCTAGGGAGATAACTAGGTACCTGTCAGCTAACCTCGACACACCCAAACGCAGTCCTCGGCGCCAAAGTCCACCAGGTAGGCACCAACTGGGCCCTCGCGGACGAACACCTACGCACCGCGCTCCTCGCCCACGACCCCACCGGCGTCTACGTCCCGCCCTTCGACCACCCGGACATCTGGGCGGGCAACAGCACCATCGTCGACGAGCTCGCCACGCAGCTGCCGGCCCACGGCGTAGCGCACATCGACGGCATAGCGTGCAACTGCGGGGGCGGCGGGCTGCTCAACGGGATCATGGCCGGCGTGCAGAAGCACTACACCTCCGCCGGGGCAAAAGAACCGACGGTCCTGGCTGTCGAGACCGTAGGGGCGGACAGTCTGAACGCCAGCGTCAAGGCGGGACAACTGGTCACGCTGCCGGGGATCACCAGCATCGCGACTAGTCTGGGCGCGCCGCGGGTCGCGGAGCGCACGTTCCGGTGGAGTCGGGAGGCGCGGCATCTGGAGAGCTTGGTGGTGACGGATGCGGAGGCGGTGATGGGGTCTGTGCGGTTTGCGGACGACGCGCGGGTGTTGGTGGAGGTGGCGTGCGGGGCTACGCTGGCGACGGTGTATAATGGGGACTTGAGGAGGGTTGTGGGGGGCGAGGGGATTAGCGACGAGGCGTGGAGGAGGAAGAATGTGGTTGTGATTGTGTGTGGGGGGTTGAATGTTTCGCTGGAGATGTTGAGGAGTTATGCGGAGACGTATGGTGTAAAGTAGAAGCGTATATCTCGCTGATGAAGGGATATGTATGGTAGAGTTGGAAGTGATCTTCATCGTCAGGGGGGTTCATACATACCTACCTAGGTATATAAGGTATACAGACAGGGCAAACAGGACGCATATATCGATATATATTGGGCTATAGCACCTCACCTCAATATCGTAGACCTCACCATCCATCCACTCTACTCCCCCAACTGCGACCTATCATAAAACAACTCCCTATACGTATCCCCCATCACAGAAGAGCCAGTCTTTCTCCACTCGTCCGTCTCCCCAAACCCATCAAACACCATCTCTATCTCGCCGAAATAGTTCGCCTCGCCTCTCTGCTTAAACCCAAGGGCTTGGAACAGCACGATGCTAGCTTTGTTATCCGCGTTGATCTTGGCCACGACATCTTTCAGCACAGGCTTGCTGTCGAGAGAGCCCGTGTACTCAGCTAGGATGCCGTCTAAACGCCGTCGCACAAAGTACAAGAACGTAGCGACGGCCGCGCGGCCAAGACCCATGCGCCGGAACTTGGGGTCCGCGATCATTATGTCGATTTCCGCCGTGTAGTACGTCTTCGCTTCCTTGTGTCCCTGCTCTTGTCCCTCCTCATCGCCATCCCAGACGCTCAAGAACAAATTAACATCCCCCACCATCCTATCCACCGCATCTCCTACTCCCGCCATCACGACCTCCCCAATTTCATCCGTACTCGAGACATCATCGTCGCGTAGTAGTGGTGCACACACGATAAACGTGAGTTTATCCCGGGACTCGCGCCACGACGCTTGGTTCTCGTACTCCTCGTCTAGCGAGAGGCGTTCCGAGGCGGTGGCTTCGCGGATGGACTGGAGACTGTTGTTAGCTACACTTTTTCTTGCCAAGAAAGGGGGATGAAATAAAGGCTGGGACATAGGTAAATCGAGCGAGGCTTAAAGAAAAGGAGAGAATACTGGATCTTCCATCCACCTGTGGTACTGCTGTACATGGTGCGCGTCGTACGGCACGAGCAAGACCTTGCTGGTCGAGATGGCTGTTAGAGCTACTTGTTAGCAGTCATTTGTTTTATGTTTGATATATACCTAGGTAGGAATATAATTATAAGGATGTGGTGGTGGACGTTAGATATAACCCGCCTTAGATGGCAGCCAAGTGAGATGAGAGAGGTAGGATAAAACTCACCAATATTTTCATTCAACCTCATTTCTATGTTAAAACTGTGTACTTCTTAAGCTATATATGTATGGTCAATGTCGCATATCTTTTTATATTCATAAATTTAATAACATGAACTTAGGTGCGTATGATTGATGAGAGAAAGTATGGTGGTTTAATGATGTGAGGCGCAAATTGTTTTATTTTAGTCACATGCGTTTGTTGACATTCTAGAACTAAACTATCACCGAAATAAAAGACAAATATTATCATCGCAACGAGGTCATTAGAGATTAGAGTCTTTATTAGACCTTTATAATATTAATTCAGAAATATATATAATTTTACTTCATTCCCTCATAGTCATTACACCACCACTATAATGTCCAATGAGGTATATAAAAAGGGGAATTGCCATAGGGTATCTATCTCAGCTTTACATATACAACAGGGCATATATACAAATTCGCACATTTTATATCTAATATACACAAAGCACAACGACACCTAAGTGCTTAATCCTCAACAGGCATCGGCGGAAACAAACTACTCTGCGCGCCTTCGCCTAGCGGTATAGTTGATGTCCCATATGCATCATCCGCAAATAGTCGCGCATGCTCAAAGGTCCTCCGATCGGAACTAACACCCAGTCTATCCAGCAGCTCGCTCGACTTCTCCGGAATAAACGGCTGTAGTAGGATACCCGCGACACGCACCGACTCCGCCGCAAAGAAGATGATCTGCTCTACAGCCACCGTGTCGCCTTCCCTGCTCCTGTCCCACGGCGCTGCTTCTTGCAGGAATTTATTTACCTGTAGCACATATTAGGACACTGCTGTGAAGATAGGAAAGAGTGGCGGCAGTGAAGATCCCGAGACTCACCTCGAACACGAATTCCATAATTTCCTTCAACGCCCCCCTGGGATTTAATTTATCCATATGACTCGAGACCTCCTCTACGATAGACTCCAGGTATTTCCTCTGGGTTTCAACCGCCTTAGGGACCGAATGAGACTGCTTCTCGTGCATAGATATCACCGCGTTCCTCACGCTCCAGTTCTTCGGCCTAGTAATTCGATTGAGCAGGTTGCCTAGACCCCCCTGTAGACCCTTCTTGTACTTATCGACGATAAACTCATTGCTGTAGTCTGCATCGTTGGCTATCGCAGCGTTATATATCAGGAAATACCGCATAGTATCCACGCCCCAGCGATCGAGGGCGAAGAAAGGGTTCACCACGTTTCCGACCGATTTAGACATCTTTTGTTGGCTCATCAACCAGTGGCCATGACTGAGGATACACTTTGGTAAGGGTAAGTCCAGGGCCATGAGCAGCGCAGGCCAGTATATGCTATGGAAGCGCACGATATCCTTTCCGACCACATGGACGTCAGCTGGCCAACCTTTTGTATGTTCGGAACCAGGAGGCCATATGGGATACCCTGCTACCGTAATGTAGTTGATCAAAGCATCAACCCACACATAGATGGTCTGACTCGGGTCGTCAGGCACAGGAATACCCCAATCTAGACGGCTCACAGGACGAGATATAGATAGATCTTCCAGATTATTCTGAACCCAACTGATCACCTCGCCGAAGCGATTGCTCGGGACAACCCAATTCGGGTTATCAGCGTAGAACTTGAGCAATCTATCTCGAAAAGCCGTCAGCCGGAAATGGTGATTCCTCTCCTCGGTCCATTCCACAGCACTACCCGTCTCAATGCACGCCATAAACGGCTTTCCTGTCACAGGCGACACGCGCTTCTCGACCATAGAATCGGGGTAATAAGTCTCGTCGCTTACACAATACCACCCCTCATGCTTGGTCTCGTATATATACCCGCTCTCTCTTAACCTAGCCCAGAAGTACTCGACCGCATCCTTATGTTCTAGATCTGTCGTGCGAATGTAATGATCGTACGAAATATTAGCCTTCTTAGCTAGATCTTTAAACGTTTCCGAGTTGGCATCGCATAGTGCCTTGGGGTGAATATCTTGTAGCTCGGCTGCGCGCTGGACCTTCATTCCGTGTTCGTCGGTTCCCGTGCTTAGTATTGCCTGTTTGCCTTTGAGGACTTGCCATCGTTTGAGCACATCTGCTATTAGCATACTATATAGGTGACCGACATGAGGAGCTTCCGGATGAACTAATTAGCATATGCTTGAACTGCTACATACTGCTGACATAGGACTCACATGCATTGACGTAGAAAATGGGCGTCGTCACATAATATGGTTTGTCCTTAAGCTCTCTAAGGGTTGCGCTGCTGGTGAACAGCTTTCGCGGGGCTTTGTTGCTTCTACATGACTGACATATCCATCCGATGCGCGCCTTTTGCCCGTTCCTAACTGTCGATAATTGCCGGCTCAAGGCCACCCAATGGCTCTTCATGACCTAGAGGTTTCCCGTCTTTTGCAATTGTGACGGAACGCTATTAACCCATTAGGTATTTGTGAAGGTGCCGAGTGTCAATACATTTTTGAGTGGGATGATTAAAACATCGGCGAAAATGGAATATAACACCGATTAAAATTTTAGTGGGGTAATTTAGGGACTACTGTTGGGTTCCGATCTGTCGGTTCAATGCACTTAGACGGTATAAGGTAGATACATCACTTTAGGTAATGCACGAAGAAAATACGATGCTTGTGAGAAGCATTCTCATAATTTATGAGAATGCATAATTACGTCTTGTTCGTGAATCAAAATCATAGCTACCTAGCTAAAAACACAGCAATATAAAGCAATCGTAAACACCTCAACCGTGAACACCTGTTCGCAAATCATGCCATGCATCGTCCGCCTCAAAAAAACATATGCGGAGGGGTTATCATTAACGATTTTGCCGCCCTAGGGTCCCTAATATAGGGGCCAAATCATGCCTCCCTTAACTTGCCATAAAAGGCCATCCTATGCCGCCAGTACGAACCTATCGTACAAATCGACGATAGAAAGTACAGTAAAAACCGAGATCTCGGTCGAAACGAAGAATAATTCTTGTCAAAGACCGGAACAACTTAGTCAAAGTGAGACTAATGTCGCCGATAGATAGGCTAGAGAAATCGAATTAGGGGTGTATATGTATCGAATCCAGGCTTAGAGCCAAGTCGAAAATTAGGAATTTTGTTCTCCATAAGAACACGTTCTTCATAGGCCATCTTGTCCGTTCCAATAAGACGGACTATAGTTTTCAAGGGTGAAATTGACATCATAATTGTCAAAAGGTGGCGTTGCCGTGAGACTACTGTCTCTAAAGGTCTGAGAATTTAGACCGTCGGAGCTGAAAACCAACATTCTCAAAAAAGTAAAAATCAAGTCGAAAAAGTAAGAACCAAGTCTCCGAATGACATGGGTGACGCCACCAAAACAAGTGCGTCGCCGATATAACGAGGGGAGAAAAAAAACTAGGTTCCTTTGAAGAGGAACTGGAGGTCCTCATGGGTGAGAGCCTCTAGCGATGCTTCATCTGAGTTGACAGTTGAATTGATCATGCTGGTCTTCTTCTCTTGCAACGCAACTATACGGCTCTCCACTGAATCCTCAATGCAGAGACGTTTGATGATACATGGACGCGTCTGTCCGATACGATGGCATCGGTCGGCCGATTGCCACTCTGCTGCTGGGTTCCACCACCTACGTAAGAAATATATGGTTAGCATGCGTTTACTATAGATAGGTTAGGGCCAAGTAACTTACGGATCAACAATGAAAACTCGTGACGCCTCTGTAAGGTTCAGAGCAACGCCACCTGCCTTCAACGACACCAGGAAACATTCTACATCGACGTTTTTCATGAAATGGTCAATGGAAGCCTGGCGCTGAGCTGGTGTCATACTTCCATCGAGCATGACTGTCGTGATGCCAGCTCGTCGAAGACGCCATTCAATCAGCTGGAGCATCGTGGTGAACTGCGAGAAGATGATCGACTTGTGCGAGGCACTGTCTGATCGCAGCCTGTGGAGCTCGTGAACAAGTAGCTCGATCTTGGACGACGATGTCCAATTCTCCATCTTAATGCGATTGATGATGGAAGATTTCTTGACAAGCATTGCGTCCTGTTCAATCTCAGGCTGCTCGAGATCGATAGATAGAGATATGTGGCAGCGAGGACAGTCTGGTGCCTCCTGAGAATTAACGTAATGCTGCGCACATGAGCGACAGAAGTCATGCTTGCACTTGGATCGAATCGCCTCCTCAGCAGGTTCGTCGCAGATGCAGCAGACCATCACGTTTTGTCCTCCCTCCGCATTCTTCTTCAGGATCAGGTCGGGGTGGTTAGCAACCTGGCGCATCTGCATGATCAAACCAAAAATATTGGCATAGTTGTTGAGCATGACACCTTGAGCTACGTAGGTGTTAAACTTGCGCTGACTGTTATCCGTGATACTGTTAGCAAAGTCGTTCTCCTCTTCGCTCAAGAATTGTCGATCAACATAGATCTCCTTGACGGGGAGTTCCATAGCATTCGTATGATCTCGCTTGAGACGGCGCAGCATGATTCGGTCCGTAAGGAGACGGAGTTTGCTGAGTGCTTCTTTGCCTTCGCCGTGGTTACCGTTGCGAGTAATAGGGTGTAGAAGTTCTTGATTGAAGACTGAAATATGTGACATCATATAGTGACCACCTAAGATGAGTTAGCAAATACACCGAGTTTCTAGTATGCAAGTAGAGACTTACAGTGTGAGCAATTCTTCGATTCATCTGCACACCATTCAAGGTTGGAACAAGGACACTCTCGGCAGAAGTATTCCGCGAATGGTGTAATTTTGAGGAATCGAAGTAGTGAAAAGAACTCTCCAATTCGGTTCTGCAAGGGGGTTCCGGTTAAGCACCAGCGGTATTCGACTTTGAGGGCAAAACATGCCTTCGCAGTCATGGTGTTCCTAGACTTTAACGATTCGTTAGCGTGGGAGTAGTTAAGGGAAGGGTTCTATATGCTTACCTTGATACAATGAGCCTCATCTAGGATCACACGGTGGAACTTGATCTGGTGAATAGCGCTCTTCTCCTTATACGTGCCCTCTTTCCTCTTGAAACCCTTCTCTTGTTTGCGGAAGAGCGACTCCAGGGTATTGTAAGACATTAAGATAACGTCAAATTTCTTAAGTTCTCTAGTTGTCAAATTCTTGGCCTTGGCATTAGTACCATGGAATACCAGGGTCTTTAGCTTCCCATTTGTGTAGGACTCAATTTCTGATGTCCATTGCATCAAGGCAACAGGTGGCATGAGCACCAGTGACGGTGCCTTAGCAGGATAGTCAGACATGATCAAAGACACTGCCTGAATCGTTTTACCAAGACCCATCTCATCTCCAAGTAGACCACCCTTCCACTTTGTTGCTTCCATAGCCTTCATCCAGGCAAGTCCTTCGAGTTGGAATGGTTTTAACTGGCGCGAGATAGTAGTAGGTTGCTCGGCCTTGTCGGCCTTGAGAACGGGCATATTTTCAAGGTCAACCCACATTGTACTAAGCTCTGGATGGTGCTTCGTCAACCTCCTTCTCATTGCATCCTTTCTATTCATGGGACGAGAAGCGCGACGAATGCGAGGAACGCGATTAATGCGAGGAATGATTTGGGGCTGGCTGGGAAGCGCATTCGCATTCGCATTCGCATTCGCATTTGTATTTGTATGCGAATGTGCATGTGAATTTGTATGCGAATCGGCGACAGGGCTATCTGAGTCGGATTCTGAACTATCTTCAAGAAGAAGTCCTGCCTCATAGAAGTCGGACATGTTTTCATCAATGGCCTCCTCCTCCTCATCATCATCAATTTCTTGGTGGGACTCATTATCACTTTCAGGATCGGTAAGTTTTGGCTTCTTGTGGGCTCGATTTGATGTAGAATTAAAATCGCTTCCAGCGCCAGAATCAAGAGACATCGCAACACTAGGTCTCTTGCGACCAAGAACCATATTACTCTTAGCCGGGACAGGATTTTCACGAGGTGCCTCCATCATATTTATATCGTCCTCCGAATCCTCCTCGGTGTAGGCGATCGGGGCAGGCCGGCGGCGTGTAGTTACTCTAGATGAAGTCGAAGAGCTAAGGCTGCTAGACTTGGTGCCTGTTGTCGCAGTCGAGCCTTTAGGGAGCTTGGGAAGTTCAACTACCAAGCGCGGCTGACTCTTAGTTCCCGGCTGAGTAGGTTTTTTAGTGATAGAAGGCGCGGGAGTTACAGCATTGCTGGTTGCAGGAGTTGAATACTCGCTGTCTGAAACAGTTGTAGCTGGTGTTGGTGCGGAAGAGGTTGAGTTGCCATCAATAGCGGTGGCTTTAGAGGACCTTCCACGTCGTTGAGGAAGGACAGGTTGTGAAGCAGGAGTACCGCCAGCGCTATCGATGGTAGAACTGTCTTCCGCAGCCTTCGAACGTCTAGTTCGCGGCGCCATGGTGTCGGAGGTGTTGCAAATGTGATATTATGCGGATATGATTAGAAGTGAGGATTAATCAATGAAACAAAAAAAAGGGAAGAAAAAAAAGTTGGTTAGCACATATATGTATAAGTCACATATGTGAGGCTACTTAATGGTGAAGAAGGGAATGATGGTGAATAAGTTTGGGTTTAGGAGATAGGCTGCTGGGCTGCTGGGCTGCATGTAAGAAACAAGCAGGCAAAAAGGATAAGTCAGCTTTGCCTTTACTCCAATTATTAATGAAGAAATGCGGTGGATATTTCACCAGGGGTTGCTTGTAAAGATTGTACCACGGGCTCCGATCAACAATGGTAGATCTCAGAGCGCTAGAGAGTAGCGCCAGATCGGGTTGGGTTGTTGATCATTGATGATGGAAAATGAAAAAGATTCCAGGCAGGTCGGAGAGAAAGGCACATTACTAGGTTAGTATGTAAAGATTTGGTGGGGAAGAATAGAAGGGAAAGAAGGAAGTGGGTCTTATTAAGTTAACGGCGCGACCAATACACGCAAACTCGTGATCTGATCGCCCCTGGGGAAGGTACCAAGGGAGGGTCTTTGCATTAGTTGACCAATAGGAGTACAAAGCTAGCACTTAAAGCCCCTGCAGGTACGCCGGTTCTCCGACTCTAGCGGGAAAGAACGTCCCCCGCCACTGCCCCTCAGGTACACTAAAAAGCAATTAAACTGATAAGATCGCTGCCTGAAACGGAACCACTTAACGCGCTGTTAGCTGCAGTCAGTGGCGTCAACCGTGTGTTAATTCTTTACACTATCAAGGTATCTTATTTGTTCAATGAGTCAAAATCACTTTCTTTTTCTCTTCTTTTACTTGACCCCAGCACATAATAAAAACTCGTAAGCCTGAATAGGGGCTGAAAAGATCCGTGGTTTCCGACACCTAAGTACCTTAACTTACTCAAGTTGTTTACCTTTCCAGGTTGCTAGGGAAATATTAATAATTAAGTACTACGTTCACCTTCATTATCGCCGACCGTGATATTTCATCCCACATTTCTTTTTTCTTAGATGAGGCTTAGCCCAACTCCAGATTCGCACCTTCGTTTCCTCTAATTTTCCGGTCGCTTCCCATCAAATATTACATATAAACCGGAATACAGCATTAATCTCAGTCCTTTCGGGACATCTCTCAAGCCAACTCAAGTCAACAAGATGTAAGCTGTGCCTTTTCAGATTATTGAACCAAAGAGGTAAAACTAACCACTTAACTCAGGCGGCGAAATGTTCGGGGACCTAGGTCTGCCCTTACGGATTATCTGGCCTCTCAGAATATTTCGGCCAGCCAAATCCGCGCTAATCACGAGGCTCGCCTTAGGTCTGCTGCTGCTGCTGCTGCCTCAGACCAAGCTGTCGCATCCACATCAACAGCACAGAATGTAGACACTACAGAACCTACAGAACCTGCAGAAACCATAGAAGATAGCCAGGACGATGGTGAGTCTTCAGTTGCTATGAGCACCCGCCAAGCAACGACACGAAAGCGCAAGCAGGCAGCTGCGGCGATTGAGAAAGCCAAAAACTCCAAGCCATCCAAACAACGCAAGTCGCGCCGAAATGCCCCTGACAACGAGTCTGATGAGGAGGTACTTGAGAGAAGCGCAGCTCCCGTACCCGGCCAGCTTGAAAATTGTGAGCAGTGCGGCAAGCGATTTACGGTAACCACGTATTCACGTGCTGGTCCAAAGGGAGGCTTGCTTTGTGCCCAGTGTAGCATTAAGCTAACCAAAGAAGAGAATGCCGCTAAGAGCGCTTCTAAGAAAGGCAAGCAGAAGGTGGCTGCGGTTCCTACTAGACGTGAACGAAGAAAGATTCAGAGCCTTATACTGGATGGCCAGATCGGAGTCAAGACCTTAATGACCCTCTGCGTCGAGACCCTAGCTAACAACATCCATCTTGCTGACGATCTCGGCGATCTACCTTTACCAGCTATCGATCGCATATCCAGACAGCTATCCAAACGCCGTCTCATGAGTCCCAAGACTCTAGATCTATTCATCCAGCCCCAGGTTCAAGATATCATGATATACGATGGAGGTCGCCTAGGTTCGGATGACTATACCCGAATTTTCCAAATCTGCTCCAGTCTCAAGACTCTTAAATTGCGTAACGCGATCCAGTTCAAAGATAACGTCATGGAGTACTTGATGGGAAGACATTTCACCCTAGATACTTTCTATATATCTGGCGCAAACCTACTCAGCAATGAATGCTGGGATAAATACCTGAAGGCAAAAGGACAAAGCCTTCAAAGTCTTCGTGTCTACTTCACAGATCGTCATTTCGGCAACAAAACCGTAGAGTCTCTACGCAAATACTGCCCATCTCTGACTAAATTGAAAATCTGCCACAACCAAGCGGTTACCGACGAAGGAGTAGAACACATCGGACAGCTTCAAAGCCTTGAGCACTTAGGGCTACGTCTTGTTACTCAGACCCAAACAATGCCTTATGTCAACGTCGTAGAGAAGATAGGGAGCCAGTTGCGTACCCTCTCTATCAGAGATGTTCCAGGTGTTGATGATCGCCTACTTGATGCAATCCATAGCCACTGCGCTCGATTAGTCAAGCTGCGCATCACAAATAGCGAGGTCATGACCGATGCAGGCTTTGTTAGGCTCTTCAAAGATTGGAAGAACAGGCCCCTCCTGTTCGTGGACCTGGAACTATGCCGTCACATCGACGCAGGAAATCCCAGAGTAAATCAGCATATGATTGGCTTCTGCTCAGGCGGGTTCCGAGCCTTGATGAAGCATTCGGGCAAGCTCTTAAAAAAGCTCAACATCCACGGATGTAGACATATATCCGGTGAGGCGTTTGAAGATGTGTTCGCTGCCGGACGGGAGTATCCCGAGCTTTTGGACCTGGAGATCAGTTTCTGTGAAGAGGTAACAGACTTAATTGTCGGGCTGATCTTCAAAAGCTGTCCCAATCTAAAGAGGCTAAATGTTTTTGGATGTATGAAGGTAAGCCTATTATTTTTCCTATTTATATTGATAGAACGAATGAATGAGTGTCACGCCCCAGCCTTTGTTCGAATCTTCTTATACTATTATCACGTCCATGTAACACTTGAAGCTATATGTGACTAACAATATGGTGTGTATAGGTGAAGGATGTGCGAGTGCCTAGAGGGAAAATTTTGGTCGGCGTCCCGAATGCTATGGGGATGATCATTGAAGGCACCGAAGATTAAATCGGGAGTGCTCATCTTCCTTTTTACGATACTCGACTCAAACACACATACCGAAGATACCAGACGTAGTACAGGGCATGACTCTAAGCATTAGGCGTTTGGCGTTTGATGCATTGAGCCCAGGTCGTAGTTTTTGCGACTACATTTACTTGAAGCACAGGCGTTGAAAACGGGTCGTTCTATCCGATCAATTATGGTGCATAGCCCGTCTACAATGTTTATGGTAGGAAGTTGCTTTGCTAATATTCTGTGATTTTTTTTTTCTTGCAGGACATTGCCGTCGTCGATTGACGAGCACATATGTCACATATGATGCTACCGAAAAGGTGGTGACAATAATCCTTCACTGCAAGTCAACAACAAACCTGTACATATTCAGGTTGTCAACTAGTTAAGTTATTAGCCTACTTAGGTACCTAGGTAGATACCTTGGAGCATGATATTCTAGCTTAGCAATGCAAATGATTTCCCTACAATTCTTATAATTACACAAGTTAATATATGAAGCGTTGTGGCGCCGGAGAGTCACGCCGTAGATAACCGTAGCTTGGAATTGCGCCATCGACTTCGCTCCCTTATAAGTGTGATCCACCCTGATAATCATTCGCTTATTTTGAAATATTTTCTTAGATTTATAGATTGTATATGCCTCGTTGTGTTAGTACATATTTTCTATTGTATTATAATTTTCAACCCTGCTATTTACCATATCTATGGAGGCTTTCCCCAATAGTAAAGCCAAGCCGTTACTATAAAAACACCCTGTTCCCATACTCATACTCATACCCATATTCATCTTTCTCCGCACTCTATCCCGGACGCCCCGCTCCGAGTCCGCAGCCGCAGCCGCAGCCGCCCCGAGCAATGGGTTCCTTCTCACCCTCGTCGGCCACGGCCACCCTGCCGTTCAACGTAAAGAATATCGCCGTCATCGGCGCCGGCCCCAGCGGCTTAGCAGCAGCGAAATACTTACTCGCGCAGGATGGTGCATTCTCGCGCATCGACGTCTTCGAGCAGCAGGCTGAGGTAGGCGGCGTGTGGAATTATAGCCCCGTGCCACGGCCCGCCGAGGCGCTGCCTGTGCCGCAGACCGATGCGCATCCCAAGAGGCCGGATCCGCCGGTTTATGTTCCCGAGGGCAAGGTGCCGCTGTTTCCGTCTCCGATGTACGATGACTTGCACACGAATATCCCGCATACTCTGATGAAGTACTCGGACTTGGCGTTCCCCGAGGGCTGCGATATTTTTCCGACTAGGAGCGATGTACAAGCGTATCTGGTTGAGTACGCGAGGGACGTGCGGCATTTGATCAAGTTCTCTACGCAAGTTACTGATGTCTCGCTGCGGAGTGTCGAGGGCCAGCCGCGGGGGCGAGAGCAGGAGCAGTGGGATGTGAGGACTACGGATTTACTTACCGGGGAAGAAACTACGGAGACGTATGATGCGGTGGTTGTGGCGTCCGGACATTACTCGACGCCGTATATCCCGGACTCTGTCGAGGGCATTGCGGCTTTCCACGCCAAGCATCTGGGGGTCATTTCGCATTCGAAGCTCTACCGCAACGCGGAGCCGTATCGCGGGAAGAAAGTCGTGGTTGTGGGAACTGGCGCCTCGGGGCTAGATATCGCGGCGCAAATCCAGCGCGTGTGCAAGACGCCCCTGATCCTCTCGGCGCAGACTGCAGCTCCTCCCGAAACTCTTGAGCATATCGGAAACCCTGTACAAGTCGGGCAGATCAAGAGATTTCTGATCGAGGAGCGGGGCGTTGAGTTCTTCCCCCTAGATGAGGATGAAGACGATAGCGCTGGGAAGAAGGAGAGACGAGAGACGAGAATCGAAACAGACATCGACGCCATACTCTTCTCCACAGGCTACCTCTACACCTTCCCCTTCCTCCCCACCATCCCCCTCGTCACCAACGGCCGCCAAGTCCATGGTCTCGCAAAACACCTCCTACACATCGCGCACCCGACCCTAGCCTTCCCCGGCTTACCCATAAAAGTAATACCCTTTCCCCTAACCGAGTCCCAAGGCGCCGTCCTCGCACGTCTATGGTCAAACACGGTCCCCCTCCCGCCAGTCTCCGTCCTCAAACAATGGGCGCGTGAAGACGGCGAGGGGACTAGCGAGGGGAAATATCATGTGTTTCCGAAGGGTGGAGATGGGCGGTATATCAATGGGTTATATGAATGGCTGGAGAAAGAAAGTTTGGGGGGTAGGGGAAAGGAACCGCCGCATTGGGACGCCGAGATGCTCTGGCAGAGAGGCATTTACGCCGAGGCGAAGATGCAATATGAGAAGACGGGGAAGAAGGCCAAGACCCTCGAGGAGCTGGGATTTCGGTATGTGCCTGAGGAGGTGAAAGTGAAGAAGGCAGAGGATGTGGAGGGGCGGGATCCTCATTTGGATATTGCTGGGTAAAGATATGGACATATGCTGTCCCTTAGTTAATTGGTGTCCTTGAACATGACCAGAAGACGTATAGACCGCGGTTAGGAGTATCATGAGGTTCAATACCAAGATAGATAGATCGTTGACCTAGATCGATATAAAATCCACGCTTAAAGAAACCGCTATATATAGGGTATAAAATAATGTACAGTACGCACACTTCAGACGCATCTAAAATCCCAGATCAACTCCAAATCATTAAATATGCCCGATTTACGCCATCCCTATGCAAATGAAACCCTACAGGACACAGCGCCACGCTGCTTCATACCGAGAACTAAAATATCCTACCAGAGGATGGGCCCAACCCCTCAGCGAAAAGAAAGTTTACTGTTTCAGCGTCGCCGCGATCTCGCGATCCTGCGCCGTCCAGTCGCTGAGTTTCGCAAGTAGTTCCTCGTCCGAGACATCTCTCTGGCCACCTCTCCTCTTGAAAGCTATGCCGTCTGGACCGCACCCGCTGATGTGCTCAAAGTAGAGCAAATGGGCAGGAATGTCCAGCCCGCCGGTACCGCCGTTGCAATCAGTGTTCGCAAAGCCCTCGCATACCTTGATATCTGAGGCAGCGTAAAGAGTGCTGTTGTCGCTCTCGCCTGATAACCAGTACTCTGGGCTGGTGTGTCGGTAATCGACGGCGATGGGAGGTAGACGTGGGACCGGGTCGTCCAAGTGCGTCACGCGGAACTCGCCGCCTGGTTGGGCCGTAACGAAATCGACGAAGGCCTGGTTGCCTACACGTGGGCTGCCATATGTGTAGAGATCGAGTTCGTAACCCTGATCTCGGGCATAGCCGGCAGCGACTGTAGCAACAGCTCCACCCAGTGAGTGTCCTGTGAAGATGATCTTATAAGAAGGGTTAGCTTCCTTAGCCGCTGCTACACCGTCCAGTAAGTCGTCTTCTATCTCTTTCCATGATAGAAGGAAGCCAGTGTGGATTAAGCAGTCGTCCACGAGGTCGCAGGGGAGTGGTATGAAAGAGAGACTATATCAAGGTTAGACATTTCCTTCATCGTAGGTATAAGTTAGAAGCATAGGAGGATATAAACTTACTCGGCAATCCAATTGCGAATCGAATGAGATCCTCTCACAGACGCCACGATCAGCTCATTAGTGTCATCCGATGAGACGAAGCCTTGGATATCAGTGAGATGTCCACTTATAAAGTGTTAGCCCGATATGTTTTTTCACATCCCTTTCACGCTTACGAGTCGAAGTAATAGCCGTGAAAGTAGTGACTTACGAGAAGGTTGCTACCACCTTAGCACCAGCAGAAGTGACATCCGGACAGGTGTTTTCGGCGCAAGTGACAGTAGAACCTAGGTCTACCTCACTGTTGCAGTAGCTTGCCCCAGCATACTGAGAGAAGAATTTCAGCGTCGAGACGTCGGCTGCGGTAACTGTACCTGTTTATCTGTTAACTAGCGTACCCTTTGACTTAGGAAAATCCTTAAGAGACATACTGCCATTGCTAATCTCAAAGTGAGTAGCAGGAACCGGGCTTGCAGTAGCAAGCAAGGCAAAGGCAGAGACCAGGGCGCAACTAAACTGCTTCATCTTGACCGGTCAAGAAGAAAGGCAACGACGAGACGAGGGAGGGATAAGGCTAAAGAAGACGAGAAAAATACATGAACATTCCGCATGGATGCCTCTTACTTATTATGGTAAGGGAGTGAGAATGTACGACGGCGTGTGGCTTCGAGACAGGCCGATCTCTCCCCGCTAGCTTCTCGCTATACCATCTTGACCTACCTACCTACATAGGTAGGTTACTTTGTGTAGACATGTAGACATGGAGAGTCCGTGTTTCGATTTGGCTAATTCGGCCCTAACAATCCGAGTTTAAAACGTGTAGAAGCTCTTTTCCGATCTGAGAGTTTCAACTGTTCAAAAAGATTCTCTGAGCCACAATCCTAGCCATACCAGATCCAACACGGGTACCGCACATGGATAGCAACACTATGTTTGCGGCAGTCTTGTAGGTTTTCCATACCTCAGAGGAGCGGGGGAGTCGGCGCCGGACAGGACTACTCGTAAAGGTTAGAAACCAGAAACCGGCCCCTGCAGACAGGACCATATCTGCGTTGTCTGAGATGGCGGCTTGTTGGGGAAGGTTGGGGGCGCGCGGCGGTGAAGGACATTGATTGGTCACTAGAGCATCCATAGAGCATCCATTGAGCAACCAATTAATAACCCGAAGCGGAACTATTCTAGCCTTTTCATTCGCTGCTTAATTCCGAAGTTAAGATATTTGCACGACGTAGAAGCCTAGTGATCGCATATGGCGTTTATCTCGGGGAATACATACAATACAGCTAGCCATCTTAACAATTCAGCTCAATATTTTTGGTCTCTAATAGGATATTGAATAATGAGACATTGAAGGGGTTATGAGGGGTTATGAGGTATCAGAGAAGGATTATAGGATTCAAATCTACATACTTTAAATCCTTTTGGGGTTCCCGTTGTTACTCAGCGACACCGACACCGACGCAAATAGACGCAAATAGATCAACTTTGCCCACGTGAGGTTATGTACAATCTGGGTAGGTGCGTAAGGTTTGTGACACGCACAAGGATGATCGCTCATGCGGACCCTTGCTTGGCATTCGATTGGATAAAGCTTATATCGCGGTATTGCGGTATCGTGGCTTGCCTTACTAAGAAAAGCCCCTTAAGACACGCAAACATTGAAGAATTCATCTCGACCAATCTTCTTGAACGTGGCTGAGCTTGTGAAGACCGCACATACTATGCTTCGAGATGGCTTTATTATCCAAAATCTTCGAGAACTTCGAAATAGCACCTCGCTTTGGTTAACGTGCAACTCTAACAACATATATTCCAGCACAATCAGCTGTTTATCTGGCTAACAATTATAGGATTATTTAAATGCCTCAGGTTGAGATCTGGATATCGTCAACTAACAGTTTACTAAAGGAAAGAGAAATTGCCAATGAGTTATGAGTTTGAAAATGTCAGGATTTATACTCATTGATAGATATCATACATAGAGCGAGTGCCTATGATAGTATTGAACCAGTAACGCCTGGCCTTCTACTCTCTTACGAGGGCGCTACGCGCCTCTTATAGTAGATAGACCCTTGTAACTACCCCTAACCCAATTATACCCTGACAGAAAGGGTCGAAAATCACCCTAAGACATTATAACATAGGGGGCCTCTAATATGTAGGGACGTGTGAAACTAATTTGATATTATACCCTCAACTGCCGGCAAGATATAGGTCTATACTCCACCTCTTTATATTAATAAATCAAGACTAGAAAGATTCAAAATATATTAACTATTTTAAGAATAGCGTTAAAGGCTTAGCTGATTAAATTTAATTCTCTGGCTTGCAAACGCGAAGATGGTCTTCTCTGGGATATTTTGTTGGGTATAGTGTTGAGATGCTATATTGATTATAATTGCTATAAAGCGCGTAACAACAACAATGTCAATCTTGTATAGTAATTTCAATATTAGATAGTTTTTATCATTATGTCCTACGTAGATAAGGCTCATCTAAACATTTTAGCTAACTACCTAATAAATAATTACGAGATCAACTACGAACTAAACTTAATCAACCTTCAAGTTCTAATTGAATGCAGCATATGAGGTAGCTATATTGCCCCTTACAAGTTCGCTTAACTAATACCTCCTTGGTACCAGACTTAAGATTACGAAATAGAGATGACACTACCTAACCTTCTAAAAGTCGGGGAAGGGGAAGGATCTAAGGAATAATGGAGTTACCTATGTACAACAGAAAAGGTTTGACCAATTAAACTAGGTATCACTTTAACATACTATGTACAGAGGTATTTCTCCACCTATCCCGTCACCCGATTTTCTGGTTCTTCAGTTTGCTGGTGTCACATCTTTTGCATGCAAACGCATATACAAACGCATATACTAAGAACCTTCCATAAAATCATAAAACCAATAGTCGCAGATCGTAGAGAGATCCCAGGAACATACATACTACTAGGTTATCTACACACTCACTATTTTTATAGCTGCTTTGAGTATAGCATCGGAAGCTGAAATCTACATCGAGATTCCTTCTCCGATGCTGTGCAGCGCCCATGTTACAGTAGCCTACGTCGCTGTAACCTTACAACTTCCCAACACGTCAGCAGCCCGCCCGACAAGGTCAGCTTGCAACTTCATTTTGTCCATCTACTCTGCATAGGATCAGATGCTAAATGATGGCTGCCGAGATGCGAATGCTCTGTTTCTCCTTTGTCTGCGCTGGTACGGGTGGACCTGAAAGGTGACCGCTATTTGAATCCGAATATGCAAGTGACAACTTTTCGTATTACGTATTTGCATACTACATCACCTGCCCTATATAGGTCCTTGGCTTTGAAAAAACATCATCCGTTATTATCGAGTAGTCCGGGTCGATGGACCGAAGAAGCCTTCGCAAAGATGTCTTTGACCTACATAGCATTTACCAAGTTGGCGATCCAAATCTCAAAGCACGTAAGCCATAACGAACTACGGAGATTATTCCTTGGTCTAACCCACTACTACCCCGCCTATTCTACTTTTCGAACTGAATGCCGGGTAGCCATGTTCTAAGTATGCTAGGTATGCCGGCATCATCCGAGATCTTGGTTCTGCATACTACATAGTGATGAATAGGGGGAAAGCACCGCTCGGATCAAGCCCGAAAACCGAGCTGCATGCCTCGTACAGCAAGCAGAACCATGTCTTGTGCAGGATAGGCAATCTATGCCAAGTGGGCTGAGCGGCTTCGACCGTCGAAAATGCAAGGCTTCCCCGTGCCCCGTGCCCCGTTCCTGGATCATCCTGTCTGTCATTCATATATTTATCTATGGCAATCGCCAATCACGAGTATGAAAATAGTGTTGCTTTACTGTCCAGCCACACAGCTCGCGTGTTCACCAGTCCGCGATGCACTTTTAAAGTGCTGCAAATATATACACTTAATTACCTAGGGAAACTCGTGTTACCCTGTCCTTTCTTTAGCATAATTATAATAATAATCTTCAATATGGGGCGCCATTCAGGACTCCGTAGCCTTTCGTTATGTTTACTCGCGAGCACGGCGTCAGCCTCCGTATTACTCACTCGGGATCCCGTCCCGGAGGGCTTCGTCGCCGCCCCGTATTACCCGACCCCTTACGGCGGTTGGGCCGATGACTGGTCCGAGAGCTATGAAAAAGCAATCAAGTTGGTGTCGCAAATGACACTAGCCGAGAAAGTTAACATAACTGCTGGTACTGGTCTTTTTATGGTATATATTACTTGCACAACTTATACGGAACCTTCTTACTAACTATAGTTTAGGGTATGATAACTAACTAATCAGAACTATCCGAAATAACATTTAAAATACTAACATACGATTTCAGGCCGTTGTGTTGGAAATACTGGCAGTATACCACGATTGGGGTTCCCGGAGCTATGCTTACAAGATGGTCCTCTGGGTGTGCGCACAACAGACAACGTCACTGCTTTTCCTGCTGGTATCACTACCGGCGCAACATTTAGCAAGGATTTAATGTATGAAAGAGGTGTCGCACTTGGTGAGGAATTCAAGGGGAAGGGCGCCAACTTCTACTTGGGACCAAGCGTTGGAGCCCTAGGAAGAAAGCCGAGGGGTGGCCGAAATTGGGAGGGCTTCGGATCCGATCCCGTCCTTCAAGCTATTTCCGGAGCCCAGACGATCAAAGGTGTGCAAGAGCAAGGTGTCATCGCTACACTGAAGCATTTGATCGGAAATGAGCAGGAGCTTTACCGCATGTACAACCCATTCCAGCAAGCATACAGTTCCAATATTGGTAAGCGTACATGACAGTATTATTTGTTGGTTCTAGAGACTGATTGGGCTTTAGATGACCGAGCGGTACACGAGCTATACCTTTGGCCATTCGCAGAAGGCGTCAAGGCTGGAGTCGGCTCAATAATGTCCTCTTATAATGCGGTATGTTAGCTTACGATTGTATTCTGATTTGGGCGGGCCTTATTAATTAAGCTATAGATCAACGGATCTGCAGCCTCTCAGAACAGCCATATTCTGAATGGCCTCCTGAAAGATGAACTAGGCTTCCAAGGCCTTGTCATGACCGATTGGCTTGCGCAGATTTCAGGAGTAGCGTCCGCTCTCGCTGGCCTCGATATGTCTATGCCCGGAGATACAATTGGCAACAACGTACCGTTGTTTGGCTACTCTAACTGGATGTACGAACTTTCACGATCGGTATTAAACGGCTCTGTACCTGTCGATCGACTAAACGATATGGCTACACGTGTCGTCGCTACGTGGTATCAGCTTGGCCAAGATGAGGACTATCCTCTTCCTAACTTTTCTTCGAACACGGCAGATCGCGAAGGTCCACTCTACCCAGGTGCACTATTTTCCCCGGTCGGTGTCGTCAACGAATACGTCAATGTTCAAGCCGATCACAAGGTGGTCGCTAAACAAGTGGCTCAAGAGGCGATCACGCTACTAAAGAACAACGGCAGCTTTCTTCCACTGTCAACTTCAGCGCCCCTCTTCGTATTTGGCACCGATGCTCAAGCTGACCCTCAAGGTATCAACTCGTGCACAGACAAGAGCTGCAACCGAGGCTTGCTCGGTATGGGATGGGGTTCAGGATCCGCGAACTACCCTTACATAGATGACCCGATTAGCTCGTTCAAGCGAAAAGCAACCAACGTGACATACTACGCTACGGATAGCTTCCCGTCCGCCCCAGCGCCGACCGAAGACGATGTTGCTGTTGTATTCATCACATCCGATGCTGGAGAGAATTCGTATACTGTTGAGGGCAACCACGGTGACCGCGACGAATCTGGTTTGAAGGCCTGGCACAATGGTGACGAGCTTGTTCAAAAAGCAGCCGCAAAATACAGCAACGTTGTCGTTGTCGTCCACACTGTTGGCCCTATCATTATGGAGCCTTGGATTGATCTCCCTTCTGTTAAAGCGGTCCTCGTTGCCCATCTTCCGGGGCAGGAAGCCGGCGACTCGTTAACTGAGATCATATACGGCGAGGCATCACCCAGTGGGCATCTACCGTACAGTATTCCCGTCTCCGAGGACGACTATCCCGATAGTCTTGACCTAGTTGCCACGCCTCTCAGCCAGACGCAGGATACTTACTCAGAAGGCCTGTACATCGACTACCGGTATCTAAACAAGCAGAACATCAAGCCGCGCTTTGCCTTCGGTCACGGCCTAAGCTATGCGTCCTTCAGCTTCTCCAACGCTACCATCACCCGTGTGACGGAGCTGTCCGAAGTCCCACCGGCTCGCCCCTCAAAGCCCGCATCTCCCGTCGCTAGCCTAAACACCACCATTCCCGCTGCGTCTGAAGCGTACTTCCCAGCCAGCTTCGACCGTATCTGGCGATACCTCTACCCATGGTTATCCAACGGCGACGCCGATGCCGCGTATAAGATTGGCGCGGCCGGCGACAAGAAGTACCCATACCCAGTAGGTTACTCTGGCACGCAGAAGACAGACCTTCCGCCCGCAGGCGGCCCCAGCGGCGGCAATCCCGCTATCTGGGACGTCGCGTACACGATCAAAGTCACAGTGACGAACAACGCTAAGGAGGGCACAACGGCTGGAAAAGCCGTCGCGCAGGCATACGTCCAGTTCCCCGAGGACGCGGGCGTCGACACCCCCGTCATCCAACTCCGCGACTTCGCGAAGACGGGAGCAGCGCTCGCGCCCGGGCAGAGCGAGACTCTGGAGCTGAGCCTCTCGCGCAAGGACGTAAGCGTCTGGGATACGGTGCGGCAGAACTGGGTCGTGCCGAAGCCGGATGGGAAGTACAAGATCTGGGTCGGCGAGGCGAGCGATGCTTTGTCCGTGGTGTGTTACTCGGATAGCTTGGAGTGCGAGACGGGCGCTAAGAGTCCCGTTTAGGGGATAGGAGATTTGCGTCTGGGGAATGGGTCGGTGATGATGATGGAGATGGGGATGAGTTTGGGGATGGGGATGATGGAGTGGCGGAGAGATGGATGGGAGATGGATGGTGTGTTAATAGAGCTATAAATAACGCTCTTCGTGTAATTTCGCAGTATTATTATTAAATGAATGGGCCGCATACACCTAAATGGCCCCTTTGAAGCCATCACTTCTAAGCTTTCTTGTGAGACTGGGCTTTCGTATATTGGAGATATATACCACTCACTGTCTTAAAAGCTATCGTATACTTAGGACAAGATATTAAAGTAGCATACCTCTTATAATGGATCTAGGAAGAGGCTAACTACCAGACATATAGTTTAAAAACCGCTTCGACCTGTTGGATCTTGAGATCTCTACATTTAGAGACGGTTCTTGGAATATACAGTTCTATATGTAGTATATAGTACACCCCATACCCACTACACAATCCTCACCGAGGGCACCGAGCTAGTTCCTACTCATGGACGCAGAGAGTACGCCTCCCATGAATTCCCCATAGAAACTCGCCATCTCATCTATACGTCGTCCCCTGCCGGACCCCAGACCTTAGCAAGGCGAGGTACACAAAGAGAAAACAGACAACCTAGTTCGACAGCGTAGACCTCTTCTTCTCCCGGCGCCGCTGCAGGGTCTTGCGGCCGTTGTGCGAGCGCACGCGGCTGAGGAACCCGTGACGCCGCTTGCGCACCAAGCGACTCGTCCTAGCCATCGTCGGCCGCGGGCCGAAGCGCACCTGGGCTGCGCCGGAGAGCCAGGGGTGCGCGGTTAGCGAGGTCTTGGGGACGAGGTCTGCTGTTGCTCCGGCGCTGGGTTGGGGGGCGAAGGATTGGAGGAGGAGGTTGTTGGAGCTGCAGGGGGACCGGAAGACGGATCCGGGGGAGGCGTGGAGTGTGGGGCGGAGCGTGGGGAGGGAGGAGAATGTTCTAGGGAGTGTTAGTTGGAGAGTTCTAAAGGTATGTAGATAGGTAGAGGTAGGTATGTTTGGTGGTTGGTTTGGTGGAAAGAGTGGGAATGGTGTGCGGTACGGACCTTCGTGTAGATAGCAGTTGTATGGATGCCGTCGTTGAGGTTAAGGCAGCTTTGCTGGCGCCGCGAGCTCGTGGCAGAGCGGCTAGAGCGAAAGACCGCATTGTGTGGGTGTGTGTGTGTGTGTGAAGAGGAGGACCGAGGCGTGCTAGGACTCAATGGCTCAATGTATCTTCATGCTTCTCTTCCTATCTGCCTTCCCCAAGCGTAGATCCCCTACCCAATTGGCTCTATTATGGCGTTGGGCTGGTTGCAATTGGCGTTTCAGCTGGATATAAGGCGGTTGTGGTCGTTCGCTCTCGCGGGGTTTAGTGAGTGAGGCTTCTCGCGATGCCGAAAATTCGGATAAAAGATTAATTGAGTAGATTTATGGAACGGCCCGTCAGAGTCCGTGATCAGCTGTCAGCACGCCCATGATCTCTTATCGATAAGAAAACATATTGCAATAGAAAATAAGTTTGCGATTTTACAGGCGTGCTACAATGAAAATGAAGTGTGTTGGTGCTATAGATTATGGGACTACAATACTGGATATGTTAAGACCGTGTTTTCTATTCCTTCATCATCCCAGTTAATATGTTATCGAATGTCTCTATAATAACTTCAAATGGGCAGTTGAGCGTCTTCTAAATAAAAACGATGGGCGAGCTACTATACGAAACAAATGTCTACTTAAAACAAAAATTTTCAATTGGGTAATTTAATATTACACGAGCACCTGGGATGGCACACAGATGGCAGTCAATTCCTTGCGAGGTCGAAAGATTCAAGGACATTATCAACGTAATCAAAGTACGATGCTAGGCAGCTAGGTACTTCCAAATAGTCTCTCTTCCTCATGTCGCTGCTCAAGGCACCGATCATAATGAAAAAAGTGAGAAAATCAAAAATTCCGCTCCCTACGATCCACGAGGGATAATAGAAGAGGGTCAGCTCCGCGATGTGCAATGCAGGCGTCTCCCCTTAAGAACCCTCATGCTTGAGCGAAGGTTCTTGGAACAAGGTAAGTATGAAGAAGAAAAGGAAAAGAATTCTCAGATTCGAGGAGAGTGGCCATACATTTATACATTTTCTGAAGGCGGTGAGTGGGGCAGAAACTAAGCAAACAAAGCAAGTGCGGCAGAATTCCAGGGCAAGCAAAGAAAGAGACCAATCAGGAAACAATCATTTTGTTAGCAAATAGTCTCTTTCAGCCGCTAGGTACCCCACCACTTAGAATGCAAAAGGGTCAGTGCTCCCTTGCTCAATAAGAAGGTACTTTGAAATTGCAGCATTTTTTCTAAGCTCTAAAAGTACCTAACCTAACCTATGGTATTGCACCTTTCCAGGTACCTACCAATCTATATAAATCTCGTCAGAATAAACACCGGTACAAGTTACCTAACATATTATGTCTGCCTTATATCGGCAACACTTGGTACCTTATACATTATTCTTTCAAGAAGGTAAAGGTCCACTACGACAGAGAGCACGGTCCACATACATATCCGATAAAGGGCACGGTCCAAGTCGAATACGCTAACATGTCATTTACTCCATATTATATAAACGCTAGCCTTGATGGAGTAATTCAATTTGCTAGTCTCGACGCGTTTCCTTCCTTAGGTACCCTGGTTTTCGCGTTTAAACGCGTTCTTCGATCCACCATCTAATCCTGGACAATCGCTCAACTCGATCACTCTTTCACCAATTACCTTCTAATCAAGACAATTTGGTGAAGCCTCATACTACTACATATTACTGTCTCCGAAAGAGACTTGCTGAGTTTAACTGTCTATATTTGCCCGCGACCCTTTATTACATCTGAACTTCTCTAGTATTCATTCTATAATCAACTTGATCTTAGATTGACTGCTAGTTTATTGCCCTTATCCTGTAATGAGCTAGGGAACCCACCCTTAATCAATTACCTCAATGCCTCTATTTTCGATATCCCCAAATATCCAAGAGTCACCGACAACACCGAGGAAAAGAACGCACGAGGACTTTGTTGACTCTCCTAGCCATCTCGCTATCGGAGAACCTTCTCATTCAGAGAACCTAGGAAAGCTGAAATCTGCTGGAGTGTCTGTCCCTGTTATCAACACTCCACGTAAGTATTGTCTTTTTATTATATACCTTGCGTCTACAGTTGCTAATGTCTATGTTATAGAGTTGCCTACATCAATGGCGACAATGGATGCAACCCCGGGAAGTAGCCCCGCGGCTTTAACTGAAGCCGGATCCAGTCCAGCAATGAGGAAATCACTCTCACCAAATAAGACACCCTTATCATCTCCCTCAGCGTCGGGTAGCACAGCTTCTCAGCCTACACAGACAGCTTTTCTTTCCGCGCCTACAACCCAAAAGGCACAAGGAGCCAAGCGAAAGCCGTCAACTATCGAAGAGAAGCTCAATGCCACTAAGCGACAGAAATTAGGAACCAAAGCACCAGAAAAGCTCGAAAAGGAAGGGACTAAAGGTGCTGAGAAAGCTAAGAAAGAAAAGGAGGCTGAGGAGAAGCGGCAAGCGAAAGAAGCGAAGGCGGCCGAGAAGGCCAAGAAAGAAGCCGAAGCGGCTGAGAAACGTCAGAAGAAGGAGGCCGAGGCCGCTGAAAAGGCTAAGAAGAAGGCTGCTGACGAGGCAGCTAAAGCAGCAAAGGCTGCTGAGAAGGAGAAAAAAGATGCGGCTAAAGAAGCTGCCAAGCGCAAACAGGAAGAAGCGAAAGGGCGACAGCAAAGCATGCTGGCGGTTTTCGTCCAGCGAGCTCTCAATGCGCCCCCGAAGAAGACTACCGAGCAAATCACGAAACCTTCTACGGAATCCGATGCCGCCACTGGCTCACCGAAAGCCAAATCTAAGTTGGAGAAGTCGCCGTACGACCGAGTATTCCAGCCCTTCTTCGTTAAGCCCGACGTCATGCTAGCTCCACAGCCGTTTGAAATGGACGATGAGACCAAAGATGCCAAATCTAGAATTCTGGACCAGTACATTCGTGGCGAACGAGGCGAATTCAACCCCAAGCCGTTCAATCCAACAGAAACCTTCAACTTGGCATTCACGCGGAAGCGTGGTATTATCCCGCCCAGCGTAAAGAGCATCATGGAAACTATACACAGCGAGGCTGAGCAGGCAGGCACAAAAACAGAGTCACAGACCAAAAAACTGGCCGAAAACGCGCAAGAACGACTCAATGCTATCGCAACTAAATACCTATCTTTCTACGAAGACGTCAGACCACCGTATTTCGGAACCGTCACTACGCCTATTGGGGCCACGAAACTCCGCTTCATATCCCGTAGACCCGTCGGAAAAGCCCTCCCACTGAATTACGACTACGATTCTGAAGCGGAATGGGTGGAAGACGACGGTGAAGACCTAGATGATGAAGATGACGATGACGATTCTCATGATGGCGATGGAGAAATGGAGGACTTCCTTGACGATTCTGAGGATCAGCCTACTACGACCCGGCCAACTTTCCTTGGTGAAAAAGAGCCGGTTAGCACTGGTATTTGTTTTGAGGATCAAACGAGACTTGGCCCTTGTTCTACCACATACAAATATCAACTTGAGTTCCTACTAGGTAAGCTGAGTCAAATTAATGATTTGATATCTTGAATTAACAAAGTTACAGATACACTTGACCAACACTCAGGAATTGATCCCTTCTCAACTTCCTACTGGCCAGCTCCTGCGAAGAAAGCCACAGCGAAGAGTGCAGTTACATCTACGACAGCCGCTTCGACGGCTATGCCTCCGCCTGACGTGCCCACAAGCGCCCCAACGCTTACTTCCGGTACAGGTAGTTCTCCTCCAGCATTAGAGAACCAAAATGTAGTTCCGAAGGACGTCTTTGATGAGTTCAGACAAGCTATCATCAGCAATGAGCTCAAAGAGTTTACCAAGGGAACGATCATAGAGATGTTGACGAAGAAGTTCCCCAGCTGTACGAAGGCACAGGTGAAAGCGACATTGGACAAAGTCGCCCACCGTGTTAGTGTCCCCGGTGCAAAGAAGAATGTCAAGCAATGGGCACTTCTACCAGCATATGCCTTGTGATTTTGTTTTTGAATTCGGCACAGCACATTCACATTGAGAGGAGTGGCGTTATGATACCAATGCGTGGGAGAAGAGGAATCTTCTGTTCAGGGGTTTATGCATGGCCTAGGTAGGGGGGAGTCACTACTGTATTGCATTACGTTATACTACCAAAAGCAATAACGGACGCACCATACAAGCTTTGCTTTTCTTACAACATGAAAGGAAAAGCCCACATCTATTGTACATTTTGTGTTTGAGATTGCAAAATCTCGTCGGCGGGGATCTTTGCGAGATCCGGTTTGGTAAAGGGGGGATTCTGGACGGACGGCTGGCTGGTTGGTTTTGAGTTCACAGGACAAGGTCAAAATTAATGACATGGAACGAACTGATTTCGATTTCAATGTATTTTTTTTTTTCTTTTCTTCTCTTCGGTGACGTGACGTGATGTTTTTGTGACGAGTTACCTCTTTTGTGATTAGGTACGATGATTGATTGTTATTATTCTTTTCTTATGTCTTTGTGCCTTGATCCTGAATAGAAATCGTTAATTCGACTTTGCAGTTGTAGTTGTAGTTGCTTCATTATCATAGTGCTTAGACTTTTAATTGAGTTGCTTTGCTCGTAATCTCTTGCGCCTAGGTTTCAAGAGCCCGTAGTAGGGCTTGCATAAGTATGTGGGATTCGAGTAAATAAAGAAGACTATGTCCTTATTTAACATGCAGGAAGTAGAAGATGATGATTCGCTAGGTAGTTATGTAAATGCAATAACCTTTACCTCATATTCGAGAAAAAGGCCGTGGTTCCTAAGCTAGATTATATGTGATATATGCAGAAGACCTTCAATACTTGGGGTCTTCGTATCTTAGTATAATTTGTTGAGTCATCCTCGAACACGGCAAGTTAAGTTTTTGTATGATGACGAATATACCCAAGGGTAAAAGGAAGGGACATATATCCCTCCCTCTTCCTGAACTATCTATTGCCCTCTTCCCTATATTTCCATACTAGTTTCCTTGAGATAGAAAAGAAGCTTGAGAAAAGTACATACATGTATATAAGTAAGATATACTTTATGATCAGACTTATAGTCGGTAGGACATATTCTCCCGTTGAACACGGTGAAACGACTCACACCAGAGTTAGTATCTTCCGCAATGTAACTAATCGCTAGTATTACGTTATACCTCTCCAACTCAAAGGACCTCACAGGCCAAGCACCAGCGTATCAGTATCAGTGTCAGTGTCCCCTAGGTTCACACCTAGAGTAGGTGTTTAATCCATACAACGTGTGTCTTACCTTTAAGAAGCAATGTCTACATACTCCGGGGTGAGTTCCTCCTATTCAACCAAGCCCATGGACAGACTATTTCATCTTATATACTACTTGAGAGCATATACATAGTTACCACAATCCTCCTCCATCTCTACACTCGATCTAGAAATACCATCTGCACATCTCAAAGACTCTTAATTCCCAAATCCCTAGTTTCCTTAGACACCTATTCATCATGTAACTAGACCACCGCTAGCCTCCAGCAGCGTCTGAATTTTAATACAGCTACCTATACAATACATCAAAGCGTAGAATCATACGGCCCGACAGCCTAGCTCGTCGGGCCCGTCCTTACCAACCACAAGGGGGTGTGTATTATTTGGTTTCGGGGGGTTTTCTTTTTCGTCAGACGCATTTAACCACACACACTAAAAAAGAAACCAAACATGCCGCAAGAACCTATCATAATCATATGACATCCCCCCTCCATAATGTACACATACAACACATAACATATACACACATACATACAGACGTCATCGGCATCTGAAAATTTTAGTTACACATTCATCCTAGACCCGGCTCTTGGGGATGAGGGGGGTAAGTAGGAGGAGCCACTTGGAAGAGTTTTTGGGGGGCTTTTTTTTTTTTTCGTGTCATGGCTAGCAAGCAAACACAGGGCGTCGTCGAATGAGGAGGGGACGAGACGTTTGAGACGAGACGAAACCCCAAGCAGGCAGCAACAAGCAGCATAACCCAATAAACAAGAATGGCCTGTTTTCGCATTGATCAGAACGCTTCTACCCTAATACAATTCACTGCTTGTTTTTCTAGTCGGGACCGTCCTCACCGTAATGATTCTGCGCGGGAAAAACCATGCATGAAAATGCGAATATTTATTTGTAAAGCCACCTCATAATCGACAGGGTTCGAATCTTTCCTGATCCCGCTACGATCGCTGCTGCTCGTCTTGTAACTGTCGATTTTTGTTATTGTTGTTATGGGTTCGCTTATCGCTGTGGTGGTTCTGCGCCGCCTTCTCGCGGCGCATCTCGTCAATAGCAGAACGCTGCTGCATACTAGCGTCGTGGCTCTTGAACTCGATGCGAGTTTCGGGTGGACAGTTCAGCACGCGCCGCATCGTCTCACTGATAATTGTAAGTAAAAAAGTACCTAACGAGAGATATAATGAATAGACGTACCGGATCTTGAGGACTTTCTGTCCAGTGCTACGAGTCCAAATACTCAGCACGTCCTCTCCGTTGCGCATACTCAGTACAACACCGCAGAGCTCATCGGTCTCGTCTCCAAATTGGTCGCCAACGCAGGCCATCAGAAGATCTTCATAGTACCGATCAGCGACACCTTTCTTCAGTCGCAGTACCCACTTTCCGCCGAGCTTGTTTTCGTCGTCTTCCCATATTGGACGGATACCCTTCTTGAAGAAATGGTAGTCTGATACCGTAGGTAACGACGAGGGCCGTTTCAAGTGTGAATAGGCCAGCCAAAACTCCTCGACAGTCTTAACTGACATCATAGCATGTAACGTCTTGTCATATTCGATATAGCCGTTGGCCTTAGTGATAGGCGGCCTGTACCAAAAGACCCACGTGTCGCGGAGAGGGTGTGTTGATGCCGCAGACGCATGCTGAGCGCTCGTCTCAGAAATGGAGCCCATGGAAGGTTTGCCGGTGGTGGATCGCATAGCTTCCTTTGCCGTCTTCTCGGAGGAGGGGGTCTTGGCGCCAACTGCACCCATGGCTTGCTCGAAGGGATTTCCTTGAGACTTGGGAGTCTTGGCCGAACCGAACGATGCGAATGCGCCGGATCCGAGGCCAAACTGATTAGCCCCTCCGGCGCTAGTAGGAGAGGTCAGGGTGCCGCCGGGAGTCGTCGCGCCAAAGGCGTTCGAGCGGCCGTGGGATGAAGTGGTGCCATTTCGACGTGCTAGACTCGAGAAGTCCCGCGGGGTTGTGGAATTATCGGACTGACTCGGCGTGGACAGAGAGAGGTTGGTAACACTACAGGAGTAGAAGCGGTTAGTACTCAAGACGAAGCGGGAATCTCGACACGGACAAGGTCGGACTCACTTGTTACGACGAGTCCATATCGATTCCTGTCTATCCATGTTGAACTACTAGCACGTACGTCGGTCGCTCCCAGTAGGACGAGTGTGTTGAAACTCCCCAGTACCACCGATACACCGTCTACAATTCAAAAACTCGTCGAACCACGCTCTTTTTAACAATACTATTGGGAAGCTTCGCTAATATGATACGCCACGTGAAGGTGGGAGGTGGGAGGTGGGAGATGGTGGGCGGTTCAAGTATGTAGATCTAAACGATGTGAAAAGATGCAAGTGATGATCTTAGGATTGTGGATGAGGTAAGGGTGGAAGGATTTTCGAATTTTAGTCGGTACTGCTGTATGGTATTTTCGGTAAAGTCAATATCGAGAAGAGTGACGGGTTTCTTTGGTATATTGTATATTAAGTTATTCGGCGAGCTCATTCGTGGGGAAGAAGTTTCAAAAGTTCCAACTTTTCCAGCGTTCCTATGGCGTATGATAAATTAGGCCTAGCTCCCTTTTGCTACCTTTGTCGCTCTTGCTCATTGCTTAGGTAGGCGACTGCATTTAGCCAGCCGACCGCCAGGTGACTATACCACAGCAAGCTCTGCTCGCTCTTGCCTCCTATGGTAATTAATTTGGTGGAGCCATGCAAGTGGAGCCGTCCTGAAAAAAAATCGGCATGTTAAGTTTTTAACTTTTTGTCCGGTGACTTTTGTTTCTCTTTCTTCTTTTTTCATCATTTTAAAGACCACCAACTCAAATCATCGCCAGCCTGCCAATTTGATTTCTACGCTGCTGGCGACTCCGATGTGTGCGTCGAGAGTAACTTCATTGTGTATCCCTTGTTAAAAACCATTGTCACGAGGGCCCTTAACTGCTGGCTACCATGATGCGATGATGACCTGAAACAAGTTTGGACAGTTGATAACCATACATAGAAATTTCTATAGACACCTCGGCCAACTTATATAAGCACAGGTTACGCCAGAGCTGTTTGATATTGTAGGTAAGCCATGCAGATTTTCTTATTGCATTCTGCATCAGCTCTGATGATCTCTTTTGAGCCTGGTAATCCAATAGTGTTCAGCCAACAAAATGTGTAATCTGTCGTCACGATAGTCTGCGCAGTGGTTGAACTTGCGGAAAAAATCGGCATGTCTGAACCCTGTGCTACGAAATATCGATGTCAAGAGGAACCAGCGCGGATATTTACTAATAAAAGCTAGCAGCATTCAATAATTAACTCGTCGCATCATATACTATATTCATAAGGCCGTTGTGCATTTATCTCTTGACGAATGTCTACGTAAACGCTTTAGAGTCCAAAATATGATTATTGATATAATTAAGATTCGGGTAACTCAACAGTATATTCCTACTTGCTCGGAATATTAAGTCCTTAGATTGCCCTATCGCGTAATGATTAGACATGCATGCACATGCTGCAAGATCGACTACAAGATTTCGCATATCGTAGGCATTTGATACCGAGTTGGATATTCAAGAATGTGGTAAAATGCAATATCATTTACGGGTTAACCTCTATACGCACCAACCCACTGAGTTCTATAATCGTCCAAGGAAACAATTTCTAGGAAAGGACAGCATCCTCCAACACGATAGATATCCTTTCCCAACTGCATCACAACTATAGTTCCTCCATTCTTCTTTAGGGTGAGAAACCCCGGCCATGGACTGTCACTGACGAGTTGCCAGTAGTCATGTTAACTTGACGAATTTGTATCCACTAGAGCATGTGTGGATTGCTCTGCTTGTCCATGCTCATAGCGGTGGCCCGATCAAATAAGCTAGTTTACTGGTCCTTGCCAAAAGAGTCGGCCTTGGCGCGCAAGTTGGCAGCAGTTGAGCCAGACTCGGAAAAGTGTCGTCCAAGCATTGGCTGCAGGAAAGATCGGAAGATAAGTTGGGCGCCGCTACATATCATTAGTCCGATGAGGTAATTGAAAGCTATGTAATAGAATACGAACCTGAACATGGGCAGCGAAAGCCAAAGCAAGAAGACAAACTTGAAGGTATAGTAGAAGGGAAACCAGTAGACAACGCTGACGGCGCTCTCAACAACTCTGTAATATAAATTAGTGACGTAGGACGATATGGGAGGGCCGCGTTATTATTCGCTTACGAGAATAGGGCAAAGACAACCCAGTACTGAAGCAAGTTAGCTAAGGAAAAATCTAGTCCGGATCAATAATGGAACGTACGGTTAGCCACTGAGTGTCATCTGCCTTGGTGGAACTAAATAGGGCTGCCAAAGAGTAGTATCCGGGGACCACGAAGCCGGCGAAGTTGGTCAGGAGTTGACCGCCGAGGTTGAAAATGATGAAGAATAAGTAGAGGGAGGCTACGCCGAGAACAGCATAAACCTTAGGAACTCCAAACTGCTTTTCGAGGTTGCTAAGAGCAGGGTACTTGGAGAGCTATCTTCTCGTTAGTCTTAAGAAGCATGCGACCCGGTCGATATCGAAATAGCCCAACAGGCCAGGGTATAGGATATATGAATAGGATATACGATATGACGTACCTCACGGTCGAGCTGGGATATATAATGCTGGACACGATCTTGTGCAGACATTTTTTCTATGATTTATTCGTAGAGCTGTAAAGAGTTCGAAGAAAGATGTCTGTGGACTTGGAAGGTTGATAAAAGGTAATATGGTTGCGCAGAGGCGGGGGAAAGAAGCTGCTGCTGATGTCAAAGCAAAGTAGCTGTGGTAATGTTTTAGGGTTAGCGAAAAGCCACCTTGCTTAATATGTACACGTAGGAATGGGACAAGGCGGCTAGGGATGTGGGATCCGGAGACTGCCGGACTTACGGCAAGGAAGTTTGATTTGTTGGTATTGTTGGTATGCGAGTATTCTAGTATGCAAGAAAAGAGGTATCGCACGATGTTGTTATTTAGGTTAAGTACTTAGGTAGGTACCTAGGTAATAGGTATGTAATGAACTAAACACGACTACGTATTCTTTTATAAGCGGTTAATGAACTGGATAACGATGATGGTATTGTAAAAAAAAAAAATCGGATGCCGAATTGTGGGAAAGGGGAGCAACGAAATTACGTACAGTACGCCCCTTGTAATAATGTTAGCTTACTGGACGTGCACGATACAAAACAAGGCTTCTAATTCTGGATAGACAAACGCCCTTTAAAGCATCTCAACTATTATACCAGGTTTTTATAGCATAAAATACCCTGAAACGACGTTTTCGAAAAGCTATAACAACCTCATAGGGCGACAATAGATATACGCTTCAGGATTTTAGCAAAGTAGCTCTAGGGGTCCGCTGAATAACATTATTACAAGGGGCGTACTGTAGTGGGTAGGACGCGAAGGAGACTATGACGGAAGGCCAGCCACGACTGCGAAATCAATTTACCGTAACAGTTAATTCATTGGATTAAGGACGATATCCGCCCGGGCTAGGTCTTAGGTTAGGTACATCATAGCATGTATAGATGGAAGCTAGGTACCTTACCGTCTTGCTATGGGTTGACATAACTGTATACGGATGTCCCTTTCAAAAGTTTTTACCATAGGAAGACCCTTGTCACCCCCGGCAAGCTTTGACCAAGCTTGGCAACAACTGCTCACCTTTTCAACATGTGTATTTTATTTTACTCTGCTATTTCAATAGGATATAACTTTCTGAAACTAAATTCTGAAATTCTTCAAAAACGTAAATTATAAATATAAAACAATCATTTTTAATATGATAGTTTTTTGTTTTATTTTAGAATTATATTTGGCTGTAAAGCTTAGTAGTAAACATTAGGGATAATAATGTATACAACTTTAAATCACCCGACAGTTGCAGGCAAGTACCAGACAGCTGGCGACAATCTTGACAGGGGTTCCCTATGGTAAAAACTTTTGAAAGGGACATCCGTATATTCGGCTCATTTATCCTAAACTGTACATATACTGTTTATTACAATATACCGCTCAAATTATTTACGTATCCCTATTTTTACCATTCATTAGTTGAATAGTATTGGTACGGCTCCCCCGCCGCACGTGCCAATATTTTTAAACGTATATGTGATAGAGCCATATCTATACCGTTCAATTGAATAAGCGGTATAAATATCGTTCAATCAGAATGAGCGGTTCAAAAAATTGAACCGTTCAGGGATATGAACCGACCAATCAAATAAGTCGTATATTTACAGCTCAATATATATATGGTATATAATAGATTCAATTCAATAGAAATAGACTTACCAATCAAATAGACCTAGTCAAATAGACCTCATTAAATAGACCTAATTAAATAGATTCAATTGATTTAGTATGTGTGGCCTTGTATGTGGCCTTGTATGTGGTATGTGGTATGTGGTGTGTGCGCACCTGCCCTGTTAAATACATATATACCACACTAAGAATACCATGTACGTGCGCGTAACGTGACTACTTATATTGATTGGTCTATTTGAATGATGTCCGTGACTTAACCAATTGAAAAATGAAACCTGTGACATTGTGACTGTAATATTTAAGTAAAAAATAAATATTCAAGTAAAAAATAAATATGCGACATGTAAAAATAATAAAAAGTACAGCCTCATATAATTAGTATGGCAGCACCATACAATTAGTATGAGGCTGTACCTCCCTTTTGTTACATATGCCTATACACCATATGAACCGTTCAGATTTTAAGCGGTTCAGCCATAATGAGCCGTACTTATACAGTATAAACACGGCTCATTATATAAGCGGCTCATTTCGGTTTAGCGTTCATCNATATTTAAGTAAAAAATAAATATGCGACATGTAAAAATAATAAAAAGTACAGCCTCATATAATTAGTATGGCAGCACCATACAATTAGTATGAGGCTGTACCTCCCTTTTGTTACATATGCCTATACACCATATGAACCGTTCAGATTTTAAGCGGTTCAGCCATAATGAGCCGTACTTATACAGTATAAACACGGCTCATTATATAAGCGGCTCATTTCGGTTTAGCGTTCATCTTTTAAAACGTTTATAATTTTTTGAACTACTCAATTAGGTTTAACGGTTCAAAATTCCAACTGCAACTTTTCCATATAAGTATTAGTGCGGTTCAATTTTTTGGATAGTATATATACAGTATATATACCGTTTGGTAGACCCCCCTATAGACGCTAAGGTACCTCTAACCGACCTTATACATACACATGTACCTTCTGCGCTAAATTCTACATACATTCTACGTGGAATATGTCTCATACATGCATATCCAAATACGTACCTTCTTACGGAGGTATTTTGCATACCCCGCCCGGTGATTACACCGATTACACCAAGCAGATAGTAATCGGGAAAGAAATTAAATAGGTACTAACACATACCCAGTTGTGTGAGCAGGTACGCAACGTGAAATATTTAATGTCTTCATTTATAGTAGCGCTTCATTTGTACGAAGTTGCGGATATTCAAATTAATGATATTGATTAGGAGGTAGTCAGTGCAAAGGATAGTAAATATCTAAATAACTTAAGGTACGGAATACCTCCATTGAATCCCACTAAAGAAAGTGCGGGTATGTAAATAAAACTTTGTTGTTGCTGACACGTGATAGGTCAAGTTTAGCGCGGCTTCCATAGGTCAAAGCTTGAACACTACATATGTACTTCGTAGCTTCCGAGTACAGCTTACTTCTACATATGTAACCACCCCTGCTCTTTTTAAAAGGTGTTTACCAGCCACAAATAAGTAATTATAGCTTAGGTAATACGTCCATGCTCAATTTCCAGCCATCCAGAGTTCAGCAATCCACCGTTGCCCCGACGAGAGTTTTCTTGTTGTTTGGCTAGTCGTCTCCGCCATTTTCTGCCTCTCATCCAACAGAATCGTCAAGGGCTTGTCGCTCGGACTGATGCATCATCGCGATACTCAACATTCTATTGCATGCACTAATCTCGAGTAGTGCTTTTACTTTATCTTTATTCTGTATTCTTTCTTTAATCGCCTCGTGGCGCGTTTCTTTTCTTCGCTACTCGCCGCTTCTTTGCCTGTGTTGTTTATATTGTGGTCGCATCTCACTGTTCGGGGGTAAACAACCCTAAGCACATGGAGACTGGTAAGCCCATTCTTACTATCGAAGCCCGAGAAACATGAGCGAGTGTCCACTATGATCTCACATCAATTCAATGCATGCATGACTCTTCCTTATTATGTCCTCTAATTATCATATAGACTCTCAGCCTCTTGAAGTCGGCGCAATGTCGCAGCATAACCAGAGACAGAGGACTATATCGAGGGCTTCGACCGCCTCGATCCATAGCGTCGCGACGCAACCAACCCTCGATCAGCAAGCCTTAATGGCGCACCATGGCGCTTTTACGGATCAGTGGGTTTCGAACGATCACGTCCCCTCGAGAGATATGTCATCGGCAGTTCAACCCATGCCGGCCGGAGATATGATGCTTCGTCCTGCCTCCCAGATGCCAGTCGGCCAGTCGTTCGCGATGGGTTCGAGTATGCACTCTGCCGTCGGGCTTGGCATGTCATACGCTCAACATCCTAACCTGCACCCTGCTGTATCAGCCGAGACATTTACTGGAAATGCGAGCTTTACGGACGCCGATAGCCAGATGATGGATCGTGACGAGGCCGATGAGGTTGACTCGCTTGCTGGACCGCCGCGAGGCTCGAAACCCCCTTCGAGCCGCACTAGTGCGAACAATGAGCTTGAGATGCGCCAGCTATTTCAAGCTAATAAGAGCCGTACCCTTGCGGATGTAGCAAAGGAGCTTCATGGTAATGAGCGTGGCCCTAATTCTGAGCGCGCTCGCCAGATCTTCGCTATGCTTTGGTAAGTTATTTAAGAGTCAAAAAGCATTTTTACTAGTATAAATAAGATGGGTTCTGACTCCATATAGGATCAATGGGGTCTGTGCGAAGGGTAGAGGTTCCGTACCTCGAGGCCGAGTCTATGCCAACTATGCATCCCGCTGTGCGACGGAGAGAATAACTGTCTTGAATCCTGCTAGTTTTGGGAAGCTTGTTCGAGTCCTTTTCCCTGGTCTTAAAACTCGAAGACTTGGCGTCCGTGGAGAATCAAAATACCACTATGTCGATTTCACTTTACTGGGTGATCAGCCCAAGTCCAGAGAACCCTCTATCCAGCCCGCGATTCCCTTCCCGGAACCGGCCCCCTTTGCGCGTTCTTTGAGGTCTGTGTCACCCGCTACTAACTCGTTTGCAAGACCTGTTCTCATGCCCAACAGTGTCGCGCAGTCCCAATCCCCTGTATTGGACGTACAGCATTCAGCTCTTCCGTCACCTACGCTGGTGCAGCAATCTGATACCCCAGCTGGCTCACGCTCGGCAATCTCCCGAACTCATAGCTTGTATAACCAATGCGAAGTCAAGCATCTAGATCAGCTACATTCATCTAACTCTAAAACTATTATACGCTTAGCATTTATAGAGCCCGAGCATCCTTCCAAATCAGCCGAGGCCCTCATTCTACCTAAGATCGAGCCGTTCTTACCCAATGGAACGGACCCAGATGCGGCAATGTCTCTGACTGCTCTCTACCGATCTCACTGCACATCCCTAGTGGAGTGTATTCGCTATTGCAAGGAGAAGGCTTTCTTTCATCTCTACACCTCTTTTCAGGGCACACTCACCATGCCCGTACAGAAACTCTTCTCTCACCCCAGCATCGCGCCGTGGATAGAAGAGTGTGATTATGTACTTTACCAACGCATGATCCAGATCATCTACAGCCTCGTACTACAAGCCATTCCTCAACCCGTATTGAACGCGTTCGAGAAAATATCGCAGCAATTAGTCTCACACATTCGCGAGTCTTTTCATGGACAGCCGAGACACGTAGTCCAGGCCAAGGAGGCCCCTGCTACTATATTCGCGGGTCTGCTTGACCGCACTCTACGAGTTAACCTCACAGCTCATGCTGCGGCAAATATGCTTTCGATTTCTGCGAATAGAGATCAGATGTATCTGGATTGGATGTCAGGGGTCAGGGTCCGCAAGCTTGCCGAATGCGTTCCAACTAGAGGAATGGATGATTTAGTTGATCTCTTGTTTAATGAAATCCGAGACCTGATCGACCCCGTGAACGTCCCTTGGAGTGAAGAGTGTAAATATCTTTATGGGGAGATAGCGCTCAACAACAGACGAGGCTTACCGTCGTCAAATGCTTCTAATGGTAGCTCGGAACACTTCCTTGAACGATGGGTCGACTTCCTATTATCTCTCCAGAAACGATTCCCCTATGCCGCGGCAACGGATATTGTTTGGTGCGTGCAACGTGTCGGGTTAGAGGTTATGCGTGATCTTACCATGCGCCAGAGCAATAGTTTTGGAGCGTGGTGGGTGACGAAGTGCTGGCTTGACGAGATGGTTTCGTTCCTGGCCGAATACGGCGGTTTCATGAAGTCGAAGAACTCGCAACCTCCCGTTGGCAGCGAGATTAAGCCTCCAGTAGATGGTAACGACGTGACCTTGCGAGGTTCGCGTGTTGGTAGCGATGATCAGAGTATCTCGCATATTTCCCAGCCGCAACCAGACCGCGCCCCTTTCCCGTCTCAGCTCGAAGTCAATGGTACAGACTCCCTCCACATGTCAGTGAACCACGACGATAGCGGAATTGGGATCAGGACTCCAGAGGAGGACTTTCCTATGGAAAAATTCGACTACCAGGAAGGTCAGGACCAGAGCCTACATTCTCTAAACCTGGAGGAGTCGGTCCAATAGGATCAGTACGAGTCTCAGGGGTGTTAGAGACTATATATTAATATTCGGTGTCGGTGGTGTTGTTTAACTATTTGCCCGATCGGGCAAAACATGACCTACGTACACGAAGGTATGACGGTATGACCGAACACGATAGACAGCTAGGACCCCATGGTTTGAGGATTCCGGGGTATATGTCTGGCAGGGTCGTTTAAGTGGTAATTTTGTAACGGACAGGGCGTACATTTTCGAGGCACGGAAAAGAGCTTTTGAGGGTTGGGCCGGTATAGTTGGTCCTTGATTTTATAAAGGACAAAATGCATGTATGGTCAGGAGGAGGGGTTTTGGCCCCGGGTGTATAAGGGGCGGCATGGATATTCGCCTTGGTACTCCGATAGGATAGGAGGTCTGAATACTTGTGTAACATGGCTTGTATGATACCCGTAGCTATTTACATCTGCCCACGCGCAGCCAGTTGCGCTCTGAAGGATTCTTATACTATGGTTACTTTTCTTACGTGTCTTGTAGGTGACGATTGTGGTAGCTATATAACATGGTTCACTGTATGTAAGACAGGATACCGAACAGATGCAAGATACTAACCCAACCTAGATGACTATAAGTTTAGCGAGATGAGTTGGGATTTTTGGAAGCTATTCCAACATCTTGCCGATTAAATAATGAGTCACAATAATAAAAGGAGGTATATATGTACGCTGTTGGTATTTGGAGGTGCTATATGGAGGTAAGTTTCAAATATATTTAAATTATGACCTCAATTACACGAGAAACAGACTACCGGCGAAAAGGGAATAGGGGTCCCGCCTTTATGCCCCGCAATTCGACTATGACTGTAATGAGCTACAGCTGCTTCCACCATATGAAAACCCGAAGCGGATACTATTTTTTCATTCGCTACCGACTAATTGTGGCGTGGCACCGCCGTAGAACCTCCGATTCGGGGGCCCCTTTCTAAGGTAGACTAATTCAATTTTTATGTCTGAATCCGAACAACAAGTGAGTGCCTGCCAAGTATATCCTAATTCTTCCAATCAATTACCTACTTATTATATTCTCTCTTCTTTCATTTGAAGCAAACACATGCATACGATTTGTATCACCAATTTTAGAAGAGTATTCAAACTATAACTTATAGCTACCTGTTAACCTATAGTTAACTCAGTTTAGTTACACTGAATCTGCCCCGCCATCAACCCACACAACTTCTACATCATAAGGTTCATACTCAGTTACTTTTACTATAAAATTTTTAATCAACACAGAGCCGGAATTTTATTTCATTCATTCTTATATCACAATGGCCATGGACGCTATACTCCAAGGCAACACCAGTAGTGAAGGCTGGATAGTACAGAAATTCGGAGGCACAAGTGTTGGGAAATTCCCAGACAGCGTTTGTGATGCATCGACCCTTTCTTGCCTAATATAGTATGACTGACATTTTCCGACTTGAATATAGATTGCTGAAGGAATTGTTCGGTATGAGATCGCAACTTTGTTCCTTTACGAAACGTTACTAACGTTATGATAAGAGCCAGCTTAAGGTCGAATAAAATTGCCGTCATTTGCTCTGCTAGAAGTTCTGGTAAGAAGGTGACCGGTACTACTAGCCGGTGAGTCATTGAATGCTTTATGAAAGGGCAATTAGTCCCAATTGATCTAACACGATATATTCATATAGACTGCTAGAAGTTTATAAGCATCTACGTGCTATATCAGCAGCGACGAGTAATGAAGTCACACAGCATGAGCTCGTCGAAAAAGCCAAGCTTGTTATACGAGATATTTGCGTCGACCATGTCGCAGCAGCGCAGAAGTGGATAAAAAATCCCGACCTACAAAAATCTGTATCGTCCAACATAGAAGAGGACTGCCAGGAATTAATAGACTACATCATTGCGGCTAAGCGATTTAACTTGGAAGTCAACGCGAGATCCAAGGATCGAGTAGTTAGCTTTGGAGAGAAGTTAAGTTGCAGGTTTATGACCTACTTATTAAAAGATAGGGTTCGTTCAAATTCCAGATAAGACATTATTATCCTATTTAACTGACAATATTCGTAGCATGTTGACGCAGAGTATGTGGACTTGTCTGATGTTATGCATTATGACAGTTCCGACCGATTAAGTCCAGCATTTTACAAAGATGCAGCAGCCATTTTCCGGAAGAGGATACAGGCCTGCAATGACAGAGTCCCCGTAGTCACGGGTTTCTTCGGGAACGTCCCTGGAAGTTTGATGGACGGAGATATTGGGCGGGGATATACTGACTTATGTGCAGCTCTGGTCGCAGTGGGAGTGAAGGCTCAAGAGTTGCAGATATGGAAGGAAGTAGACGGCATATTCACGGCAGATCCCACCAAAGTACCAACGGCAAGGCTACTCGCGTCTATTACCCCGTCAGAGGCAGCAGAACTCACATTCTACGGCTCCGAAGTCATTCACCACCTAACGATGGATCAAGTAATCAAAGCAGACCCGCCGATACCAATTCGCATTAAGAATGTGAACAATCCTCGTGGAAATGGTACCATCGTGGTTCCAGATCCAGTACAATCTCCAGCACAGAAGATCAGGAGATCCAGGCCTTCGGACTCCTCGTTGCGAAAACATCCTCGGAGACCCACTGCGGTCTCTATCAAGAGCAACATCACTGTCATCAACGTACACTCGAACAAACGTTCCATTTCTCACGGTTTCTTCGCCAAGGTGTTTTCAATCCTCAACAGCCATAGAATATCCGTGGACCTTATCTCCACAAGTGAGGTTCACGTGTCAATGGCCATCCATTCCTCGAGCCCGTCCGTCCGCCATTTCGAAAAAGCAATGACAGAGCTAGAAGAATGCGGAGACGTCAGTATCTTACTCGATATGGCTATTCTAAGTCTAGTCGGTGCAGAGATGAAGAATATGACAGGTATTGCTGGCCGCATGTTCTCGACGCTAGGAGAGCATAGCATCAACATCGAGATGATATCGCAAGGTATGTGACTGCGTATATTATGCAAGTAGTTTGTGTTATTTTGGATATATTACTAATTACGACAACAGGCGCAAGTGAGATTAATATCTCGTGTGTTATCGATGCAAGGGAAGCTACGAGGGCAATGAGCATATTACATACAAACTTATTCACATTCCTCGATTAGTAGCACGGTATACTGGCATTTAACATGATATACATGTTTCGTGTTTGTGAAATAGGTCACTATAAAACGGTGGTTAGTCAGTATGTACCAGTTGAAAAAAAGGGGGTTTGGGCATCAACACGCCCTGATACTTAGAGCTAAAGCTACCTACCTATGCTTGGCTACCTATAAAAGCTTGATAGATATAGAGGCGTTGATCTGCTTAAAGCGTGCTTAAATAAATGAGGTTATTCAATTTTTGAATTCGTGATGACTGATGTCTTCTCCAACTATGCTTTAAGAAATAATGATTATTTTTAGTATTTACCTACCTGGGTAAGTTTGAGGTTAAATCTGGGCTTTGATTCGTTGTTTGCATATAAGTTAATCGAGTATGCCGAATTTCGGCAACTACCAATTGCTATAACAGGGGTTAAACTTTATCGATAAAGTCAACAGCTGCAGCGCCACACTTGACCTTTCTTATCTTCCTCACTGTCCGTCGCATAGTCTTCATCATCCATCACCATTGCAAATCGTCAATCTCTCCCCAACTACGACACGACACGACACGACGCTCTTAATTAACCGACAATTCGAATACTTATATCACAAACACATATCAACCCAGACCAATACCGCCAAAATGCCGAAAGCAGAATTTGGATCGACGAAGTACCTGAACAATAAAATGAAATCGAAGGGACTACAGCGACTTCGATGGTACTGTCAAATATGCGAAAAGCAATGCCGGGACGCCAATGCGTTCAAGATGCACACCCAAAGCGAGTCACACACGAGAAAGATGCTGCTAGTTGGTGAGGATGCGAAGAAGTATATCGACGACTTTAGCAGTCAGTTCATCAAGGACTTCTTGCAGCTACTACGAACCTCCCACGGAGAGAAGCAAGTGCAGATCAACCACTTTTACCAGAACTACATCGCCAACAAAGAGCATGTCCACATGAATGCTACCAAATGGCATTCTCTTACAGACTTCGCAAAGCACCTGGGAAGGGAAGGAATTTGCAGAGTCGAGGAAAATGATAAGGGAATCCATATCGCATGGATAGATGACTCCCCGGATGCCTTACGGCGAAAAGAAGCGGTGCGGAGGAAGGAGATGCAAGATAAGGGAGACGAAGAGCGCGAACACATGTTAATTAAGGAACAAATCAAGCGTGCGAAGAGGGAAGCGGGTGAGCAAGACGAGGACGAGGTCGACAATTCGGAAGGCAAAGAACTCAAGAGACAAGAGGGAGAGAAGATCAAGCTCTCTTTTGGCGTCAAGCCCGCTACTCAGCCGGCACCAACACCCTCTCCAGATAAATCTACCCCAGAGATATCAGTGCCGCCACCGAAAGACGCAGAGAAGAAAGAGGAATCAACAGCTACACCAGAACAACCTCCCACGACCCAGAAACCTGCCGCTGCTCCTATTTCGCTTAAAATGGCAGCGAAGCCTCAACCCAAGAACGTCTTCGCGGCTGCGAAAAAGAACGCGCTCGCGGGAGCGTCGAAGAAAGCACCGGCCTTTGGAGAGCCGAAGAAGATGAGCGAAGCTGAGCGCATTATGAAGGAGGAGATTGAGCGCAAGAGGGCTCGGGAGAGTTCGGGTAGGGGCGGGTTTTCTAATAAGCGACAGAGAAATTAAACCATACCGGGTTTTGAGAGGATCTTCGAGGGGTTTTTAAACAGCATTGCGACAGGCGTTGAGGTATACCATCGGTTGATGTTTAATAGGGGCATATGGAATTTGACATGGGCGTTTAGGGCGGCTATATATTCAAGAGAATAATAGTGTAGCCAGCTTTCAAAATGAGACAATGGACTGATCCTATTAGACGAGGATTTGGGAATAGTTCTAATTCCATGCGTGAATATAATATTTCTTCATGTTTAACACATAAGCCATATCTCGGTCTTTTCCCTCTATAATTTCTATGATAAGCACGTAAGGCTGCGGTTATTCAGAGAAATGTTTGTTTCTACCGGGGCCTTACGTGGGCTATCTGAGCCGCGTCATCACTCATGTATGATGCGATTGAGGCTCCATTTGGAGAAGCGCTTTCTACTACAACGTCACATGCGCGACCGGCCGCTTTCGACTATCTATACCTTACCTCCTGCCGTAAACTTCCTAGGGCTGAGGAGCGGTGAGGTATAATTTACGTTCGCCTGGGGGGTTTGTTGGGTGCTTAGATTTGCTAGAATCTGTAAGGGCCAGCAGCCCTATGTGTCCAGGGATGGTATCGTCATCGTGCCAAGAGTTTAGGTTAGTATGTAACTATAGGTAGACTTGCGAAATATATGCTAATGCTAACGTATGTCTGGTCTACCTAACCTACCTAAGGTATACAATGCCGGAGAGGGGAAGGAGTATATGGATTAACAATCACCATGTGTGATCCGAGGTAGAGTAGAGTAGAGTCATTACCGGATGTGCGATGGATGTGTAGGACTACGTGGTTCTACATACGCGCACTTTTGATTGCTCGTGGAGAGCATGTAGTCTAGGACTAATAGCTTTTGCTGAGCTGACGTACACTGATATGGAAGTGCATGTCGCTTGTGAGGACTAACCCATCACTGGATACGATGATCGTGATGATGATGATGATAGGAGAGACTAGGAAGTAGATAGACGGTATTGGAGTATACTGACGATGCTGTATAGTCCGCGCACTGCTCTTACACAACTCGTAGCCATATCTATACCAATATTGTTGGGAGTCTCTAGGCCTGGCTCGATATCAGCCTGTTGCGCACTTGATTACGACGGCTTCTAGAAGTGACTCATCTGAAGCAAATAGAACACATATCTCACATTATCACGATGAAGTTGAGTATAAGAATGGGTTCATCATGAACGTAAATATGGCGATATCATCACAGCGAAAGCAAACAAACGAGTAATTGAGTTCAATACCTTGTTTTTGCGACGTTAATATCGACATATCGATATATATTAAAAATCTACTCATAATTCTAGTTCTAATACTAATATCTCAATGCTCATCACTACAATGGCCGGACCATTCCCTGTGAAGAACGCTACGGTCCCGTACTGGAGGACGCAGCTACACCATCTCGACTCCCACCGCAGTACCCCGGAACTCCCCGAGAAGCAGGACATCGTTATCATCGGCGCCGGGTTTGCGGGCGCGGCTCTAGCGCACTATCTGCTTAAGGATAGCCCTGAGAGTGAACCGAAGCCGAGTATTACTATCTTGGAGGCTCGGGAAGCTTGCTCAGGGGCTACTGGCAGGAACGGTGAGTCTTGTTACACTATACTTCACCTACACTCTTATATGACTTGCGGTCTTATGCCTACTTACTAACCTTTACTAGGCGGGCACATCCGCCCTGATCTCTTCGTCGCCCTCGCGGCGCGCATGCAAGCGCAAGGCCTGGAGACTGCGAACCAAGTCGCGCTCTTCGAAGCCGCCAACGCGGAAGCCGTCGTTGCACTCGTCCGCGACGAAGGCATCGACTGCGACTTGCGCGCGGTCACCACGGGCGACGTGTTCGTGGACGCAGCCGAAGCCGCCAAGATCAAGAAGCTATGGGACGCCATGACGAAACTTAACTGCCCGACCCTGCGCTCCGTCACGTACCACGGGCCGAGCGACGCGGAGCGCGTGTCGGGGATCGCCGGGGCCAAGGTCGCGTTCACGTACCCGGCGCATGTGGTCTGGCCGTATAAGCTGGTTATGCATCTTCTAGAAGGGGCAGTGGGAAAGGGGGTTAATTTGCAGACGAAGACAACGGTGCACGGGGTTTCCGAGACGGTGGATGGGGAGGGCTATTGGACGCTGGCGACGGCTAGGGGGGCGACTCGCGCGAAACGGGTTGTTTTTGCGACGAATGCGTATACGGCGGGTTTGCTGCCCGAGTACGACGATGCGATTTATGCGGCTCGGGGTACTGTGTGTAGGGTTGTGCCGGATGCGCCGGCCACGAATATACCGCTGGGATCGGCGGGACTGGAAATGGAGAGCCCGAATTCGATCGATTCATACTATGGCTTGCGCCAGGATGGCAGTATTATTGTGGGAGGCGGGAAGAGCGCGTTTGTCGACGATAAGGAAGAGTGGTATAGGAATTATGACGACTCGACACTGATCGAGTCCACGGCGCCATATTTCGACTGCTGGGCTGCGAGGACGTTTACAGGGTGGAAGGGGTTCGAGACTGAGACGGAGAGTATTTGGACGGGCATTATGGGTGTGAGTGTCCTAACTCTTCTTGAAGCTATATCGAGGTATCATCTCTTGATAGTCTGACTTAGACTAACACTCAGGTTTATAGTACTCTGCAGACAGTGCGCCACACACCGGCCACGTACCGTTTAAACCGGGGCAATACATCTGCGCCGGCTTCGACGGTCACGGCATGCCGAACGTGTTGCTATGCGCAAAGGGGCTAGCCGAGATAATCAAGGACGGCCGCCCCTTTTCGGAGACCGGGGTGCCGGCTGTCTACGAAACTAGTGCGGCACGGCTTCGGAAGATTTCCGAGCTGGTTGCGGCTCCTACCATAGGACGGGCGCAGGCTGATATCTATCTGAAGTTTTAATGAAGGACGTTAGAGGACGGTGGGGGAGAAATCTGGAGATACATAATATATCGTGCGGCACGGAGACAGGGAGAACAAGGGGTGGTAGCTATGAGATTGTGATAAGCTGGAATAGAAGTTTCTCTGCATAACTCCTTATCGCCGTATTGTATTGTTCATCGCTCGACCTGAAGTTGACTGCTTAACGGATACGCCGGCGATCAAGATTTAAAGAGTGTTTAGGAGTTGCTTAACGAACCAGAGACCTGAACCGGAGAACTGGAAGTCGGATATCGGAGCGCACCGTGCTAAAGGGTCAGTACCTAAAAATAAGCTTCCAGGGCTGGAGCTTGTGTTGTTAATTGGCCGCCGAAGCTTGATAGAATCCACCCATGACTTAACCAATCATAAAGAAAGTAAGAAATGGAAGCAATGCAGGCACGGAATCAGGGACCCGTTCTGCCCGTGCTTTACGTCAAAGTTCCCATTTATGTACGTGTGGAAGTATGTACATAATGTACTCATCTACCAAGATTCCGCCATACATGTACATATTTGGGTACTCCCGTCATGTCCATGCCTCAGGTCGTCTCCATATAGGTACATACATTAATAACGACTTAATCACTATCGAATAAGCAGAGATGCCAGATTTTATTGCCCACCGGCAGAATAATATTCGGGCTTGAGAGATATAAGCTATATATGGCTAGGTAGGTAGGTATTAACTCAATTAGTCGAATTATTCGGCATGTGCTGACTTGTCGGATAATTACAATAAACGGATATGTTGTCTTCTAAGATTCCATCCATTCCATCGTGGTTATGTCATTTATTTTATCAGTCTCGCTAACCCAAGTACCTCCTAGCGTGGGTTTGTGCTGTGCATAAGCTGCATGGGTACATGGGTCATTGAATGAGAACATGGCCTCAACGGACGATACCTTTTTCTATATAGGTAGTATGTAAAGTTCAAAGTAACATCTTGTGGATCTGCCACTTTGCCTCAACTTTCCCATTTTTCTTTCCCAATTTCCTCTCAAGTACCCCAAGAAAGAAAGCAATAACGATAATTGCTCCTCTAAAATATGATCATGGAGTTTGGCTTGTAACGAGTCCAGAATAAACGTCTTTATTAGTTGTTCTTGTATAAGTGAGTTGGTTTTTTTTGTTTTAGTATGAGTCGCGCGATCCATCTCATTCCTATTCCCTTGCTATCTAATTATGGCATCGCGCTGTTTGCCCCTATCAACTTTTAGTTTAGCATCTGGCATGCGACTTCGTTCCGTACTTATTGATGACACGATACTATTGTGAATTACCCAACTAACTGGTCCCGATCTCGCAGTACCGTTTCCTAATTCTACTTTACGGGGGCCTTTCCATTTCGATGCTTATCTAGTTCGCGATCATTGTACTCGGAGATGGATGCCTCAAGTGCGACGTGGCATCCGGCTAAGATGCCATACACTAATAACGATAACAATCAAATATCAGAGCTCGACTCGACACAAAATCAAGATGTGAATGCCGATAACGAGCACGCGATTGAGCACTCAGCTCAGGATATGTTAAATAACGAAATAATAGAAGACGGCGCTAAGCCTCAGCAACCAAGCGACAGCGCGTTCCTAGACCAATTTAATCATGATGACGGTGGGGATAACCCATGGGATCTTTCAGGAGCCTCACACGCTGCGACTGCGCAAGGTGATGATGCTGTCGTACCTGATTACGAACACGAGATTGCCCAAGCGGAAACTACTCGGACGAGCAACGCGGCCAAACATTCCAGCACAACTTCGTTTGCGCGTACCGTGTCTCACGAGGTAAGCTTTAACGATGACGAGGATAGCGAGTTGAGCCTGCAGCGATCGGACACGGACCCTTTCAAGTTCATGCCACCGAATGAGAGGACAAACTCATTTCCCGCCGTACCGCAAAGAGAGGATGCGACTGAGGACGAATTCGATCACCCACCCCCATCAACTCAAGCCCAAGATATCCTGCATGGCTTGGAGAAGGATGATTCAGACACTGACCCCGTTGCACAATCTGAATTTCCCGATACTCTTGGCGAAGACCAGCCCGTCGATGATGAAACTGGTGCAAATGGAAGCTCATCCCAGCAATACGTTGGTGGAGAGCTTGTGGGTACTGCAGAGGAGGAGTCGGATGCTCGATTCGAGGAGGGTTTACCGTTGATTCCACAAAGCGAACAGCATGACCTAGAGAACCATTACGAACCTGAGGCTCCAGGTCTTGGAGATGCCTTTACGCAGGATGATGTTGAAGAGGGTGATGACTTTTTCAGCCAAGTAACTAAGGATGCTTCTCATCTAGGAGAAGATGCTAGCTTTGAGCATACTCTACAGAGGAAATCCACATCTATGGTAATGGGACAAGTCATAGACTCTATGACAAGGGAAGAAGAGTCGAATTCAGAGCTCCCATCTCCAGTCAAGGATGCTACGTCGGAAGAACCAGCGAATTCAGACACGCCTGCGCAGCGGGCTGTGAACGGTGATTTTGAAACTCATTCGAAGGAGGGAGTTGATACTCAACCGGGACCCGTCGATATCGATGCAAAGTGGGCTGCTGCTTTTGACGATGACGAGGACTTTCTATTGGATTCAACTGCTGAAAATAAGGAGCTGGATCCAGCAGATATCTTCGGAAGTGACGACGAAGGTTTCTTGGAGGATACGACTGAGCAGATGCCAGCGGCACCAGTAGTATCGATATCACAGCCTCATATAGCTGCGCAACCTCAGTCGGCAGGCTTAAATGGTCGTTATACTCCTGATAGTTTCCAGCATCCGGCGCAGTTAAGCCCAAACCCTTATGCACCAGCCCCCTTTGTCAATCAAATGCAACCGCCACAACCTCCTTCCTATGCGCACCCGGCCACGGCTCCTCCGCCGGCAATGGGTGGATTTGAGCCACCTCAAAAGCCAGCTATGCCTAAAGCTCAAAGTTTTGCTGATAAGGCCAAAGGCGGGTATACATCTCCGTACGATCTCCCGATGGAAGTTGTGAAACCGAAGAAGCGGATTAGTATGCAGCAACTTCCACGAGCAAACAACGCATCTCTAGGACCACCAGCCGCGCCCCCAAGGAGTGCGAGTTTGTATTCCCAACCACCACCGCCGGGAGCTTCGAACGCAAGTTTATCACCTCCTAGTTCAAGCCATTCAAGCCAACCGCCGCCACCACCACCAGCGGCAGCAATAGCCCAGAAGCCTACCCCCCAGTTAAAATCTAAATCTAGCTTCTTCGAGGACTTACCTCTATCGTCGAAGCCCCGGCCCGCGTCACGACACAGTCACCTTTCCGCCTCACCTCAACTTAGCCCATATGGACAACCACCACACGGTCCTCTTCCTGGATCCCCTTTAACATCGCCTGCTTCCTATCCTCCTCATTCCCCCCAAGAGCAAGCAACTGGTATCGCGTCATTAGTTGCTCCAGAGCGTATTAATCCTTATGCCTCGGTGCAATCCAATTCGCTACCCACGCCAAGTGCGCCTCCCGTCGCGACCTCAAGATACTCTCCCGCGCCGCCTCAATTATCAGTAGCAAACGGTATTCCACCGCCTGCTTCTAGCCGATATTCGCCCGCTCCGCCTTCTGTCCGGTCGTCTAGTGGTGGATACGCCGCTGTTCCACCCCCGATGCTCGCACACCAACCACGAACTTCCAGTCCCCTTGCTCACTCTCATTTTGAAATCTCTCACGATAAGCCAATACCAACTCCTATGAACGCTGAGGGCACCTCTGAACGTCGAAGCTCATCTCAGTATGAGCCTCGTCTCACAAGAGTGCCTTCATTACCACCAACGCAGGAAGTTGAGGAGGAACAATCTTTACTACGATCTCCCCCAGTTGCGCCCAAAGCTCCGTCCGAATCCAAATATAGTCCAAGACAAGTCAGGCATACTCCTCCGCCTCTTAACTCTCCTGCCTATAACGCGATATCTCCCCCTAAGAGAGCGGTATCAAGTTATGTCCCGATGTCTCCCGCATCCGTACCACATAAGGAGGTTAACTTTGTACCACCGCCTCGGTCTCAAACCCAATCGCCTGGAGCTCTTTATGGAAATCGGCCTGGAATAAGGCCCATCGACCCTGTCCCTCGGCCGTCTTCCGTACAAGGTGCTTCTTCCCCACGAGAGATACCGAATGCGGATGCAGCTCGACCTGCTGTTAGAGCCCGAGGCATGTCTCAGCATCTCAATCTTGTCCCGCCAACCGATGGTCGAGAGCAGGACCCCTTAAAGAGATGGCGAGGTTGTCCCGTCATTACATGGGGTGTGGGAGGAACACTTGTGACCTCTTTCCCGACGGATGTTCCACGATATGGCATTAGTCAGGCGCTCCCGATGATCGTACGCAGCCCAGGTGAGGTGAAAGTACGGCATGTCAAGGATATTCAACCGTTGGAAGAGCGTCTTGTCAAATTCCCAGGACCTTTGAAGGGCAAATCGAAGAAGAAAGAAACAGTTGCATGGCTGACGGCTGGTATTGATACTCTTGAAAGAAGTCTTCCAAATCTTTCGTTCTTGCACGCCGTTTCACATGAGGACAAGAGAGCTGTTGAGCGAGCATTATTATGGAAGATTCTACGGGTTTTTATTGAAAACGACGGTCTTCTCGAAGGAAATCCTACGGTAGAAAAGGCTGTTAGGGAGGTTATCTCACCTGGTCTTGACACTGATAATCCTGAGCTTGCTCCTGCGATTTCTACTGGAGCCGATTTGACGGGAATACCTTCAACTATAACTACTATGCAAGCGGACGCCGTCGATTCTACGACTGTCGAGCAGATCCGGCACCATCTGCTATCCGGTGACCGAGAGAAGGCCGTTTGGGCTGCGGTGGACAAGAGGCTTTGGGGCCACGCGATGCTCATTTCGAATACGATGCAAAGTCCGGAATTATATAAAAAGGTTGCTCAAGAGTTCATCAAGAAGGAGGTGAACCATCCGGGTCACGGAAATGAGTCGCTCGCGGCCCTTTATGGCGTTCTTTCTGGAAATTTTGAGGAGTCGGTAGATGAGCTCGTCCCAGTTCATGCGCGGGCAGGTCTTCAGCTTATATCTACTTCGGCTTCTATTGGCGCATCGCAGGATGCATTGGCGGGTCTTGACAAATGGCGCGAGACACTTGGCTTAATACTCAGCAACAGGAGTTTTGGCGATGCTCAAGCTCTACGATCGCTTGGTAACTTGCTCTCTGGATATGGAAGAGCGGAAGCAGCTCACATCTGCTACATCTTTGCTAGAAACTCTGCTATTTTTGGCGGTCTTGATGACCCTAATGTTAACTTCGTCCTTGTTGGAGCCGATCACCGTCGCCAAGCCGACCAGTTCGCGAAGGAGACGGAGGCCTTGCAACTTAGTGAAGTGTACGAGTATGGGTTATCCCTTGCGGGAGGCTCAAATGCTGTTCAGAGTTGCCCACACTTGGCTGCTTACAAACTACAATATGCTATGACCCTTGCTGAACATGGATTTAGAGATAAGGCTTTACAATACTGCGAGGGTATCTACAACGCTATCACTGCGCAGACGAAGAGGTCGCCTTATTACCACCCCGTTTTAGAGTCTTCCGTAGACGATCTTATGAGAAGATTGAAGCAGGCTCCAAAGGAAGAGTCATCTTCGTGGATCCCGAAGCCTAGGATGGACCAGGTGTCTACAAATATGTGGAGCCGCTTCAACAAGTTTGTTGCCGGCGATGATGAGGATGGTTCTGGTAATGCGGCGTCGGGCGAGGCTGGCGCTGAGTCTGGGCCCTTTTCTCGTCTTGCAGGCGGGACACCGACGATCAGTCGGTCTCCGTCCGTCTCGAACTTCGACGTATACGGAAACGGTAACCCATCACCTACCCTCACATCCACTAAGGCCGCTTCACGCTATGCGCCACTAATATCTCAACCCTCCAATAACCCATACGACCCTAATGCTTCTTACAATCCAGCTCCCAGATCTTCAATGGAAAGGACCTCGGGCGAGATTACACGGAGCTCCTTTGAGCTACCAACAAGAAGAGGATCAGACATGCAGTCTACATTTGGAAGTCCCTATACCCCTAATCATAACTCGTCCACTTCTACATATCAACCTGCAGCACCGGCCGCTTCTCAGACGTCTCCATATATGCCAGTCTCCCAAGGATCAGACTCAGCCCCACAACCGACGGGTATTGGAATTTCATTCCCGGGCTACGATCCATATGGAGCCGCACAAACCTCGCCAAACCCTAATGCTTCTCAGTCGCAACCCTCACCTACGGAGCTGAAACCGGCAGTTTTAGTAAATGACGCCAACGCGACGCAGGGTTATCAGCCTCCTTCGTACGGATATGAACCGCCAGCGATGAACTCCTTCGAGGCTCCTACAGGACAGACCGAAAGTTACTCGGGCGGATACGAACCACCTTCATACCAACCTTCTGGTTTTGAGCCTCCATCGTACGAGCCGGGTCCGGGTGGCAACGAAGGCGATTCTCCCAGTGAGTCGAAGCCTAAAAAGAGCTTTTTCGACGATGATGAGGATGATATTCCTGGCCTGAAGTCACAAGGGAAGAGCAAGGCGGATATAGACCGGGAGAACGCGGAGATGGTTAGGAAGATTGCTGAGGAAGAGGGTGAGTACAAACTAACGCCCCTTATTCACATGTTACTAACAGACTTGTAGAAAAACGTGCTGCTGAGGCGAAGGCAGCCAAGAAAGGCTGGGGCTTTGGAGGATGGTTCGGCGGTGGTGCCAAAAAGGAGTCACTCGAACCGGCCAACAAGCCCATCAAGGCCAAACTTGGCGAAGCCAGCAGCTTCGTATACGATCCGGACCTCAAGCGCTGGGTCAACAAGAAATCGGGAGCTGAGAACACTCCTGTTAAGTCGGCAACACCGCCTCCTCCTCGTGCAGCTGGTACCCCTCCACCGCCGGGATCTACATCCGCTCCTCCAGGGGGCTTGGGAATCCCTCCTACCGGCCCTCCCCGTGCTCATCTTACGCCTGCGCCTACACTGCTTAGAAGTGCTATTTCGCACGATAACCTCATGGTTCCCGGTGGCGCTCCGCCTATGATGCGGTCCGTCTCGGGTCAGAGTACTAGCAGCGCCCCAGGCGGGCCTCCTAGCGCACCGCCTAGCAGGCCGGCTACAAGCCTGAGCAACGCGAGCAGCATCGACGACTTGCTCGGCGCGGCGGGGCCGAGGAAGGGAGGCAAGAAGGCGAAGAAGACAGGGCGCTACGTAGACGTCATGGCAAAGTAAAGAAGGAATGCATTGAATTGTGATAAATGATTGACTGACTGATACATGCATAACGGAGGAGATAGGGATTGGCAAAGGCGCGGGCGCAAGGCTTACATCGATACATCTGTTACGGCTCGAAGCTCGGATACGCGCGTGCGCGCTGCCGGCTTGTATTATATAGACCTAGAGATTCTTGTAATAAAACGACGACCGGCTTTTGAGGCCGGTGCGCGTGTGTGTGCTAAAAGAGAATGAATGGTGTTTTGGATTCTTATTTTGGTCTTTTTCTTGGTGAAGTAAAATTGAACGGCTATTGATGGGTTTCCCTTTTTAAGAGATATTGGTGATACTTACAAAGTTGATATTTGCATTTCGGTGTGATGAATCTTTTATTCGTTTGAAGGTAACGTTTAGTTATATGATATTGTATTTAGTACGTATTATATCTCAATACATGAGGCTTATAACTATATCTGAACTGCCTTCAACCCCTTTTCCGGACCTGTTACCCAGACAATAAATATCTACTTAAATAAATCGACGATATAATACATAACAGAAACAATGTGAAATCTTCTATTAATTCTTGTGCTACAAGGTAAATAGCTCGCTCTATTTCCTTATAACATGACATCATGACAACGTAGATCCGCGTATAAACCGGGTGTGGAGTTTGTACCTGCATAGGAGATGACGCGGTCTCGGTCAACGGCATAGAGGACTGAGGTATTATTATAGACGAATCGAGTATCTTTATAGGAATTCCACTCTTCTAAGTCCTGATTCCTACTATCATCCATCTTAGATATCCCTTCCTATCCAACACCTACAACATGTCCTCCCAATCCCACCCCAGCACCCGCCCCAACACAGAGAAACACTCCGACCCTAACCCCATCGCCTACGAAGCAGAGGTGTACCAGCGCGGATTGCGGTACCAGCGACCTCCCTTTACGTTCAAGCCCCTGGAATGGGAACACCTCGCCGCGGAGCGCATGTCTGCCGACGCGCGGGGCTACGTGCTCGGGTGCGCGGGGACGGGGGAGACGGCGCGCAAGAACAGGGAGGCTTTTGGGAAATGGTCTATCGTGCCGCGGCGATTAGGGCTAGGCCAATCGTCCTCATCGTCGTCGAAAAGCAGCGATAATAATAGTAAAAGGAACAAGGGGAAATCCCCATTCCCGGACCTCTCCGTCAACGTGCTGGGTAGATCCCTTCTGTACCCCATCGCCTGCGCGCCCGTCGGCGTCCAGAAGATCATGAATCCGGACGGGGAGCTGGCGGCTGCTAGAGCGGCGGCGCGGGAGGGCGTCCCGTTTATACTGAGCACGGCGAGTAGCTCTAGTATCGAGGACGTGGCGCGGGCGAGCGATGAGGGGGCGGCAGATGGGGATGGGGGCACGGCGGAGAGGTGGTTCCAGTTGTATTGGCCGGCGAGGGAACACGATGATATCACCGTGTCGTTATTGGAGCGAGCTAAAGGGGCGGGGTTTGGGGTGTTGGTGGTTACGCTGGATACGTATATTTTGGGCTGGAGGCCGAGTGATATGGATAATGGGTGAGAAGCGTGCCTCCTTTTCACATTTCCCTATATATATTGATATTGATATTGATATTGATATGCCCCTATCCTTGGGTATGTATATACTAACGAGCAAATCATAAGATACAATCCCTTCCTCCGCTCCGACCAAGTCGGCATCGCAATCGGGCTCTCGGATCCAGTCTTCCAGACACACTTCAAAGACAAACACGCCGGCGTCTCCGTCAACGACAACCTAGGTGCCGCCGCGGCAGAATGGACGCGCACTATTTTCCCCGGCACAAAGCATACCCTCGCCGACGTAGCCTTCCTGCGCGAGCACTGGGCCGGCCCCATCGTGCTCAAGGGCATCCAGAGCGCGTCCGACGCGCGCGCAATCACGGCCTCGGGGCTCGTCGACGGGCTTGTCGTGAGTAACCACGGAGGACGACAAGCAGACGGGGGCGTGAGCTCGCTAGGGGCATTGAGGGGAGTCGTAGAAGCTGTCCACACCGTCACGGAAAGTAACAGCGGGGGCAGGAAGAGGAAAGTCCAGATCCTCTTCGACTCCGGGATCCGCAGCGGCGCCGACATCGCCAAGGCGCTTGCTCTCGGCGCGGATATGTGTCTTGTCGGACGGCCGTACGTGTACGGGCTGGTGCTCGGGGGCGAGGAGGGCGTGGCGCATGTGCTGCGCTGTTTGCTGGGGGATCTGGAGCTTACGCTGCATTTGTCGGGGATAGGGTCTGTGGGGAAGGGGGATTTGAATGGGGGGGTGCTTGTTAGGGAGGGTGAGTTGTTTTAGGGTGGCAGGGCTTGGGATGGGGTTTGTGTTGTGGGAGAGATGTGTAGATAGTTGTTGGATAGGTGTATAGGGGGTTAAAGGGGTGTGGAATAGGGGTAAGATTGAAGGATGGGGAGGGAGGGAGTAAATGGCTTTGTTTTGAATGCTTCAGACAGCTTGGATTTGTTAATGAAGCATATGTGCTTAGTTAATATATAATATAGGTCCAGTGTAGCCGTATACGTTATTGATATCATATAAACAAAATAATGTAGTCATCTAGGCTACATAGATGTAGCAAAGTACATGCAGAAATAGGGGTACCTAAAGTAAATCTAAGGCTGCAGCATATCATTATGAACTTCAAACCTCTTAATAACTAAAAGCCCGGTGGTGCAGTGGGAACACATTCCATCATTACGCGCTTCTGACAAAACTGCAGATGAAAGGTCGAGGTTGGAAAGACGTGGGTTCAAATCCCACCCGGGCTACTTTTTTTTGCTCCTTTGTCATATTATCTATTCCCCCTTTTACATTTTCCCGAGTCAGTAGCTGTTTTGAAAAGGCTGCATAACTCTCATATCGGATGATAATGCTATAATCGACTTCCCCCCACCCCCTTTTACTCTGATACCTGAAAACAACCTCATGGAACCTCGTATCCAATATTATAGCATGAGATGAGCAGGCCGTAGGGGTTTTATCATAACATAATTCTATGAGTACTATCCCTTGAATCTGAAAGTAAAATTATATTTATAACTAATAGGTGGCGGAGGCATGTGTAGCATATAATATAATATCACATCATAAAGCCTTAATATCGGTCTCACTCTCACCACTATCCTCAAACCTTAACATTTACTCAAATAAGTGAGCCTTACTATAGTTTCGGTGACCAAGACATTCCAATACTGTACAGGGTAGAGACTCGATCAAAAAATATAGCTTCATGTCTCCAGGACACTGCACGCATAATCACCACCGCATCACATAAAAGTACAAGATAAGTTAAGCAAGAAGCGAATTATTAAGATATCCCTTGATCGTAGAGCCTACAAACCTAGGTAATATACTATGCTTATGTACGTCCCTTTTCCCACACACTTTCCCCTACTCTTCCAACTGGGTAACCCTCGCCGGCCCTTATAAGCGCGCCCACCCTCCGACATGAGAAAAGGGGTTGGCCGGTCGGTCCAAGAACTCCCTCCCTTCCTTTTCCTCCGCTGACAAAGGGAATATGGCCCGGTCTGGCCGTGTCTCTTCCTTCGAACCTCTAAAAGAGTCCCTTCTCTAATAGCCTGGATTATCTTGCCGCCAAGCCAAGTGTAACTAATACACGTTTATTGAAGATAAATGAGGTTGAGAATAACTTATGGCGAGTCATTGAAAGCCTTCGTCGAACGGAGGTGCTGGATTCGGCGATTTAAGGCTCAGAACAAGTAATTATACAGTAAGTTTATGATCCGGACTTTACTCGTATATGAGCCTTGGTTTCGAGTTACTTTACAATAGCTTTGCAAAATTCGTTCGTCGGTGATCCGGACACAATTCCTCTGGGGTTGGTTAGGTAATATATTGTAGACATTATATCGGTTGGATAGATGGAAGTAGTGGGGTTTCGATTCGACACTGCTCTTTGTGCCATCCTTTCATTCCTCTGCAGCAACTTCTGCCAGTGTTTCTTCGGGTATAGGTGTTTTGGCACCCTCGTCCGTTTCGGCAGTACCGGAGCCTGGACCGGAGCCGCCCTTTAGCCGCCGTCGTCTAGCCCTCCTTTCTTCTGCCGCTGATTTCCTCAAACTATCTCTCTTCTCCGGATCATTATCATCCGCTGCATCGCCGCTTCTCATATCCTGTAGCAGCATTGCAGCCCTCTGAGCCAAACCATCCTCTCCGTCTCCATCTCCAGCCGTTGAAGGAGCTTCGCCGGGGGATGGGAAATCTGGGCTAAGGGGGTTACTATCAGAATCTGCGATACCATTGGTACTCTCCTTATTGACATTAGTTTCGGCCTCTGCTGCCTCACTGAGGTCAGGTATTTTCTGGCCTGAAGCGATGCGAACTTGGTGACGGTCCTTGAGACGCGCACGCCTTCTTCGGTCTCTTTGATCTCTTGTTTGCGGTGCCGCGGCGCGCAACTTTTCGAGAAGCGAGTCCATCGCACCGGCGGAGGCCGGCGACGGTGGGCCACTTTCGACAGCTCCCGTGACCCTGAGCTGACCATGTTTTCGTTTCATGCTAGCCTCGTTCCTACGTCTCGTCTCTTCGTATTGTACGTTCTTGTCTCTGCTCTTCTTCCACTCTTGGAGGAAGGAAGCTAGCTTGGCGAAAAAGTCGCGACGGGCGTTATCGTCCTTCGGATCTTCACCGTAGAAGACCATGATGTCATCGTATGTACGGATCATTTCTTCCAAGTATAAAGACATCTGTTCTGCTTTTCGGCGAGCATCCTTCATACACCGCTGGACGACTTGCGAGACACGGTCCTGAGGGTGGAACTTCTTAGGGTCGCTGAGGTTGCCGCTGTCTAGTGACATCTGTATGTTACGAATGTTATCCACGTATCTCCTGGCGTCCGCTTGTAGTTGCTCAATGTTGATCTTTTGAACGGTAATGACGGATTGAATATCGCCCGTGAAGCCCTCCCACTCGGGGTACTGGTTGCGAACGATACGCTCGACAAGATCTGCAAGTGTCGACTGGTTCTTGTCGTCCTTCACCATTCCTAAGCGGGCGAGCGAGCTGAGCTTGAAACCTCTTGCTTGCTTATTGGCATCGTTCATGTAGTTTCCGATATCGAGAATCAACCCGAGCACGTTCATTAGAGAGACCGAGTCTCTTAGAGCCTCCGATACCGATACGACGTGATGAATCTTTTCGTTGATTTCGTCGTAATCGGCTTCGTAACTTCTCGTCAAGGCCAACGCACGTATTCTACTCTTCCAGTAATGGTGTAGCTCGAAAGCTGTGTACAAGTAAATTTGATCTTGTCTGGTAAGCTCATTTGGATCCTGTTCACGATTTTCCTTACTGGCTTCCGGACCAGTCCAATCCTTGCTATATGGTGCCATGAGTTTCGCAGTATTGTCCGGAATGTTGCACAGATCATCTTTTTGGAGGAAATCCATGACAACAGGATTGTCAAGTATCTCCTTGTCGCATTGAATGATCATCTGGACGATCTTTTCTACAGAGGACTGTGAAAATTTGGCAAAAGCAATTTCTAGAATAAGTTAGTATTTTATAACTTTTGGCAATTCTAATATGGGAATTGAGCTTACCGTAAGCTTTCCGAAGGTCACTAGAGATAATTTGCTTCTTGTCATCCTTCTTAGAGGTGCCAACACCAAGCTTCTTGATCTCTTTGGCCATGAACAATTTCTCAACTTCGTCCAGAATACCTTTCTTGCTAAGCTCGGCATACTTCTCTTCTCTTGCTTCTGCCGAAGGAGCATGGGCCGCCCAATGACTGGTTTCGGGGGTATCAACCTTGTCCCAATGGAGGGCCTTGAGCTTCTTCTTCGGCCTGACAACAGGCAGACCGATTGTGGGACCCGGTGCGAAGTTATTTTGCGCAGAGAGGAAGTGACCGGACATGGCACCAGGCATTGGCGGAGGAGGGGGAGGCATTCCTCCGGCAGCCCCAGGCATAGGAGGCGGCGGAGGCGGAGGGGGTGGGCCACCTGCAGATGAGGGTGATAGCATTCCTGGCATTGGGGGAGGTGGTGGCGGCGGAGGCGGGGGTGGAGGAGCAGCTCCCGGAAGTTGACCGGGCATTGGAGGAGGAGGGGGAGGAGGAGGCGGCGGCGGTGCTCCGGGAAGTTGGCCTGGCATCGGAGGTGGTGGAGGTGGAGGGGGAGCAGCCGTGTCGCTTACTTGAATCTTCGGCGGCTCAACTTCGCTTGGGGTGATGGGTGACTGTGACTCAAGGCTTGGGTGAGATGGGTTGGTTGTCGCGCCATCTTCGGAGTCGCTAATATCGTCCCTCTTACCCTTCGCTTGGATCTCCGACATGAGGCTAGCAGCCTGCTTAGGATCCATAACAGGCCTCCTAATCTCGACGACTCTTGGCTTCTCGTATACAATGTCGTCGTCACCTTCGGTGGCACCTTCGTCAGCGCTAGAGATATGCTGTCCTGCAACGGGCTTCCTGGACAACCTTGTCTGTCTGTTGACTGTCCCAAGCATACCAGACGGCGGGAGTCCTGCGCCTTCCGGTGTCTCAGGATAGCTCTCCGCATAGCCATCCATTTCCTCACGTAGCGCACGCAAGCGGTCTGAAGGACCGATAGCATCGCCCCAGACTCTGCCCTCGAGTTTGTACTGGGTCTTCTGTCGTTCGAGCTGCATAGCAAGTCGGTCCATAAGCTTTTCACGATCTAGAATACCTTGCATTCGAGTAGGATCCTCATCAGCCATCTTGTTCCCAGAGACGCCCTTGACGGCCTGAGAGGCGGCTACGTCTTGGGCGTCCCTGAGCATAAGATACAGTTCTCTCGTTTCTAGTTCGTACCGCTGCGCTTCCTTAGCACGCACCGTCTGCATGTTCTCGATTTCGGCCTTAAGACCATCCGCCTGGCGCTTTTGGGCTTCGATGAAGCGAGCTTGCTCTTCTAATTGTCTCTGTAGCTTAGCAACAAGACCATCCGCGCCGAGTTCTAACTGAGCTCTCATCTCATCCCGCTCTGCCATGGCAGCATCGGCAATCTGCCGAGACTCTAAAGCCTCGTCCAGAGCCTGTCTGGCTTCGGAATCTGTATGTAGCTTATCCAAAAGACTCTGGACCGTGAAGTTCAAGCTTTGCTTGAGGTCCATGTTCGGCAGACGCCGGTCCATGGCCACATAGCTTAGCATCGAGTCGACGAGCTGGAACATCCGCAACCGTTCTTCTCCGTCATTATCTCGGATCAGAAGCAGATGTTGTAATGCAGATATGAAATAGTCATGCGTCTTAGAGCCTTGGAGTCGTTGCTGAATAGCGTCTACGATCTGGGTCGGATCGTTGAGGTCCTTAACCTCACCTTCGACGCTATCTTTCATGCTACTATTCTCCCGCTCAAGCATATCCTCGTAGTCGATAGCCTCGTTTGTCCGGAACCGCTCGACCTGTTTGTCTATCAGGTCATATTGGAACGCCTCCATCTTCGTGAGGATCCGCTTGATCCCACAAGCACCGAACTGCGCCCTGATATGCATGCGTAGCTGGAGATCATTCTCAGGGGCATCAATGATCGAATTGACGAGGATGAGCGTTGCAACCGCGTATTCCATTAGGAGGTTCTCCATGCCGATACCACCACTGCGGACTTCATCGCTGGCCCCGACGAGACTGCCCATCTTCCCTCGCCCGTCTACAGTGACCTCGACGAGTCGCATCCAAGAGTCGAAGCGGCCATTCTCGCTCTGCTGGGTCTTCACTACATCCATAGCCTGGATCACCTTAATGTGACCCTCACCCCCGTCCCAGTGGCATAGGAAGGATAACACATCGCTGACTAGTTTTCGTGTCGTGAGCCTTGGCGATATGAGCGACGTGACGAGAGCCACGACCACTTGCTGGTGGGCGAGCGCATCGTCAGCGCCATATTTGTTGTTTAGTAGGGCCTTTAGGCACTTTAAAATATCGTATTCCTTATCGAGGTTCTTGTCGCTCGTTTTTACGTCGGATGGGGCTGCAGGTCCAACAGCGCTCTTCCGATTGAGTTTCAACAAGACGTTGGTGAGAGCGACCTGCCCTTGACATTCGATGAATCGCTTCACCCAACCGATCTGTTGAGTTCGCAAGTTGACCTCGAGACTACCTAACCCTTTCAAATCCAAGGTATTGTCCATAACCTTTCGCACGTACCATTCGGGAGATCCCTCTTCGTCAGAGGATGCGGCTACGTCAACATTTGATGTCGGATATACTCCTGTTTTCGCTGCCTGCTGCCGCCTCTTTTGTTCCCCTTGTAGTTCTGTTAGACGATCCTGGTAGATGAGTGTCCATTTTTTGGATGATGGATATGCCTGCATTTGTCGCCGTGCTTGTTCCGGAAGATTATGCCAACCTCGCTTCTTCATCAACTCGTAGAACATTTGTTCTGTAATTCTATCGTCGTCCGGTCTGGTGAGTGGGAACCCGTCTCCACTTCCGGGTGGAAATACTGGGTTTCCTGGAGGTTTAACTAGGCGATGAGAATCTCTACTCGAGGGTAGCGATGCAATGGAACTCTGGGAGGTAGCACTGGGCAGCGCTATTCTGGATGAGCGCATATTCGTGGAACTATTAGGGGGTACTCCATTACCTGCTGAAAATACGCTGGATTGGTCGCTTTGCCTAGATGTTCTGCCGAAGCCGGGCATACCATAACCTGGTAGAGAATCCCATCTTTCATTGTAGCTGCTGTTTTGCATCGAAGAAGCTGTGCTTGCACGAGGCGTTGGGGAACCGCCCGAGGCTGGTCCCCACTGATGAAATTGAGTCTGCCGACCGGTAGATGCCATTGTGACATTCCCACCATTACCAGTGCTGGGGCGCTGCTGCTGCTGAACCGAGTGCTGAGAACTAGCAACGCTCACAATCGAGGCCGTATCGAAAGATGGATACTGATGGAAGTCACCGGTGCCTTTATTCAAGTGATGGGGCTGGGGTAGAAGATCCCGGCGCACAGGCGGCTGTTCGCTTCGAGGAAGGTATTCGACGGGTATTGGACTTCGTTGGTCGGCATGTGTGCTGTTATAGGGGATGGCAGTAATTACACCAGCGTTGTTATTAACGCCGGTTTCGGGAGAGCTCGGACGGTCGAGCGATACTATCGACGAGTCCCTAACATGTCGAGAGGTACGCGACGAGGAATCATTATCCAAACCGAGGAATCGCCCTTCTTCGCTACCGGTGTGTCTCTTATCACTCCTATGTTTACTCCTAGAGAAGAAGCCCTTACCACCGGACGACATGACTGCGTGAGGCGGAGAGGGCGCGTTGAAACGCCGGCGCTTTAGTCGCTTTCTATTGATGATATATTTACCCAGTAGTCGAACGTGTCGATACGATTTTCAGGACGAGGCGAATGAAGCAATCGAAACCTATGGGGGATATCGGATTCGTGCCGTCAGTGTATTGGATGTTGGAGATGTTGAATGAATTGCATCATGTTCTCCGGCAAAGAATATAGAGTTGGCAAGGAAAATACAGGTTGAAATTGCAGATCTAGGATCGAATGAAGGCCTGCATTAATGTGTGGTAGTATTAGCATTATATTTGGCGATGAAGCATTGCAGACAAATACAAGGGTAAATTTTTTGGTGAAATCGGGGATTTAGTGAAAGGAGAGAATGCGCAATGAAGAAGGGGGGGGCCATACGCACATAGAACTGAACACGGCGCTAGACTACATAAATGCGGATGAAGAAGAAAAAATTAAAATGTCAACAGTTCTTCGTTATTGAGTCGGCAAACGTCAGTTGCTAAACAATTCGAATTCAAAGTAGGGGCGGGAAAGAGGTGGTCATAGTGGTTGTAGTTATCGGGATGTGATATTGTTGCTCAAAGGAGGTTGCTACCGTCTGATGAGACGGCAAGGTTGCGGGCTGCGGGTTGCGGGTTCAATGTTGTGCAATGTCGCAGTATGTACCATAGATAATACCGAGCACTTGTGGTTGGCTTGTGGTAGGGAGGATGCAACTTGTAGGGTACAAAGCGGATTACCAATTGAATTTACACGTTGACGATTTCCCATCTTTTCGCCCCCCCAATTTGCGATAAGCCCATATGAATTTGTCTTAAAGCGGGAGTTCAGCTGAGGAAGAAATATCCGATTTCTGTAATTACAATTATGTACCTAATCAGGGGTCTTTCATGTATAAAACGCGCAGTAATAAGACCTGTCATTAACACTAACGCTTAAGCAATGATCAATCAGATTAGCGATTTATTTTAACAACACTATTTTATTATTATTTTTATATTAATAATTCTTTAATGGTATATATCTTGTGTAATTCATAGTGTGTAGATATTTTCATTTTAAGTATCGATAAATCCCACAATGCCACCATGGAAAGGTGTGGACGATTCTGAAACATCAAGTGGAACATGAACCCCTGGAAGATCCCACATAGCGATGGCGATAATGATGCGATCTGGAGAGGTCCTGGGTCCCTGGGCACTCAAGACCACAGATTAGAAGTGTACCGTAGGCACAGAGACGGTAGATATTATAAAGTGCGGATATAAGAGGGCATCTACAAGTGCCTAAAGCTCGTGAAGAAGTCTTTAGCCGATGCGCAGAAAAGGGGTTGCATACTGTCGAACACACCACTACACCACCAAGAGGTAATTTCGTAATAGTGTCTGTTCTATTCTTTCTGGCCCCTCGGTTCTGGTTGGGGGATGGTTACTACGTAGATTTAGTGTAGTATACTTCGGCGCCTAAGATAGACTATTAGAATACTCCATGTCGAATCTAGAAGGATTCAGGGTCAGTAGACACATTAAGCTCCATTTTCGCTTGACGATAGCCGTTCTACCTTCCTATCCTAATCGCGGGGCTTGCTACTGGGATTATGAATATCGCTATTATATTTACCTACTCACCCTACGCATGCCAGAGGTAGACCGTAGACATAGAAGAATATCGATCAAAAATACCGAACAATTACACAAGAATATAAAATAATATCCAATATCGGTAACACAAATGTAAGGTTGTTTAAGAGGTACATGTATTGAAATACCTATATTTATAAGTGGACCATGAGAACCAGCGCTGTGTTACCTTTTAAAATAATTCAGCCAATAGCAAAGAAGTCTTAAATCCGTATATAGGGGTGGATACCGCTATTTATAATTATGTAAGCACTTACATGGGGAAACTTGAAGTTGCGACTGCGCGTGCCGAGCCGTACGTAACCATCTCCGTCTTCAGCCTTACAAAGTACAATTGACCAAAGAAGTAAACTCATGCAGAGCTTCTACGTGGTGCGAAAGACGTGTTTGTTACCGAGACTTGCCGTTTCTAATAATTCTATATAAACAGTCGCTGTCGATTCTTCTTCGCCCTTATAACTAATAGTCGCACATGAACACGGATTTTAGAGTCGGATCAGCCCGGTCTTAGAAGGCTAGAACCTACAAACCCTGACCTCATATCATGCTCTCCTGGTAGAAAGGAGTATTGCGCAACACCGCCAGCATGATGGCCACCACAATCTCCGTAGTCAAGGTCAGTTTGAGTTATAACTTATACATAATGAATTGTCGCAAACCTAACTCTTACAGACGCTTATAATACCCGCCGTCATCTCCCTTATCCTATTTCTCCTATCCACCTACGTGTTTGTCCCATTATGGCGGCATTACCATGCGCGTTATAGCCAATACCTCCCTCTCGACACGATCTCGAGTCATACGGTATCCCTACGCGTCAGAGTACAAGATGCAATAGCTCGATGGATGGTCCCATCGAGGTGGCGCATTAATATGCACGACCGCGTAGTAGTCGGAGCCGATGACGCATCCGACATAGGTTTCAGCTCCGAAGAAGGCGAAGAATTGGACGAAGTCAACGACGATCGCCGGCACGCGATATCATTAGATGCCCATGATCCCGAGCGTGCGGATAGTACAAGGAGACTAAGCAGAGAGTAGGTTAAGGAAGCCCGCTGCCTAAACTATCGCAATTGTACATTAAGACACATGACTAATTACCAGGACCTAGTTTAGAGGAAGGCTTCCGAGATGACAGCGAAGAGGAAAATGACGCGCATCGAAGCAGGCGGTAACAGTTCTTGTTGTTAGATAATGACATTAACAATACGTCTTTGGGATAATTACACCATCATTGGGCAAATCGATTTGCCGCTGTTTGAATACATGGGAGAGCGTTGGAAAGCTGTTGCATTGTTAATTGGTCATAATTCTGTTGGGTGCGAGCCATACTGCAACGCGTGGCGTAAGGGGATCTTGTAAACCAGTTTAGTGAGTCTGGAGTTTCGAATGGATCTTCATTCTTCAGGGCCTAGCCTATGCACATCTCTAACTATAGGTGGTTTGTTCTGAGAGCGATGTTCTGAATCCCTGTTGTGTCAGATGGGATCAGATATCTGCCTGAGTCTATATCATTGAATACCTGGTACGACAAGGTAACTTATACGTTAACAGATCCTATCGTGAGGCCTTTGCCATAGGTTATCGAGGAATAAACTAACAGTCCTTGTGAGCCCCAACCCAAGTTCACTTTGCTAACTTTACTTCTTACCCAAACAAGTGTTTTGATACGCCAGGAATACTACCTCCTTTTGTGGATACCCAGCGTTATAGTTTGGGACGATATCCCCTTGGCTGGCATAAGACAGCAACTCCATAACTTTCAGTATTAGTACATAAGGCTTAACGTCATTCATTAACATAATAGGAAAAGGTCTTATAATTAGTCTTTAAAACCGCAACTCGCAAATATTATTGGTCGATTTAGTATCGCACGAGTCTTTCTTTCTTTTCTAGCCAATCCGTATGTATCAATACTGAAAGTTATGGAGTTGCTGTCTTATGCCAGCCAAGGGGATATGTATTTACTAAGCCTGTCGGATGATTCTGTATGTCGAACAGATAATGCCCGACTACTGCAACTAGCGGTTAATTAATGCAATGAGGTTGTATTGGAAATCATAGGTTGACTCATGCTATTTCGGGAATAGGTATTGAATCTATTAAGATAAGACAAGTCATCTCGACTATTACTTTTCCATAAATGTAACGTATGAAATTTGAAACGCTAATGTCTTGCTAGACAATGTGAACCTATTATTTTCCCAAGACTGTTCTGGAAATATTCTAGATTTTATTTAAAATAAATAACCTTCTAATGGAAAAGGAAGACTGTCTTACTCGCTCTTTACATACATATGGGCTAACGAATCACATCTAAATCAGCAATGTCAATTCTTATACGCCATTTCCACTGAAGCACCATTGTATTGGACACCTGCTGTGAGATAACGAAGAATAAAGCCAGCACGTCATTGAAGATGAGCGGATGTATCAGCATTTGAGTTTACACGGATAATCCCCAGATCAATATGGCCAGCATGCAGTCTCCAATGGTCACAAAAGTGACTTCATAGCGCTTCTCGATGACCAGCAGATGTTCGAAATCAATCTGTTACCTAGGTTGCGTAACCAGGTAGTTATTTAAGATACGACCTAGCAGAGTTGTGGTGGTAAGGGAAGAGAGACAAAAGCGGCCTCGAGTACATATTTACTGTTGAACTCAGTAACGTCTCAAGCAGATATTAAAAGCCTTCGTGTCACAAACATTAGTCATCCAACACCCGAAAGCTTGATCGAGTATTACGAAGGTTAGCGCGGGAGAGGCAATTGCCAACTTTCGAGGGAAGGGACTTTCAAAAGCCGCATGCGGAATAACCAACATGAAGCTTACTAGCTGATGCACCTGCCTAGTCAAATTCTACCCGCGCTTGCATCTACATATATGGAGGCAGGTATGGCATGTATGTACATATGTAAGTTGCATGTACGTACGTACATTAGTGCAATTATGTCAATACGTGCTAATAAATCTAATTGCACCCGACTTGCACGTGGTTAGCATCACATTCCAGTCTTATCTCGCATACTGGCAACCATCACGGATTCGGACAGCTCTAAACGGTAAATAATATGCACATGAGAACGCTTATCTACCTTTGGGGTCCTATACTACGATATAATTCAGCGCACATGATGCCATGAGGGAGGACCTGACTTAACTAGTTACCTAATTAACCTGTTAGCCATCGATATTATACCTGGTTATACCTGGATATACCAGGTATAATGCGAATTTGTATTTGATGTAAGTTATCTCGTCATTCGCTCTATTATACTACCTCTTACCTATCTAATATGTTGAAAATCCTAGGACTAAAGGTAGACATATATACCTAATCTAGACGAGAAAGACCATTGGATCCTCAAAATATCCTCTTTCTATTTTAACATTGGACCTTACCCGAGCCCAACAGGTCCACAGGCCAGTGCTGATTTGAGCAACACTTTTTTTTTGCAGTTTATTTCGACCTACTCGGTTCACAAATGAAGCTGCAGCCGGATATACGTTGAGCGACTTAAAAACAGATACCTAGCAACCAATCGTGTTCTGGCCGCGACCGTATCTGAATCATTTTGATCACATCATTAGGCCATTATATGGACATACTGAATCTTCCCTCCTCAACACTTAATCCCTACTAATTTTCACAACTGCATGATACTTCCGTAATCGTGAGCTATTCCAACGTTCACCCGACCGAAATATTCCCGTTGCGTCAAGGTCAACCCAAGTTGCAGACGGCAAGTTACGAGAGTACCGACAAACAAGCAAACATACAGTCAGGTCTGTCTCGAAAAGCAAAGGCGTCTTACTTGCACTGTCCATTGATTGGACCGGATTCCCCAGTCAAAAGCCGAAACAGGCTAACAGCTTACTTGAGTTAACTGTGTGTACGGTCTCGGACGTATACTGTGGTTACAGCTCGCTTGCATTTCCCTTGACATTATCGCGTATCCAGAATCCAGAACAAATACTTTTACGCTTGTATACCTTTTGCGACATAGGATTTCATTAGGCAGGCAGGCTTACAGCCTTGCCATCAATTCTTTTTGCTTCTCTTCTCAATTCAAATACATATACCTTGTCTTCAACACCTCGCGTTATTCGAAGCTTCAATCAGCGACCCACCAACCCACCAACCATGAAGATAATACCCAAGGTCGGCCTAAAGCTTCTAAAGAAGCTGTTGCCAAAGAAAGGCAACAATGTTGACCCGGTAGCTTCAGACGCACAAGATAATAGTTCTCCTAAGAACAAGAAGCAATCATTGCCTGAACCCCCTGAAGAATGTCCCATATGTCACGACCCTGTCGGTATCGCTAATCCCGAGGGTATCGTTGAATCATGGACCAAACTACACTGCGGTCATAAATTTGGCACACACTGCATCCAGACTTGGCTACAAGAATCTGTCAACCGCGATCCGAATATCAATCCGAGTTGCCCCATCTGCCGAAGTACGGCTAAGCATCCTTGCGGACACTTGATAAGTCCCCCACCCTTCCCGTCTCTTCATCTGGATTGGCAATCACCTCGAACCCCGCCACCACCTCCGCGACGCCACCAGGTCCGTCGCCGCCTTACCAGACGACCGGGTCATCCACTCCGTCCCCCACCTCAACCTCGTCGCCGGGCCCAGGTGGTTGGCGAATGTAGAACCTGTATCGAGAATGCCGAGTTTGAGGAGCGGCTGCGTAGCAGGATTAGGGAACGTGGACGGCAAGACACAGGTGGGTCGTCGACTAGCGCTGGCGGCCGGTCTGCAGCCGCTATCAAGTCCATCATACCGGGACTAAAGAGATCTACGAACACCGTCCGCACGACAGTCATTCATGTGGGCATTGATCCTCACGAGGAAAGACATCCGCGAAGTGTCTTCTGCGTCTCGCCGCATGTCTCATCACGCCGGATGCCTCGACACTCGACGCCACCTCCGGGGTATAATAGACGTCTCAGCATATAAAGGACTACATTAATGTTAACAGCATTAAGCGTACAATTTACGGACTAGACGGGAGGGAAGGGATAGATTACAGGCTAGATGGATGGACGGAAGGATGGATTTCTTTGCAGTCTTTCAATGTTCTGACGGATCATGGGATAGATCTGTCTACCCATCTACTTGATAACGGAAGCTATAGCTATGGCGAATAGTCTATCACGTAGCCGGAGTGCACGGGTCATAAGGAAGCTTAGGAGTTCTTAGGCTAGGTCTACACGGGATTGCGCTCGGTTGGTATTTGATCTACGCAATTGCATTATGGATTCGGTTAGGCTATAGGAATATTTGCTGGACAGATGAACGAGTGGATATCTACGTGATGTTTACTTGCCGAGTTAGTTGCCCAACCCATTCTACCATTTTCCCTACTACGTACCTCTTGCATACAGCTGAATCTGATGGCGGGGTATTTTTCTACTCTCATTGTTTTTTTTTTGTTAACGATAACGGCGTAGGCGGGGATGGGAGCTGGGGGGGAGGGGTTCGGATTTCCACTTTCCTTGGTCCTTTGGCTCCTTAACGGGGAAAGCTGAATGGGGGCGGCAGGGGGTAGCTAACGTACCGCTTACCCCGCACTATAAACAAACATGCTAGGATCAGCTACACTAGGATTAGGTAGCTTTTTAGGCTTATCGATTAAGCTAATTGATGAATCGCTACATATCATTTTGTTTGGTTTTCACCTGCATTCGGAGCACGAGCCGTCGATATCCATTTCTTATCCGCGATCAACTTTTGTTTGCGCGATTGTTTGTCGCGTCCCCCGTCTTACGTGACAGGTTCCTCACATAAGTCGTACCGGGGATATGGTGGTGGTGTATTGTCTTTTGAAGATACAACCAATATGAGGTTCAGATCGGATCTCAAGAACACGCGCACATTCTCGAGTGAGCTAGCTTGGAAGATCTTCGAAATATATGCATGTTTCTAATCTTGAATCTTGAATCTTGAATAGAATTGGTGGCCGCTCTTTCGTCCCTCGAGAAGATCGCCTGGCTGCGTCTTGACGATGATACCGTTCGCTTCACGGTAATCCCGGATACCGGGTCGCAAGTTTGGGCGTTCGTAGACCCTGCTATTCTAATCTTTGCGCAACCAGAGTTTGCATTTCTGATCATCTCATATTATCTAGCTCGTTTTCGCTGGACTTCATCTTCGACAACTATGCACTCCAATCCGCCGAACCGAACAATACCATCAACCTCGAACTACCCCTAGGACCTCTCCAGCGCGCCCTCAAGTCCGCTCTAAATGGCGTCTCAGCGTCGATCCGCCTGACCAAGAAAGACGGTATACCCGTACTATCGATGACAATCACCACCACTGCCGCACCGACCAAGGAACCCCAGGGCGTAGCTCGTCTCGGCGCTATAGGCGCTAACCCCGGCGTCGGGAGCCGAGATAACTATGACGACGAAGACGGAGTCTTCGCCCACGAACCCCTCGAGACAAGCTTACACCGCGAGCGCGAAAAAATCGTCACGCAGGACATCCCCGTGCGAGTCCTGCACCCCGACACCGTGGAAACCATCATGCAGCCCAAAGTCCGCGAACCCGACGTCCACATCCAACTCCCCCCATTACTCCAGCTAAAAGCAATCTCCGACCGCTTCACCAAGCTAGCCCTAGCCTCCCGCGCCTCCACATCCTCCAACACAGCAGCAGCAGCAGTAGCGCCATCGTCATCCTACTCGCCCAAGCTCGAGCTCAGCGCCAACATGCACGGCGGCCTGCGCCTGCGTCTCGACACCGACACCCTCGACGTCGAGAGCCGGTGGTCCGGGCTCGAGAACCCGGAGCTGGACCCCGCGCAGCTGCCGTGCGCGCTCGAGGACCACCCCAGCACCCGGTTCCGCGAGGCGGGGCCCGACAAGTGGGCGACGGTGCGGGTGGATGGTAAGGATTGGAGTAAGGTGCTAAGTGTGGGACGTCTGGAGGGACGCGTTATTGCGTGTTTTGCGGATGATCATGCGTTGATTATGTATGTGTACGTGCCGCAGTATGATGATACGGGGGCGGAGGACTCGGTTGTTACGGTGAGTTTTTTTCTCCTTTTTTTTTGTCTGTCATTTGTATTCTTGTTTTTGAGGATCGTGCTGTTTTGTGCTGTACTAATGCATTTTAGTACTATGTGTCTTCGTATAGCGTGTGAGTGAGTGAGTTTTACTCTGCGGGTAGGAGTTTAGGGGTCTATGGCGGCGTCTTCCTTCTTCGAGGGCGACTAGGGTATTCGAAGTGGCCTGGAACGGAATTATGAATGGATAATCCTGGCTTTAAAATTTACGAGGTGCTTTAAGTTTTGTAGTTGCTGGATAGATTATAGACTATAGATTACTTGTAGAATGAGATGCAAGTTGGTATTACTGAGAATACATAGGACATAAAATTAGGCGCTAAACAGCTAACCTAGAGTGTTGTTCTAATACATACCTGTAAGCTTTAAGTTACATTTTGTAAGAATACGGGGCATGTCTATAGTCTAAGTGCTGGCTTAGTTAATTCGGTGGACACGCACTCTCTCTTAACAACTCGGGTTGAGATTTTTTGATATGACATTTACATCTTAGAGTCTAGAGTTCATATGCCCTATATAATAACGTAGAATAATATATACTCTGCACTCTCATACATCCGTTTATAAACCTGCATGTGTCCTATACATTCTATATCCTACGCCAACTCTTCTCTTTAAACCAGCCCATCGTATAACACCCATATAATACACGGAATCCCCTCATGGACATATAATTCTCTAACACCCTCTAAACCTAGCCTACTCACTCACTCTTAGTTCAAAATCATCATACTCTCGCCCCTTCCAACATTAAGCCATCTACAACTTAAGAACAAGCCAGTTCCGCCCCTCATCCTGCATCATCTGCCCCAACATCCCACGCACCGGGCCCTGCCTCTCACTCCCCCCAAACCATCGTTTGGCCCCCGCATACGCCGCCACAAAGCCATACGGGCCCGACACGCAGATCAGATTCGCGCCTGCCCCGGTCTGCGTAGATGATGAAGAAGAAGGGTTGTTATGTAGACAGGTACACGGTGAAGTTCGCCGTTCGACGTCGTTGTCGTCGGGGAGTGTTATGAGTTGGGTTGGAGAGTGCCATGTACAGGATGGGGAGGCAGGGAGGGGGATAGAGGTTAGTGAGGAGGTGTTTGTTAGCGCGAGGTGCAGATCTTGTTCTTCGATGAAATGTCTTTCCTCGTCGATAAAATACGAAATGTGGAAGTGGTCGGGGTGTTTGAGTTGTAGCTCGCGGATTTGGAGTGCGAGGGTTGGTTCTGCTTGGGTCTGTAGATCCTGGTTGATCGTACCAGACGGTGCTGGAGTTGGGGTTGCGCTGCGCCAGAACCAGGATGATGATGATCGTAGGTTGTTAGTATTGGAACCCCGAGTCTGCTGTTGTTGTTGTCGTCCCAGCGCGTCAGCAGCGTATCGATTCGCCCATAGGATCGAGACGGTAGGTTTCCTCTTCCCTTCCTGTCCACTTATCTCAACCCCTGAGCCGTAATCCTCCAAGACCCTCCGCGCAACTTGCAATGCAGGCGCGATCCCCGTGCCCCCGGCGAGAAATACGACGTGTCTACCGGCATCGCCCAGGCGCCGCGCGACATCGAACCCGAGGTGCGGGCCCCGCAGCCATATCTTCTCGCCCACGCGCAGCTTCGACAGGTACGTCGACATCTCGCCGCCGTCGACCTTACGGATTAAGAACCTTAGCTCCCCGCCTCCTTCTCCCTCGGCATTACCACAGGACCCCGACAGAGGAGGCAACGGCGTGTAATGCCGCGCGATCTGCAACTGCGGCTGCTTGATCTCCACGGACCAGAGACCATGGTCCCAGGACCGCTGTAGCAGCTGTGACGAACTCTCTCCATTCTGCCCTAGTTTCTGCTGCTCGGCGCGAACGCTAAGCACGAAGGCTGTGGGCGAGACCTGCTCTTTGGCGGTGATGGTGAAGGGGCTGAAGGACGTCGTGTTTATGGGGGAATTCTTGGCGCCGTCTTGAGAGTTTATGCTTCTGAGCACGACTGCGACGATGAATACGCCGCTGAGACCGGCTAGGTTGAAGAGGACCCATGTGCGCCATGTTGGGCGCTGCTTTGGGGGTGGTGGTTGCTGCTGCTGCTGTTGCGCTGTTTGCGGCTCGTTTGTTGGTGGCACCTGGGCTTCATTGCTCTGGCCTGGTGGAAGACTTGAGAAGTGGCGGCCGTGTGGGAAATAAGGGGTCTTGCTTAACGGCCAGCCCCTTGGCGAAGCTTGTTGTAGAGGTCTAAGACGGAGCGTCTGAGGTCCCGGGAGTAGGCGCGGTATTGTCCGGCCGGCGCATCTTATTGTTAATGAGAGACTCATTTATTATAACTCATACTAAACCTCTCAAATTTCGATTTTGTAAGAACACGTTTACAACTTGCGTTATGAATATTATATAAGTTTGTTGAGTGAGTCGGATTTGTGTAAGTGAGAAGTTCAAGCTATCAAAATTATTTATGTGGTGCCAGCTGGAATAACCTGGCATTTTAAATACTGCCAGTTGTAACGAATTAGTGGCACTTGGTTATCATCTAGGTTAAGCCCACGAATTCCTCCTTATTGAGATCTGGAATAATATCAGTTAATATCTTCACGTATAATCCAATGGCGCTTCTCATAGTCTATCATGTATCGAGAGGTTGTGTTTTGTGCTTTGTGCTCTATGTTCATGAGTTGAGGTTTAACGGTGTATGGTATAGTACAAGACCGCGAGTCTATCGAACCAAACGACACCCCGCTACTTTTAAATACATCATAGTAGTCTATAATCTAATAAGCTCGCTATTCTGATTGATCCCGCCTCTAAAGTGGTTTGTTATTATGTTTCCATTTATAATGGTCTCTTTAATAACACCTTCTACGTGCTTTGGATCTATCCTGCCGTACCAGATTCCGTGGCCAGCTAGCGGGTGTGGATTACCCGCGCTGTTTGTGAGGGCTGGCGGTAGATAGATAATAACATTTCCGGCAAATTTATGCCCTCCAATGTGGCTGATCTGGCCTACCCTCGCCGTGCGTGGCGTTTCTGTCCCTGTCGTACTGCCGGGGAGCAGTGGTGCTGATACACTCTCGTTTATCGCCGGTCCGTGAAGGACATCTATTCCTACTCGGGGCAACTGCTTCTCGAATTCTTCTTGCAGAATGGGCCCGTAGATGCCACATCTGGTATCTCGTTGTCCATGCCCACAGATCAACACAAGTACATCCTCGACATCGCGCACGCCGTATAGCAATTGTTGATATGCTTCTTTCCGCAAAAGCCGGTCCTTATGTATAGGCGATAGTCCCTCATTCATCGGATGGAGCTTTTCTGGTAGTAGATATCCCTTCACCAGAGCTTGTACAGAGTCAAACGATACCCTCGGGAGAAAGGGAATGTATTTGAAGCTGGGGACGAGGTAGACGGATGTTGTTTGTACCTCGGGTCGCGTCGAAATAGCAGAGGGGAACGAGGTGTTTACGACGGAGATGTTATGGAAAGGCTATAAATTCTCTTGTGTCAGCTAATATGACTATTGATATACTCTGTAATACTTAAGAGTGCTTAGGGACGATCCTCTAGGGACCAAGCAGCCAAACTCACGTCACTGTACATGCCTCCTCGACCGATCAACTCCTTGAGGTCAGCAGCCAAGTTGTCACCGCTATTATCCTCTTCTATGCGCGACGACCAGTCATCTTTACCGGTGCAGATCAAGACCTGTTGCGCATACGACGCTATGAGGCCATTCAGTTTGCCATTCTTATCGATACTCTGTCCAAACGGCATCGACGGCGTGTCAGCACAATCGCACGTCGGTTCCGGACATTTCGGGACCGTATTCAAACGTCGTCGAGCTGTCGTCGCAAGTGAAATTGGATGACTTATTCGGGATGAGACGGCGCGCTTCCACCAAATCGCTCTAGGTAACGATCGCAAAGACATAACGATTGTAAGACGGGTTCGCAACCCCCGCTCGAGAACAAGTATGTCTAGTCAGAGCCATGTCAACAATGTCTAGGATTCTCGGCTTCGCGCTTTTTCTAATCTGTGTGTGCGTGTGGTTCGTCCATTACGTCGATTTGCCGGTTGTACTGTGTACGTAGCTCCGAGGAGTCGGAGTTCCGAGTTGGCGGGTCGGTAAATTGATGCAGTAGCGGCGCATTTATTGGTAATCGCATTTCTCAGTGCCAATTCTTCGGATTTAATTGGCCGGAATGGCTTATGGTATTTCTTACACACATGCATATTCGGAAAAGGGGTCCCCTAAATGGAAGAAAGTACCGCGTCCAATTTCTATATATAATACCGAGCTGCAATTTCAAGTCGAATGAAAATAAACAACTTCTTTTCTTATACTCACTATCATCCTTCCCTCGCCCCTTCAATACCTATATATCCTACAATGCCAACTAACAGGAGAATGCGGCTAATTATACGCAGTATTTATTCCCATTCTAACTGTTTTATCTCGAAAGGTATGTGAGCCCCTGTGATCTTGACATCTTTTTCCGGGTTATATTTCTCGAGGCTATCCAGAGGACCGTATTTCTCGCAAAGATATAGCATATCGTTATAAGCTCTGTAAAATATTATTTACCGAATCTTAACCTCGGGGGGACAATACTAACATGTTCCTTGAATTACTTCCTGGGTGCCCGGCCGAATCATTCAGATATGGATGGATGCTGTAGAGGCGATTACGGTCGTCCCATTCTTCTGTTGGCTCTGAGGGCTCAATGTGGCGCTGATACATGCGCATATAAGTAGACGAGTTGAAGTAGTATGCCCATGTACACCGCCAGGTTCCAAACTCCATTTCGTTATGGGCGTATGTGCATCCCGGGTCGAATAGGACTGTTTCGCCTGTATCCATATCGGTTCCGACATTCCGTTCCCATAGGTCACCATGTATTAAGGCCGGTGTAATATCACGGCCATCGGACTGTAGAGCACCTAAGAGTCTAGGAATGACTACATCGATAAGCTGTTTACAAGCAGCGTCATATTCTGGCCAAGGGCCATTAGTATCATTGTCGTACTTGATGACGTCTTTGAGCTGATGTGTAAAGGACTTTGCCCAGCTTTTCTCCCACTGCGTTAGAGGCAGTCAGTGATAAGATTATTTTTATACATTTTTGATAAGTAACTCAAAATAGTCATATATGCTGAGCGTTAATCTAATTATCTTAGGTTCTACTGTGTTTGAATGAAACATACTCCGTGTCTTGCAATGTAATAGGGCGGACTGGGCGGTCAAGGAGTGCTTACAGTTACGGTACGTTCCATTTTGCCGCATACGGTCGGAACAGGATATCCAAACATCCCATTTGGAGATGTACCTTGCTGGTGAAGCTCTGCTATTTTAGACATGAAGAGTTTCGGCTCTGGGGCTGTGGAAAAGTCCATATCATGGAAGTCGCCTAGAAAAAAGTAGACTGTTGATTCGCCGTCTTGATATTCACCCCATCCAATTGCTTTTGGTACGAGTCCAGTTATTACATCGTTAATGGCGTTCGCAGAGTGAAACTCTCCTTCTACTAACGGACGAGCGCCTTGGCCCATAGCGCGCTTAATTGTATCATTTTGTAAGAATTTGATCTTCATAAGATGACATGCTATTTACCTTCAAGAAGTATCTCTTTGGACTCCCATCTGGAAGTTTAACTGATACCTTTGCTGTTCTCGTCCAGGCTGATATACCGCTCGACTCGGCAGATATAATCTTAGTCCCACTGGGCATAACTGTGAATGAGAGATTCTGTATCAGAAAAGCCCATTGTATCATTTTCAAAAATTTGCTTACCTTTTAGGACAGCCTTGTTTATAGGGAAGTTTCCCTCGATTTCTGACACCCATTCAGATGAGCTGGAGGCCATTTTTTGGTGCTAGAGAACGCAAAGAGGTTTGATTAGAAAAGACACTGGGGAGGTTCTAACGTATTAAACACGAAGCGAGGCTCGAGGCTTTTCACGATACACAATGTAAGCGAGCCTCAGCCCACAATCTCGGCGAGGCCAGCTGAGTTACATCTCGGCGCTTAAACCATAAGGTCCAGACGAATCCTAGCCTTATCACAGAGGATCCTACATATGTATGGGGCCGCAGGTTTCACGCAATAAAGCCACACCGAACCATGCTTCGAGCGCTATTAACTGAGCTGGGGGGTGCTTATCAAGATTATCCGCTCATTGATTCGCTTAATACAGGCTGTGCCTCTTCGACTACCCCTGTTGTAGGTGCAGCTGAGGTGGTCGTCTCCTACGTATGAAGGTGGGGGGCGCAGACGATCTATCGCATTTGGCAAATGTGAAGGAACCATTTGAATAAATGATCCAGTACCATATTTCCCTTCGCTTTCCACGCCTTTGTATGCACAGCCTATGCTCATGAAAAAAATGGTCAATACGACTTGCATGACTAAATAATATGCCCAGACAAGATGGTCAGTTATCACATTCATTCTTCGGGACTCGGAAAATAATGTTTTATTAGTTTCGAAGACTGTCCCATTTCAGAAGGAAAGACCGCGATGAAAATCGTGTACCAAGGTTTCATCGGACTGCATCTGAGCCTCAAAGTTCTAACTCGAGACCATCCGGCACCTCGGAGCCGATTCATGAAAATCATGTCGATCCTGGAACGGTCCTTCACTCCCTGGAGCCCGTAGGAATTGCTAACAGCGATGTCCACTCCCGAAGGCACAGTGAAACCGATGCCGGGCCACTTGGTCTTACTGTGGTATATACCCCCGAAAATGCTCACAAGGCGGACATCGTATTCATACATGGGCTTGGGGGAACTAGTCGGTGGACGTGGTCAAAAAACAGAGATCCTGATTTATTCTGGCCACTCACCTTCTTACCTCTGGAGCCCGACGTTTGTCTAGCTAGAATACTAACTTTTGGTTACAATGCCAATTTCCGCAAATCTGGGAATATTGGTACTTCAGTGCTGGACTTTGCTAAAGATCTACTGTTCGATTTGAAGTACGCCAAGGATGACCATGGTGAAGACTTGAATATGGGAAGTGTGAGTATAGCACAGATGATACATACGCCTTGAGGCATATCTAATCTTGGCACTAGGTACCATTAATATTTGTTGTTCATAGCATGGGAGGACTCATAGTTAAAGAGGTGCGCATACTTTTCAACGTAATTGTTATTATACTTACAAGGAGAAGGCATACATGCAAGGCCAGAATGATCCCGAATATGAGTCCATTATCAAGGCCATTTCAGCAATCACCTTCCTCGCCACACCACACCGTGGGACACATCTTGCTGAAACATTGAACCGCATTTTACAAACAGCCATGATCACCAATTCGAAGCAGTACATATCTGACCTTGCAAAGAATTCTTTCACCTTACAAAAGCTTAATGAGCAATTCCGACATGTTGCGCCTCGCCTAGACATTGTTTCGTTCTATGAAACTCAACCTACTTCGCTTACTCTGAAGAGCCCCCGAATCGTACGTAGAATTTACATTAAGTACCTAATACACAACGTCCTGTTGACATCCTTTAGATGGTATTGGAAAAGGACTCCTCCGTACTTGGATATCCCGGAGAGACCTCCAAAGCGTTAGACGCAGACCACCACGGGGTATGCAAGTACGAGAGCCCCAGGGATCCTAACTACATCACTGTGAGGAACGTACTTAAATCACTTCTCAGCAAAATCATATCAACAAATAATTCGAGGAAACCGGGTCCGTCAAATCGAAGAGAATCGCATGATCTAAGATCTTTCTTGGCAATTACAGAGATACCAGCTATAGACTACAGCTTTTTCAGAGACCAATGGGCACGAGGTACTTGTGAATGGATCCTTCAAGATGTAAATTTCGTCGAATGGCTTCAGGTGTCTGAATCAACGTCCTCCCTCTTATGGTTGAGTGGCGGGGCTGCAACTGGGAAGTCGGTGCTGTCATCATTTATTATCAACCACCTGGCGGAGCGAGACGCCTGCTGTCAATATTACTTCATAAGATTTGGCGATCAGAAGAAACGTACACTAAGTTCGCTGCTACGTTCAATTGCTTATCAAATAGCCTTAACCATCCCGGGCTTTTTACAGAGGCTCCTTGAGCTTACCGACGAAGCCGTTGATTACGAAACCGCAGATCCAAGAACGATCTGGGAACGTATCTTTAAATCCATACTATTTAATATGGAAGAACGAAAGCCTCTGTACTGGGTTATAGATGGTCTGGATGAGGCGCACGATCCTCGTGCAATCATCAAACTCTTATCAGACGTCGCTCATTCTTCAATTCCACTTCGCATCGTACTCATAGGTCGTAGAAGCTCGGAGATCGAATCTTCTTTTCAAAAGGTATCAAACTCTTTGAAATCAAGAACAATTAATATTGAAGGTCATCTAGAAGATCTACGGTGCTATGTGCGCCAGGAACTTAGCATGTCCGGTGGTTCCGAGTTCAAAGAAAATGTTATACAAAGAATTGTAGAGGGGTCTCAGAATAATTTCCTTGTGAGTTGCATCCTTTTTGGTATAAGAACCCTTTCCCATGTCTGGGCTAATTGTGTAGTGGGTACGACTTGCTGTTAGCAAACTGAATCTATGTCATAGACTCGCGGACGTTGAAATCGCACTCCAAGAGTTACCAGTCGGTATGGAAGCACTTTATGATCGTATGGCGTCGACAATTGCCCAAAGCCCATCTCCGACGGATAGGGCCTTGGCATCAAGTATTCTACAGTGCGTCGCATGTTCATTTCGTGGGTTGACGGTCACAGAGCTATCGCAGGCGTTGGATGAAGATGCATCAGAGCTGCTAGACTTTGAAAGGTCAATTGTAGACCTATGCGGTGGATTCGTAGCCGTTGATAACGGCGGGAACGTTACGATGATACATCAAACTGCACGCGAATATTTGCTTAGCAACAGCGGCCATCCTTTCAGCATTGATCGCCAAGAGGCTCACGAGCATATGTTTAGAAGCTGTATGAAGTCTCTCATGACCATCGGGCTTCGAGCAAAGGTGAACCGAAATCAGAAGCCCGAGTTTATTGACTATGCTTCAAGCTATTGGTCATCACACTTATTGTCAACGTCTCTCGAGTCTGAACAAGTTGGCGAAGTTCTTAAGAAGTTCTTGACTAGCCACTGGATTTTGACATGGATACACATCCTTGCTTCAAGCAATCAACAACGAATACTTATTCAAGCTTCAAGAAATCTTTCAAAATATTGTCTTAGGCAACGGCGACACAACGCACTACAGAGAGACAAAGGGCAACACATCGTGGAGCAAGAGCTTCTTGAAAGTTGGTCGATAGACTTTGTGAAATTAGTAGGGAAGTTTGGTATTCACTTGCGACAAGATCCAGAGTCGATATACAAGCTTATCCCACCTTTCTGTCCTCGGAATTCTTCGATCTACCAATTATTCGGGAAGTCAGAGGCAAAGAACATTGCTATATCAGGTATATCTACTAAAAATTGGGATGATTCTCTTGCGCGCATATCACCAGGCTCTGGCAGCTATACATCATCTATCACGGCCTCTGGGCACCTTGTGTGTATACTTGCTTCGCCAGGTAGCGTATTCATGTACGACTCCTTAACTTTTGAAGAAGCAGCGGCCTCTCCTATTAAACATGGCGAACGTGTTTACCGAATGGAACTTAACAGCACTGCGAGCCTTCTAGTTACTTATGGTTATAGGACGATTAAAATATGGGAGACATCGAGTGGAAAATGTAAAATTTCAGTTAACAACATCGACTCACGGCCTCGACCACTTTCCATGCGCTTCATAAAAAACAACACCAAACTTCTTATTGGTAGTGAAGACAGACGGATACGATCTCTTGATTTAAGTCAAAGATCTCCAGACCTAGATCTCGTAGTAGAACTAGAAGAGCCAGAGCTCGAGGGACACTTTTTAAACTCATCGAATTATATGGCTTTAAATAGGGATGGGACTCTAATCGCTGTCGCCTATCGAGGACATCCACTTTCCGCATGGGAGGTTGATGGACCTGTCCATATAGGGCATTGTTGGCGAGCTCGAGAAGAGGCTGCGAGGGGCGAAGTCATTGATGCTGTCTGGCATCCACACGCCCCTGAAGTTTTGGGTCTTTATATCGAAGGCGTAATTTTCAAATGGCGCCCTTATGATGGAGCGGTTGTTGAGATGCCAACAGGGGCAGCCAGATTAGCAATTAGCGGGGACGGTAACCTCCTTGCAACGGGTGACGTGCATGGAACTGTGAAGGTTCATACCACATCCGATCTTGGCTTACTCTACCAATTGGCATCTCAAGACACTGTTCTCGGCATAGCATTCAGTCCTGACCACCGGCGCTTCTACGATATCAGAGGGTACTACGGAAATGCGTGGGAGCCGAATGCGTTAATGAAATTTTCAGAACAGACAGAAAGTAGCGTCGATGGCGGAAGCGAGACCGAAAGTCTTAACCATAGTATCTCAACCCACTCTAGCTCATCTAGGAGAGTTGACTCTATTACAGTATTGGCAGCAGCGCCAACGGGACGTTTATACAGCTACGGCACGGAGACTGGGATAGTGCATTTAATCGACTTGCATAAGGAAAAGGTCATTGACGTCCACACGAAAAAGGGGTTCCTGAGCATTGAGCAAATGAGCTGGAGCCATGATGGGCGATATATGTGTTTCTCCGACTCTAGTAAAAAGATTTACATAAAGTCAATAACTCCAGGTATAGGTACTTCGGAACCAGTTATAGAAACCAAGGTAGAGATTCCGATGAAGACCATAGCGAAGGGCCCGATAACACAATTTCTTTTTCAACCAAACTCAAACAGTCTCTTAGTCTTCACGCCTAAGTCAGCTCACGCAATCTCGATCGCGACACTAGAAGTAACTCAATCAGTGGAATTGGACGCAACTGAATGCAGCTGGATTGCACATCCTGAAGACCCGGAGCTAGTCGTCGGGTTTGGGGCTAGGCGAATACAGATTATGACCTGGGATCTACTTCAAGTTCGGGGTTATGCCATCAACTTAGAAGAACATCCCAGCCATGCTACTGTAAACAGGGTCCTTGCCACTCAAGATAAAAAGCACTTGCTAGTTCAAACGTCCTCTCAAAGTCATAACTTGAAGGAGAAGGCGTTACATTATTTCAAAACCTCCGACTTGGGAATACAATCGAGCCCAACAGCGATTACTCCGAAGACATTCCCCCAAGATATATCATCTGAAATTGCTCTTCCGCTCGCATTCCGGGCCCAAGACCGCCTCATATTTCTTTCTAGAAACTTTTCGGTTTGCTCCTGGAAACTTTCTTCTGATTTAAGCACACATGTGCCAACACCTGGGAGTATTGCGACTTCCGCAGAACTGCCAGGAACCCCCAATCGCCACCAATCTAATAATTCTATTACGAAGCAGTTTAAAGGAATTTTCGTGTTACCGGGAGATTGGATTAATAGGGACTGCTTGTCCTTATGTACCATCTGGGGTACGGAGAGATCTTTTCTATGCCCAAGGAATGGAGAGGTCGCTGTTGTTAAGTGCCGAGACTTGGTTTAACCCATCTCTCTGCATAACCCTAGTCAGCGACCCATTGCATCGATATTACTTTTTCAACAAAATTTGCATACTATGTTGAATCAGAGATTATTCTTCTCTGTCGCCATTGCGTTCCTTTCTGATAGTCAACAAGGAAGAGGCCTAGAACAACCAAACATAGACCACCCATGAATGTGAACGTCCAACCGATGCCTAGAGCATCAATCAAGTTCTGGAGGAAGGATACCGTAATAGCAGCCAGGGTACAGCGCACTATATTACTGGAAGCCTGTGCAGCCGCTGGGGTTCTATGATTCTTATCTACCAGCAGGGTATTGTAGACCTTGAAGTCGCTCAGTTTAGTCAGAGGAGGAATATATATAGAGAGAGAGAGAAGGAAGAACTCACACTAAAATCGAGCTGCATGCATAAACCAGCGATGAATTGAAGGATAAGAGGAATTGAAATATGCTGCTTTAGGTTAGGTCAAGTAACTAGGTAGATATGAGGGGGCGCGAGCTCACTCTATGATAATGTAATGTCCAACCAAACACTATAATTGAGACGGTTGTGATGATTAGGGGTACCCATATAACACTAAGACGCGCTTTTTCAATTGGGAAACCATCCAAGTCATCTCCGACAGCTTTATCTGTAGATAGATCGCATTTTGTTCTGGCTCTTCGGTATGCTCTATCGAGTAGGGGCCCTGAGAAGAAAGTAGAGACCATCCCACCTACACCGAAAGGAAGATATATAATGCCAGCTTGCCACTGGTTGAGATTGTAAATTTTAATGAATAGAACGGAAAGCGACGCGTTAATGCAAGTATATACGACGTATAGTAAACCGCAACCGAAGATAATTATAGCATTGTCCTTGCGAGTAAGTATCAACAGGGACTTTAAGGGGTTAGGAATCCTCCATTTATGCTCCGTGCCCTGGTCAGTATCCGTCCAATGACGCATCAATGTCGGGACCGGTAGTCTTAGGTGCTTAGGTGGTCTGATTGACCCATTTCCAACGATGCTTCGAGAGGTTTCAGGAAGGAATAGAATTATGGTGACCAAACATAGTCCCGCGGCGATGGAGAGGAACCAGAAGATCCAGGTCCAACCAGCAGCGTAGCTCAGTGCTCCTCCCAGTATGGGTCCAAGACTTGGTGCAATCGTTATACTTGTAGGCATACTGTTATTAGTAAAGAAAACATAGAACTGGATTCTGAGGCCTTACACACGCGAAAGACACCGCACTCACGAAGGAACCCCTTTCAGCGGGAGACGCGACGTCAGTGATTACCCCATAAGCAACCGAAAATGTCCCTGAAAACAGTCGGTATTAGCAATAATGACTTCGAAGCTATCTGATAGGGCGTGTTCATGCCAGAGATTGCCAAGGCCTGCAAGACACGAAGACCTAGCAGTGCATTATACGACTTAGATAAGGCAATAGCAATGTTCGCTACTACGTAGAGGCTCAGCGTAATCATGTACACGGGCCTCCGACCAAGAACATCTGCAGCATCTCCAACGAGCGTCGGTGCTATCGTTGCTACCGCCATGTACGAAGTGATAGTTAAGTTGATCTTGTCAACCGAGACGGATAGGTCCTCGGATAGGAGGTGTACAGCTGGGAAGTAGATGAAGCTGCTTAAAGTCGAGAACCAGGCGGCATACGAGACCATTGAGACAATACACCATTTCTCGGCTGTGGTGAACACCGAGTACCTATCCATGGCTTCTGTGACTTTTGGCGCATCCCTAATATCTCTGGTTACTGGATTTCATTTAAATGCCACCTAAGACAAAGTCTAACCAAGAAACAACAGCCTCCTATTATTGATTATTTGCAAAGACAGCCGGTATTTATATACAACCCCGCATGATCACCATTGGCCGATATGCGGCGAATTCACCTCATGCAAGATAGGTCTTATCTATCGTCAGCCACGTAGCCCTGCTTCAGGAGTTTAAGTGTTATTGGACCAACCAGAAATGTAGATACTTCTAGCTATAGTTACAAAGAAAAAATTAAGATTGCTATTAACCTAGAACCTTTAGAGCCATATAATGGCCAGCCACATTTCTCGAATCAGGGGGTGATCCCAAAGCTTTTGGGAATTTTGATAAAAACATTGATAGCTAGTAACTACCAAATTGGTAGACCTGCATATTTTCTATATGGACAAGGACTGAAATATGGAAAGAAGATATGGCTAGATTTTTGGACGCGATATTAACAACCTAATAAATCTAGTACGATACGTTGATGCTCAGGTAGAGCAAGTACATGTAAACTGAAGCTGCTTGCCTGAACCCGAGTACTCAGTTGATACTTTGCTTTTTGTTCCGACCTTTTTATTGTAAACACCCTATATAAAATATTCAAGGCGTATGGCATGTCATAGCACACCGATAATACAGGAATAGGTATTAGTTCTTAACAGCGTAGGTAATTTAGTTCAAGAAATAACCTGTAACCTCATTTTAATAGCCCAAAGAAACACAATGACTGAAGCTGAAGGAACTTGTGGTACGTGATCCTGTTAACACTAGCAACTTTCAAATATCGATACACTGCTACTAGGTAACAATAAAAGATTCTCGAGTTAGGCAGGTACTGTAAGAAAACCTTTGAACAAAAAGGGAAGTAACCGTGCGGCAGTAGCAACTGCCGCCGGTGCGTATGGAATACGTTAGTCGTAGCAACGGACAGCTGTAGATACCTGCGAAACAATGTCTACCTAAGGAACAGTTTGTTCCTTAGATACTGCCGGCGGTAACCACGGCAGTAATTATTGGCGGTGAGCGAAGCCTTTCCAACCGCTATTAAAAACATCGCGTATTCTCGCCGAAGATAATTTTTCTTCCTTCCTTTCTCTCATCAACTTATAACTAAACCAACTAAACACCTAAACTAAACCAGCAAATATCCCCTGCTGAGCAATATAGTCCGTTAACAACGTGACACATTAACTCGATAATACTTAATTATTTTAATAACTCCTTTCATTAAACATTAAACATACTCACTTCAATACTTTAATATTTCTCTACAGTCAACAGAGAGGTACAACATCGTCAAGTTAACAAGACTTGGGTTATCAACAATTACTCAACAAATATACCTAGGTATTCAGAAGTATGGTTGGGTTCACATACCTGTTCCCTTCCAGTCTAAGGTCTTTTCTATTCACAGGTTTCATTGCTACCCTAATACGACCAACATAACATCACCCGAACGGAAAGTCCCTAAACAGGGCTGGCTTTACAGCACAATCATTTCTATTCACAGTAATGAGACTACTTGTGCGAAACTTTCAGCAAATATGTCATAATTACCTATGGCCAGTCGCGGGATGGTAAGGGCTGTCTTGCTAATTATACATTAACATCGCCGATATGTGCGGCCGCGGAAACTCCACCCTAGCATGGGGTGTTTCCGGCTTAACCCCTAATACGAACTTCTACTCCCTCGCCTACTCCTATTTTAACCTAACTTTGTCGACAATACCATGAATCTCACTACTACTCCAACCTGACTCCATTGGTACGAACTGTTTCTTTCCACGTGGGCAACAATAATAATGGCGACTATCTATCTTGTATATGCCCCAGTGTCAACCAACAACACCAGCAATCTCTTTGAGTGGATATTCTACACAACCCTCTACCATCTTCACCTTGGTATGGGTGGACTACTACCCCTGGGGAATGATGGTAGAGCAGCAATAAGTCGTGGGCGAGTCCGCCAAGACGATGCCAACCTGATCATAACTCTCTCGGACTTATCCAATATTTTATTTATCTATATGTGGTGTCACCATCGTAAGTACTATTTTACTTAAAAATTGTTTATCACCTATCCTTACCATACAACTTATTCATACCCTCACCCTCCTTCCCTTCCGACCTGACTTCATATCATGAGTGCCACTTATGAATGTTGCTTGAAATGAATAGCATGTTCGCAAACAAGCGCATGATATAACTTAACAGCAACTACCTTCAATAAGCTAGCCAAGTACTAACTCCATCTACCCTAGAATACAAGAGTTTCGCAAGCTCCCCTTAAACAAGTCCCAATTCATCTTCTAATCCAGGTGGTGGAGGTACTGGCCGGGAATCACTCTGCTCGCACTCATTATACTCCAGCTCTAAAGCTACCAACAGTGGAGTTGGATCGACATCGAAGCAGAAGAAACATGGGATGATGATAATGGGGGCTTCGCAACCTTGGGACCATACACTCACTTGTCATGTGGCGCGCCTTATCGGAATTTGTGAACTAAGTGGCTTGTCCCTTTGCCCTCCCTCAGCAGCTACGGTTACTTCGCAATTGGGAACAGGTCTTGCCCCGCCAGGCTGGCTCTTTTCTACTATAACCGATGGGCTTTATTGCGAGGCCGATTTGGTCAGTTCTATGGTTCGTAACTCATAACCTACGGTCTACTATAACTCAGATTCCGAGGAAGCTCCTTAATTCCTACAATAATAATTTAACTTAATGACGCATTCGACAAAACACCCTTTGATGTCGGCTTGGGCACATAATTGTGCACCAGCACGCATTGGGGGTTTCCCTGGTCGAAATGGAATTCAACTCAACGTGGTGGTCCGAACACAGGATGAACCGGCGAAAGATACAAAACATCGAGATGCCATCGATGCAAAGATGATGTCCGAATTGGCATCAGCGAAGTACTGTACTGACTCCAAATCAATATCACTGCTACTACTATCATGTACCTAAACCTACCCAACTAATGTATATAAACAAGTCACATCGCATGAGATAACTTCGCCTACGTCTCGGTCAGTCAATTAAGACAATACAATAAAATGAAATGCATCAAGCTCTCAAGACTACCTAATGTATAATAATAACGTTACATTCCCCGTGAAACTAATATGCCCCCCGCGTCCAACCAGACGTCGTAGACTTACATTTGACTATTCGGGCAGGTGTTTAACTTAACCTATCGCGCGCCGTCCCTCGGTGCGCGCGGATCGACAAATATAGATCGGTACCGCCGATCTTGTATTAGCAGGCTGCTCTTATAAGGTATTATATATATATAAACACCTGAACCCCTGGATCAGATGAGCTTGACCAAGAAGCTTAAATGAGCCTCCTCTTTTTCACCTTCATTTTTCTTCCTAACCCCATTCATTCTTTACTCATACGAATAATACAGATAATCAGCGCGATGAAATTCTCTAGTTTCGCAAGTATCCTCGCCGCGAGCGTCGTCGACACCCCTGTCACCGCCGCTCCAACAGCGACTTCAGCAGGGACCGCGGGATGTGGCAAATCTCATTTACTCCCCGGCATAACGAAATACCATAGCCTTACGAGCAGCGGGCGTGAGCGAAACTACTTCATCCACGCGCCGGGGAACTACAGCGAGACGACGCCGTATCCGGTCGTGGTCGGCTTCCACGGCTCAAGCAGTATTGGGTTGTTCTTCGAGGTGGATACCGGTTTGAGTTCCGACACGTTTAGCGCGAATGTATGAAGTTTCTATAATCTTATCTTATTATAGAATATGACTAGATACTGATAGAAGAATTGCTTAGAAAATTATGGTCTATCCTAATGGCGTGGGCGTAAGTCATTAACACCTCATCCTCAAATGAACTGCTGTAGCTAACACTACCCTAGGGCGCCTGGGCTGGCGCAAACTACTCCGAGGCCTCGGTCGAAGAGGACTTGCAATTTGTCTCGGATCTGCTAGACGATGTACGGGGATCATACTGCGTAGACGACAGCCGGATCTACGCTACAGGGTAAAGCCCCCTTTCGCATCTAACAGCCCTATATTTCTCAACGCAGGCATTAACAAAAACCAGCATGTCCATCGGCGGTGGTTTCGTCAACACCATCGCATGCAACGACGTAGGGAACCAGTTCGCCGCCTTCGCGCCGGCCTCGGGGTCATACTACACAGACAACGACGCGGCGCACGAGGACTGCAAGCCGGCGCGGAGCCCGCTGCCTCTGCTCGAGGTCCACGGAGGCGCTGACGGTAGCGTGCACTACGACGGCGGAGATGGTGAGGGCGGCGAGGAGCCGAGTATTTCAAACTGGCTAGGATGGTGGGCGCAGCGGAACGGGTGCGACGACAGCGCGAAGCAGGTCGAGGATAGCTTTGATGGCGACGTGCACCATACCACCTGGAACTGCGGCAGTGAGGAGGGTGCGCTGCAGCATTGGAAGATCGATGATATGGGTAAGTTTAACCTAGTTCTTTTTATTTCTTTTAGACGTTACACACGTGATGTTTGTACATGTATGGGAGTTATTCGCTTACATTCTGATATTCCTGCAGGACACTGCTGGGCGTCGACCGAGATCAACTTCTCGCAAGTGGCAGCGGGACAGGGACCGACGCACATACAGGCGTCGCAGATAATCATGGAGTTCTTCGATAAGTTTACTAAGCCATGAAGAGAGTAGATGTGCTTGTGTGATAGTTTCGAGGGACAGAGTAATATTCGTATATATATAAGGTAGTGTTGGCTGTATACTATATTAGCTGTAAATATCGCTTTCATGTACATAACTAAAGTTTTCTCAAATATTGAATACCCACTTACTTAAGGGCGTTCGTATCGTACTACCATTCCATTATTTACGAGTTCGGGTATATCAAGTCAACGAAGAAACACAGCCCTTCCATTCCCACCACCCCTAACCGGCACAGTCACACCGGCGACGTCCACGCTCTCCGGCTCGCCTTCACTAGGTTTCATATCAGGCCAATCCCTCCATATCTCAGCCTCTTTTGCATTTCTACAGCGTTCGCGCGCCATCTGCACCACGCGGACAGCCTGCGCCAAGTCGCCCACCTCCAGGACCACAAACCGTGGCTGGAGCACCTTTGCAACATCTAGGATCCTAGCGTAAAACACATCTTCGGGTAGGACAGTCGCATATGGGGAATTATCTGCCGACGGCTCGGGGACCAAAGCAAGACGGGGTTCGTGGTCGCGCACCGAAGGTTCCGTGTCGCGGTCGAAGCCCTCTTGCGATATATACGGCGGGTTGGAGACGAGTATATCTACGGCGCCTCTCTTTAATTCCGATTGTTTAAATCGGAGATTATTAATAAGACCCGCTTGCTCGAGGACCGGCACGAGCCAGTCCGTAGAGAAGATATTCGTCTCCTCGAACGAGACAGCGTTGGCATTTCGCTGTCGAAGCGAGCCGCGTTCTATATTATACGCGAGGTTCTCCTTTGCCAGCGAGACGGCCCTAGGTTCAATATCAAGCCCTCGGACATGCATCTTCGGAAACTTGCGGTTTAAGATAGAGTATAGTAGTAGCGCAATGCAACCAGATCCGGTACACAGATCGAGGATTCTCAGATTCGATTCTATGTCATTATCCTTCTTAACTTTCCCCGCTCTCCAGGTCTTACGCACAATATCCGCGAGATGCATAGTCCAAGCCTCCGTCTCGGGGCGCGGGATCAACACCCCGGGACGGCACTTGATCTCGAGCTGGCCGAAGGGCTGGGTCCCTAGGATATACTGCAGCGGATATCCGCGGCCCCTAAGACTACATAGACGGTGTAGCAGGGCATTTTTGCTCTTCTCATCGTTGTCTTTTGCCTCTGGGATGTTTTGAAACTGTGGCGCGAGGGTGGAAGACCATACGTGCTCGCGGATCCAGCGCAGCTCATTGCGCGCCGAGTTTAGGTTTTTACAAGTGGGGAGTAGAGCGGCGAGGAGAGGCGTGTTAGCATGTAAGCTCCGGGTAGCCTGAGGCGAGAGCTGTGGCATTTGCACTATGTATAGGGGAGAAAGTATAAAATATGCGCCAGGCTTGGCTGTGAACTGTTAGTGGTTTGTTTGATAGTTTCTCTACCTATAGGAATTAACTGTACGGCTCCGCTTTTAATAGAATCAAGCACGTCTATTGGTTAACGATTAATATATACGTATACGCTGGCTTCAATACTCCTTATTCTTAATAGGGGATCGATTACAACTAAATATAACCGAAATAGATATATTATATAGAAGTCTTAACAGTATCATCAACTTCTATTTCTGCCATAGTTGCCGCTCCCTAGGTGACTACGCTACCTCAGTCCCACATAGAAGCCATTAGGTCTTTGAACATGAATGTGTAGGTATAACATGCCTTTAAATCGGAAGACTGAAAAAAAGAAAGCATTAGGTTATATAACCTATGGAAACTCCGAGGCTTCCATGATGGTGCTGAGAAGGTATATTCTCTACACCTCATTCCGTAATTCCACCGTCTGCCTCTAACATGATCCCATCGCGACACCAATAGCCCTCATTCCTTATACACTAGCACAATACCCTCTACCCTCTACCCAAAAAACCAAGCAACCCTCCCTCATTCCCTTCCTTCCCCTCTACGATAACCTCCTCAATCCCTCTTCCCATTCCAATCCCCCCACACAAACCCCACCCGCCGGCGACGATCACTACACATCGCGATCCAAAACGCCGCCACGACCAAGCCCTCCATCGCCCCCACCGCAAGGGCCGCTCTGCGCGCGTCGCCCCCCAGAAACGCAAGTAGAACGATCGCCGGCGTCCAAGCCACAGCGTTCAAGTACGCGAGGCTGAAAAACAGGACCATGCAACGGCCTGCCTGGTAGACCTGGAGCTGGGCCGGGCCGGCCGAGAATATTCCATATCGGTCAGGAATACGTAGTATTTGCGATTGGACCCGGTAGCACTCGATTCCGACGGCGAGACGCACGGGGTTGAGTTGGTTGTGGATGACGTCGGCTTGGAAGAGCGCTAGGGAGAAGGTTTTGGTGATTTTGCGGGCGAGTTGTTGAGGCATTGTGGCAATGATGATGATGATGATGATGGGTGTATGTTTAGATGCCGCTTAGAAATTTGCCGTAGTATGAGACTAGTTTTATATCTCTTCGTATTCAGAATGTGGAACGTAGGTAGTTCTCAAGTCGTATCTGGACTTCTAATGAGGTACGGAAGGAATTTTGGAGTAGGGGGGAGAAAGAGCTGATACGTATAACCGCGAGTCTTTTATAGTCATACCATGTACGCACGTACAGTTTTTGAATTCTACTCTAAAGTAGGTTGATGAGGTATGGTATATATTAAACATAGCCAGACTATAATGCGAAGGAGCATCATAGCGGCCACCCACCTAGATAATGGTGAAAAGCATTTCATCTACAGCGCATCATATACACGAGGCCTCAAAGTTCCTAACCTAGATCTTGGGTATGATGTAGAGGTCTATTGGCCGGAAGTGTTCTATATGTTACTGTGTTTCGTTATATACATTCATTTATCTTAGCTATACACGTCTAGCTAAACATTGAGCTGGGTATCTAATAAAATACGTACTCCTTTATCCCCTTTTATCTACACCTTTTTCTTTGGAATTACATAATTGACGACCGCGCCTCCTCTGACGGGGAACACCTTGCTTGCCTTCCTGATATCAAGATCACCAACTAGCTTAGCCTGCGCTTCCGGTGATTTGAGGATTTCCTCTGTAACCCAGTCACGGAATTCATCACCACCATCTGCAATCTCTGCTGGTTTCGTTGGTATATCCACCACACACCGCACCCTACCGTTTACCTGGACAGCGCAAGAAACGTGGCTTCGTCCCAGAAACTGTACTGATCCGTCTTGAACGGGCCAGATACGCTCGCCCTTGGCGAATATACTTCGGCTGTTAGGCGCAAGAATGCTCCAGCACTCCTCAGCAAATGCAGGAGTGATGGGCGCCATCATTTGTATAAGCCGTCGTGTAGCTTCGCGCTTGATCATATCTGAAGCTATCTGGTTTTCGACCAGTATATTTGTGAGGCCCATCAGGCTTGATACTGTAGTATTTAAGGGGTAGACTTTCTCTAGCGCATTGGTAACGGACGCGATAGTGTTCTGCGTCGTACGCCACACCTCCACATCAGCAGCCCATTGCGCCGACTCCTTTTCGTTCATCTTTTGCATGTCATCCACAGAGCGGCTGAAATAAGCTTTCCCATCGAAGTTAGTGCTGGACAATGGCTCAAACTTTCTTGACTTTCGAACACCTTGGACAAAGTCATATACTCGACGCAACCAGCGCGTAACGCCAGAAATCTTATCTTCGTCCCAGTTCAAAACCTCTCCAACCGGGGCTTGGAAGAGGATGTGAGCTCTTGTAGCGTCAGATCCATATTTGGAAATAAACGAGGTTGGGTCTACACCGTTGTGTTTGGACTTGGACATCTTCTCGAAGGATACTGTTGCAGCCTTTCCTGATGCCACTACTTTCGGTTGAGAAGGATTTGACAAGTCCACTTCATCCGGCTTTAAGAAGCGTCCGCTATCAGGGTCCGTGTACGTCTTGCCATGTACCATGCCTTGAGTAATGAGCCGCTTAAAAGGTTCCCTTGAAAAGCCTAGTGGCGAGTTAAGATGTCTACCATCTTTACTATTGACACCCATTTCGGGATACAAAATGCTCATAACCGCCTTATACACAAATCTGGCGTAGAGGAGGTGGAGAATTGCATGCTCAACTCCGCCAATGTAGACATCTACTGGGAGATGGCTTTTTGCCGCGGCTTCGGACACCGGGACCTCTGAATTGTTAGGATCTGCAAATCTCATATAGTACCAGCTGGAATCCACAAACGTGTCCATCGTATCGGTATCTCGCTTGGCTGGGCCGTGACACTTTGGGCACGAGGTGTTGATCCAATCAGCGGCGGACTCGAGAGGGTTACCGGGGCGGCCACTTTCCCAATGATGATCAACTTTGGGAAGGGTGACTGGAAGTTGATCTTCGGGGACAGGCTGCGGGCCGCATATATCGCAGTGGATGAAAGGGATTGGAGTCCCCCAATATCTCTGCCTGCTAATCAGCCAGTCCCTAATTTTCCATTTTGTGTTACTTTCTGCGAGGCCGGACGCAGCTTTGATCTGAGAGACGATACCCTTCGCTGCAGCGCTAGAGGGCGTTGCGCAGTAAGAACCAGTAATAGGGGTCAAAAATCCTGCCTCTATGTAAGGCTCGTCCTTGAGAGTAGAGATAGATCCGTCTGAGTCGGGCGAGACAGCATATTTAAGGGGCTCTTCGGGGCGATGTCTTCTCCAAAATGCAAAATCTCTTGCGTCGTGGGCTGGTACTCCCATAATTGCTCCAGTTTCATAATCTCCTCTAACATAAGGAGCAACATATACTGGAAGAGGCTTGAGATTTTCTTCTCGGAAGTCCTTGATGGAGGCAAGCGGGCTTATTGCATTTAGGTGTGGTATCCGGTAACCTTCTGTAGCATCAGGGGGAAGATCCTTTACGCGCTCTATAAACTCTCGAAGTTCTGGATCACCTTGTGCTAACTTTTGTACGACAGGTGAATGTGGGGAGAGAGCAAGGAACTGGGCTGCGAATATAGTTTCTGGTCTTGTTGTGTATATTTTTACCTTGCGAAATTCGGTTCTTCTCTCGGTATTGATGAGGAACTCGTAGTAAGCACCCTCCGTACGTCCTAACCAATTTTTCTGCATAGTCAAGACTCTCTCGGGCCAAGCATCATCCTTGCTAAGTTTCTTGAGATCTCGCAGCAACGATTCCTTGAATTGGGTGATATGGAAGAACCATTGCTCAAGCTCGCGCAGCTCGATCTTTGCGCCCGATCTCCACGACCGACCGTCCGAGTCAACCTGTTCGTTGGCTAACACAGTCTTATCGACAGGATCCCAGTTTACAGTCGCTTTCCGCTGACTTACAAAGCCATGCTTATGAAGAAGAAGAAATATTTTTTGTGTATGCTTGTAAAACTCCGGGTCACATGTTGCAAATTCCTACGTGGTTATTAATATTCGGTGCGCTGATATTATCATGATATATCTGAACGAACCCGTGACCAGTCGAAGCTCGCATTCATCGACTCGAGCTGCTCTTTCATGCGAGCAATGTTGTCCCTCGTCCAGACAGCGGGGTCAATGCCGCGTTCAATTGCTGCATTTTCAGCAGGTAACCCGAAGGCATCCCATCCCATTGGAAGAAGAACATCACGGCCTTGTAACATATAGAATCGTGCTACTACATCGGCTATAGTGTAAACACGAAGATGGCCGAGATGTAAGTTGCCTGAGGGATACGGAAACATGGAAAGTATGTACATATGGTTGTTGGTGGATTGGGAATGATCACGCTTTAAAGCAGTAGCACCGCCTGTTTCACCACGAAGCCGGTTACCCTCTTCCGGGTGCCTCCCGCGCTTCGTAGCTTGACGCCATTTCCTGTCTAAAGCAGGCAAGTCGAGCTGTGCTGTAGCATACGTCCGACGAACAATGCATGCTCGAGAACTTGAAGACCATACGGTTTTAAACTTCAAGTATGGTCTCGACTGACCTGCAATATTTCTTATAACGGAATACATCGGGTAGCTCTCATGGCCGTTGTCTTGAGAGAACGAGCCTGCTGGCCGAATATAATGATCAGTGATAATAATACTAGCTGCGTGACCCCGTCCGCGTTTGCACGGTGTATCTTTTAAAAACTAATGCCTTTTATTAGAATTTGCATGATTTGTTAAACGGACTTTAGGTACGTAACCAATTTTTCCCCGCTATTAGGAACATTAATAATCCGCTAACAATGCTGCCTAACCTTAATTGGAAAGCTTGTATTTATGGAACTATCCGATCATTCAAAATCTTTAAACCAAAACATAATAGGTACCTAACTAAGACATCACGAATTGTAAAGAGCTTAGTCACTTGAGTCATCAAGTAAAATTATCATAGCTCAATCATCTAAGAACTATGTGGTAGTAAGTTTCAACACTTCTGTAAATTAACTACTAAGTAACAAAGTTAAAGTCTTGCGAGTGTCAACATCAACAAATAACTATAGAGATTTAGGTGATTAGACGACTTCTTCTAGGTTGGAACTGTCATCTATATGGAGTCGTGATATTTCAAGATCAGGCATCTCTTCATCAGTAGACTCAGACTCATCAGTATCCTGGCAATTATCCTCGCAGTGTTCAACACACGTGTCCGGTTCATCATCGCTGAAAACAAATTCGTCATCGCTCAAAAAGGGGTTCAGAGGGTCAACATCTCCCACTTCAATGTCCTCCTCATCCGAAGTATCAGGAAATTCGTGAAACAACCGTTCAAGATCTTGCAGGACTGTATGTAGATTTTGAAAAGCCAGCTCCAAAATCCGCGCAAGCTTATAGTTGTCGGTAGAGTCCCAGTCAGGATATAGCTCTTCAAACTTCATGAGGTGCGAACTAACTGCCGCGTTTCTAGTCCATGCGCGACCAAGGTTCTTGATCCAACCTTTTGCGGTTACACGGCCTAGGGGAACGCTTTGGATTCGTTTATCAGCAGTCTCTGAATCGCCATTATTATCAGGAGAAGTACCTTCCGATTCCAATAGGTAGAGAAGATCGCTCATTTGATGGAGAATTACTCTACGAATCTCATTAGCCTCTTCAGATTGCTCTGAAAAATTAACTTCGCGACCCGCGAGAGAGCTGACAAGTCCTACTATCCCAGCATTGATATCCGGAGCATTTGGATCGCCATAGATGATGGTGACAAAAGAGCTACGAGAAGAGCTACGAGAAGATAAGTTGTTAGAATGGCTATCGGTATTGCTGTTATGAGACATATTCGAGGTCGGTTATAATAGCTTCGTATTGTTTTATTATGTGTATTTTCTGAGATTGTTGTCCGAAGTTGTGATTAGCCTCACTTGAATGCATCTTGACGGACGTATATATACAGGGTAGGTATTCAATAGTAAGGTAAAGATGCTTGTTAAACATTTAAAGATGATAATCAGATGGTTTAGCTGCGAACCTTTTGCGAGGACGAACAATCTTATTTGCTCCAATCCTCAAACAAAGACAACGTTAGGGTGTTTGTTTGGTGATAAGAGCTTGAATATATGCACGTAAGCAGTGAAGGTATATGCATCTATCGTAAGTTAATATTAGGTAATCAATGGGTAAGGTAACCATCATGCGCCAAGGATTATGTACGGTACTTGAATTATTATTTGGTCCCGCACAGACCTCCCTATCATTGCTTGACTTGAATAAGGGGAAGGAGTTGTGGGGGGAACGTGTAGAAGATCAGAAACAACCATCGCAATCTCATTGTTCCATCTTCCGTATTTGGTTTATTCTAACCTTTCAGCCTTTTCCCTCCTTCTAGAGTCCTACATAACTTGTCCAGTCTATTGTCCTGGCTTGGGTTTTTTTCAAGATAATCATACCAACTGTTTCAATATTAGCATTGCATCTTCTTAACTCCAAGTCTTAATACGTTAACTATTCAGATATCCTTGGCTATTCGAGTGTCTGACATCACAAGCTCTTGACGCCACGAATTTCTTCCGTACGTGCGCGAACCACTTATAACCGACCATGATTTCTCTTCGACGACATAGAAAATAGACAATAGCCGAACTCACTTATCTTCTACCGGTACCGATATAGCTCTCAGCTAGCTGCGATGCCAGCTCAATATTCGTCCGCCCTTCACCCAGGCGCTCGAGACTCCCTCGAATTAGCCTCGTTAGCATCATCCAGTCGCGGTCCCGATACCTACTCGGACACAGACTCTAGAGCATCATTATCCTCCTCGCGGAAACTTTCTCTCGAGCAAGACGACCCGTTAGATTACAATAATCCCGCGAGTCGTTCCGATTTAAGATCCGGTCATGGAAGAACGTATTCGGTCAACTCCAACTTCGATTACGCTGCGAATCTCTTCCCGCTCTCCTCGTCTACCGCTCCTGGTTATGCTCCCTTAGGCGCGCCCACCTCGGCCGCACAGCGCCATGGTGGACTGGGCGGACCCTCGCTAGAAAAACACAAAACACTGACATACTTGAACGGGTTGGGGTTGATTGTAGGGTTAGTAATTGGGTCAGGGATCTTTTCGTCCCCTAGCCAGGTCAATGTAAATGTTGGCTCGCCTGGCGCATCGCTAGTTGTATGGGTGATATCGGGCGTCCTCGCCTGGACGGGCGCGGCGAGTTATGCGGAATTGGGGGGCGCCATTCCTCTCAACGGAGGCGCGCAAGCTTATTTATCCAAGATTATGGGTGAATTGGCTGGGTTTCTCTTCACATGGGTAGCTGTCCTCGTTCTCAAGCCTGGTAGCGCCGCTATAATCGCAATTATCATGGGCGAATACCTTGTGCGCGCCGTGATCGGAGCAGAAGCGGAAACAGTAAACCCTTGGATCAACAAGAGTGTTGGCCTTGTCGGATTGTTCGTCGTGACATTCTTGAATTGCATATCGACCAAGCTTGGAACCCGCGTAAACGACACGCTTATGTTCCTAAAATTCATTGCTTTAATAGGCGTTACTATTTGTGGTATCGTGGTGGCCCTTACTGGGTTTTCCTCTTCTGGCAAAGCCAATGTGGATTGGAAGAACCACGCGTGGTTCGAAGGTACGAGCACGGACGCGACCCATTGGGCTGTTGCTTTATATGCCGGACTTTGGGCTTATGACGGTTGGGATAATGTGAGTTTTCATCTCGGTGGTAAGAGTCTTGGCAGTTCAGTATAGCTAACTATCGCAACATAGACGAACTATGTAGTTGGCGAGTTTCGAAACCCCTCGAGGGATCTCCCGCGTGTAATTCACACGGCGATGCCTCTTATTATTATTTGCTATCTCCTCGCCAACTTTTCATATTTTCTTGTCTTACCTCTAGATGTCCTCAACTCTACTAATACTGTTGCTGTTATGTTCGGCAATAAAGTATTTGGCCCTGTCGGCGCACTTATCTTTGCACTGATTGTTAGCGCCTCTTGTTTTGGCGCTCTCAACTCATCTACGTTTACTAGCAGCCGGCTTGTTTATGCCGCTGCGAAGGAGGGTTATGTCCCGGCTATTATTAGCCGTGTGGGTATAGGTTCCCGGGAGCCTGGTATGGCAACTACAAGGACAAGGAATTGGTTTTCTAAACGACTACACAACATGATCGGCGATGAAGAAACGGGGCTCTTCTTTACGCCGCTGTACGCATTAGCGTTGAACGGCACTTTGACGGCTATATATGTGATCGTTGGTGAATTTGGGGAACTCGTTACGTTTTATGGGGTGGCAGGATATTCGTTCTATTTCCTCACCGTTCTAGGACTGATCATCCTAAGAGTGAAGGAGCCGCAGCTAGAGCGGCCATACAAGACGTGGATTACGACTCCCATAATATTCTGCTGTGTAAGCCTGTTCTTACTCAGCCGCGCGATATTTGCTCAGCCGTTGAAGACGCTCATCGTCGTTACATTTGTTCTATCTGGGATTCCGGTATTTTTTTGGAGGATACAGGGTCGGGACCAGGTCGCCAAGCGGGAGACTGGCTCCGGCAACGCAACGACGGGATGGAAGTTCTGGAAACGATGGCGGAAATGAGCTATGACTACCTAAACATTAACATCCCATCTACTTAAGGGGAATGCTTTTTTATAAAAGTTTCAGCAATTGGACATAGCGAGCATTCTGAATGAGCATCAGGGTCACTGGAGTATACGGAGTCATACATACCAGTATGTAGATTCTAGTTGGTGGCATCAGTAAATAGCTTATATTACACAGTTACATACATTACAGTGTAATATGAATGAGTCGATAGAAATAATGACAGAAGCAGCTACTTTAGTAAGCTACGAAGAATAATCTAGTTTGGATTTTAATCCAGAGCTACGTTTAATTCCAAGTCCATAGAACAAGCGATGAAAAGCGTGAATATGAGGCATTAATTAATTAATTATGACTATCGATTTACCCTTCGCGAGGAAAAAGAAAAAAGTCAACATCCTCGTTGACAACTAACTACTTGTAAAGCACCGCATTGTATCATAAGGCATTGCATTAATCCATCGCTTCATCTTTCCTCGTAAAGCTTCGTTCTCAATTCATTGCATTCAGTATTATCGTCCCGAGATCATCACATCACCATCACATCATCAACATCGTCATTTATATCTTACACCCCGTCTTGTTGTCGTGCAAAAGAATGTAATCTCGCTTTCTGTCAAGATTGATTGTTCGACATCTAAACCATTCTTATTGTTATTGCTGGAAATAAAGGAAATATAATAGTTTTCCCTACTGTTTCCAACTCAAGGGTACAAGACATAGTCAAGTAATGTTGAATAGAGCCTGCTCGAGAGTAGTCATGTAATTGAATAATTCCAAGTTAGCACCTTGCCTGTTGAAGGTATAACCCACGCTGGCATTCCTAGCCTCGATATTCGTTATGGACTATGAGCGATCGAGCCTGGCGTGCTTTTTATTATCGAAGTAGATATTATTGTTGTCATCGCTCGAGGTCGAGGGTGTCCCGGGCTGGGCAACATTGAGGCCGTTGATCGTGATTAGCGACTGGGCATATTGATAGGTCTATCAATGGCCCCTTACGAAACAAGATTTTCAACGTCCTCGTTGATATCTATCTTATTGCAAATCCATCGTACGCCCTTGTATTTGGATCTCGAACCTGGGTGGCATCTTGCACACAGGTGGCGACAGCTTTGTCGTGGTGTTGCATTAAGTGACAGGACTATCCGTCAAGGACCTTTGAGGAATTTTGCTGATGCGATCGAAGGAACTGGCGTAATAAATTTTCAAATGATGAAGGGGTCTTTGACAACGACTTGTTGTAGGTTTATTGTTAGGTGTTGCGACAAGACTTTGTTGCCATCATGTGGTTAATGTGTAACGATACCTTGAGCTTTTGTGAAGAGTTGATTGATATTTCGGAAGCTTTTGCTTCCCGAGCTTTCTAAGCATTCGATTGTCTTGATATTCTTTCTGGAAGATTGTGCTTCTACCATGGCTTAGTAGAAGTCTAGCTAGATAGATGAGTCCATTTACTTCCAGAGAGTATTCTATCTGTACGCTAGTAATAGAAGACTCGCAGCAAAGTCTTCGTAAGGTCGTAAACGGAGTGGAGCTACCAGAAATGAAAGGACTCTCTTTTATGATCGTGAAAAAGTTTTGAATGTGTCTATTATCCATTCATCTGGATACGGCTTCAGCTCCTGGCTCTGCGCTCTCTGCGTGGTCCTGGCAGAAGGTGGAAGGGATTGATGTTTAGCCTTGACTTCTGGAGGCAACAAGGTCACGAAGGTGATAATCCGGGTTCTTTCGGCGGTTATCTTCTGCGCCCAAGGTAGGCTTTTATGTTCGTGCAGAGAAGCGGCCACTCGGCAGCAATTGGTTATGCTTTCGCTTTGATCCACGAATCGTTTTGCGTAGGCTCCGGAATTTTGGAAACCCATGAGTGTGACGGTGGACACTTCAAGACCTCTTGGTGATATAATCGTCATTCGGTTTCTATGTCGTTCTGCCATGATAGGTACCTAGTTACCAGCAGGAGTTTAGTTTGCTAGTGATATGTCTGTATATTTAAGAAGACCATTAAAATGTAACAGTTGGTATAACGGTTCTAGGGCTTAATCCTCTGTATGTAGTGTTGTTTAGAATAGTTATTTCCGATGAAATTTTTGAGACGTCACGGACGGGCTGGATGTTGATTAAGTGGGAGTTAAAGAAAAGGATAGAAAAGTACCTAATTTTTAGTAGGAATTATAGTTGTGAGGGTTATAAATTCTAGGTCTAAGGCATAATTTTTAAAAGTATGACTTAATGCCTATCGCAGTTGCTTTGCTCGTGCTTTACATTGAGCAGCTATTCCCAAAATTTGTGCAGGAGCCTACGGTTATATCTGAGGGAACTGCCTTTTAGAATAAGTTGGAATAGGTGTTACTTGGAAGCCTAAGGGAAGGAGTATCCTCTGGTAAAGGTTCTATTTTGAGTACCTACCTTTGGTATCTACGGTAATAAAGTGCTGTCTCAAGAAGTTGCGACAGCTCTTATTGGAGTTAATAGTATGCGATTTTGAAGGCTATTATCAACTGATACTTGCCATTTTTACTTGGTAACTATGCTACCTAATTAACTGAATTAGACAAGACACATAGCAACCTCGTATCAGGACTACAATTAAATTCTTGTGCATTTGCTATGATAACGAGCAATAGACAACTCCTGGCTTATTCCACCGTGGCAAACCTCAGTTGCGTCCACAAAAACTCCAATATGCTGTAACATCCCGCGTTGCACTAGTCTCGCCTATATTGACGTCTATACTTAATTTTCACACGCGCGGCTCATGAGTGTAGCGAAAGCTAGTATTTCGCATTCTACCTTACATTATTTATCCTTTTCCCTAGTTATGTAACCATGCATTGCTTGATGAACTTCTGCGGTCGCGTCCCCTCTCATACAGCCACTTGCTGCTCAATCCAACCGTACTTCTCTTCCCGTTTGCAGGGCTGGGGCTAGGGCTATCAGGGACTCCGCCGTAGAACGAAGAGAATCCTGTGCTGGCGCCCATAGGACTAGGAGATCCCAGGGAGCTTATCGAAGACCGGCGCGCACCGTTCATGGCTTTCTGTAGTAAGGGACTCTGTGGAGACGCTAATCCAGCGAGATTGCCATTTCCATTCAGTCCAATAGAACTGCCAAAGTTGGAGGTAGAGCTGCGAGGGGAGGCGGAGAAGCTGCGTTTGCTACCCGCAGATCCGGAGATTGAAGGGGTTCGGGAGTAGCGGGGCGGCGTGCTATATGCAGAGCCTGGCGTAGGCGGCGCGGAGGTGAGTGGTAGGCCCAGTAATCTTCGCTGGCCAGGGGTTAGGGGGATATCGGATAGATCATCTTTGGGCCTGAGCAGAGGCAGGAGATTCGTGCCGATGTTAAAGAGGGGTATGGCAAGAACCGTCCAGTATGCGTATCGCGAGTAGTTCCAGACACTGCGAAGGTTAGCGTCGTTGAGCTAGTTAGATTAGGATACGGAAGCGTACGCGTAGGGGAATGATTTCTTAGATGGCAGTACCCGCGCCAGAAGAGAATGCAGAAAGATCAATGCTATAAGCACGACGATATTAACGGCGATGCGCTTGACGTTCCCATCGGTGAATGTAGTAGCCTCCTGTCGCTGGGTAATCTCTTGTAGGCGCGGATGTCGCCACGTGCCTGGGCTGTCCGTGACTGGTGGCGTAGAAGGTGTTTGTTTCTTGGGGGTTACGATCGTCTTTGCCATCGATAGAGACATGATTATTATCGCTGGTCGGGTGTCTCGAAGTCGAGAGTACAGACAAATGAACTAGACGTTCGTGTCGAAAATACGTGTGCAGGCTGCCGTCTTGAAACAATACTGATAGTATGACCTATTTCTGTAGAAGAGAAAGGAGAAAGGATGTTTGAATCGGAAGTGGAGTCAATTGAATGACATTTATCTGCTGCTATTACCTGTCTTATTAGTTAGTACCTGAGGTTAGTATAATATGGTGGCGCTGAGAGCGCAGCCCTCGTCGTTGAGCTACGTCTGATGGAATGATTCTGCTTTGTTTTCTTTGGAGGATGATTTTGGTTGTCAAGTCAGTTGCGAAAACAACCCAAATCTACTGTTACATTTATTAGTCATCATATTTGTAGCATTTTAATCTTAGTGCCAAGATTTACTTTAGGGGAGCTGTAGCCGCACGAGCCATGATTAGGTACTTTGGTACCTGCCTTAGTATGGATTTTAGGCTCGGATGCTCCTTGCGTCACAGGGCTGACAACGAGTTCCCTAACAAGTCCCAAGTCCCAAGTCCAAGTCCCCACCGAAGCATCTCACCTCATCGGGGTCCCTCGTTCTTAGACCGCGGACGGATTCACTTAGAAAGGATTCCGACTCTCTTCAAGTCTACCTACCTTCTATTTTTTTTTTTTTCATACGATTCCAATCGTTCCGTCGTTTAATGGCGTAACTACCTATAATTGCAATCTATTTAACCATCCTTTTGAGGGGAAACCTACCGAATTGCAACTTGATATTAGCAATATAAAAGCCGATATCTAACTTTAACCAACATGAGCGCTGGTAGTCTTTTGACCCAGTTCGACGAGGGACTTAGCTCCCTCTTGACCCAGTGGAATGGCTACTCTACGCTAATTTCTACGGCCTTGGTGCTGCTCCTAACATATTCTATCATGAACCGAGTTGAGCCTGATATCCACCCTATGCTTCTCGCTCGCCAAGCTTCAAGCTCGCCAGTCCGTAATGAGGGAGAATCACCCGTCTACCGCGGCAACTCAGCTCCTCATGGTTTACCTCTCAATACTGGTTTGAATGTTAAAGATCCGGGTGCTTCGAAATGGGCCCAAGGTCGAGATGGAGATCTGAGAGATGTCTGGCGTAGAGCTGTATCCGGCCCTTCCGATGAAAGTGGTCCCAAGACAAGGGGGCGCATCTTGACTGTTCTAGGGAGTGAGAAAGTCATCGAACATGATCTCGGTAAGACAATTTTCTCAACTTTGGAAATGAATTACGACTAATAACTTAATATAGGCGATATCACGCGGCAGATCAACTTGGTTGGAAAGCATATCACTTCTCAAGGCGGAAAGAAGGTGGCTATCTATCTTCCTAACTCTGTGGAATTTATTGCCACTTTGTTTGCTTGCAGCTTCTATAACTTGACTGCTATTCTATTGCCTTTTGACCAGCCAGAGGATGCGATAATCTCGATGCTCCAGAGGTCTGGTGCGGACACCGTTGTTACAGCGCCCGGGGCTTTCCCGTTCGATAACGCTGTTTCGAGTTACCCGGGTCTTCGCCAGCTCATCTGGGTTGTTGATGAGGGTAACAAGCATCTCGACTGGAACGAGGTCCCTAAGGGTGTGGGTGGCAGCGTCAATGTCTCTACTTGGCAAGATATCCTGAACGACAACCCTGTCACGGCTGGTACTGAACTGCCCCCGGCCGACCCCAAGGCTGAGATCCAGGATGTTGTTGTCTTTTGGCAGTCTAAGTCGGGCACCCTTGAAGAGATGGTCCGATTCACCCAAGGAAACCTTGTGTCCGCCATCTCGGCCCAGCTTACGGCAATCCCTCAAAAGGAACGCTTCTCACCTGCTGATCTCTTCCTGTCTTCTGCTTCCCTATCGGCGTCTTTCCCTCTAGTCCTAACACTCGCGGCTCTCTACTCTAATGCCTCTGTGGCTTTCAACTCCGTCGCCGGTGTTACGTCCGACCTGATCCTAGCCACCACTGGTGTCGCGCCCACCATCGTCGTCGCTACTCCCCAAACCCTCAAGAAGACCCACGAAGAGACTAAAACTAAAGTTGGCGCCTCGCTCCTTACACGTGCCTCACATTGGGCGCAAACACGCAGTCTCATCCAAGATGGTGTTATGCCCGCGGCCTCCCTCCTCGCCTCGTACAACGACTCCCTGCACCCCCAGATCGGCTCTTCCCCAACCCCAACTCCTAAACCCGGCAAACTCCGCCTCTTGTACGTCGCAGACCCCGCAGGCACCGACGCCCCTCGACTTTCGGAGCAAACACTATCAGACCTACGCGTATTCACTGGCGCCCGCGTTATCTATGCCCTTTCTGCTCCTCGAGTTGCAGGTGCCGTCTCCCAAACTCAGTTCAACGATTACCGCGTGTTGGGCGATGGAAGCAGCGTGCATTTCGGACCCCCTGTAAGCGCCATCGAGGTTCTATTCAGAGATACGGAAGGCCACAAGATCACCGATGAGAGTTACACCGGCGAGATCGTGGCCCGTGGCCCTGCGGTTGCGGGTGGTGAAGCGCCGTTGGGTGTTGTTGGTACTGTTAGGGTGGATAATACGATCGCTTACGTGTAGGCTTGACGAGAGTATTGTAAGGATTACTATGATAGGAAATTGAATGATGAGAATGGAATAAGATTTCGTTTATTTTCCTACGGCTGGTTTGTTCTCATCGGGAGGATTGGACGGAATGACCCCTTTATTTATTGTGATTCAAGTAGATAGCAAACTGCTAATGCCGTTGATATATCTCTATACCATTGCCTTGACTAGATTTATGTATTTTCCATTAGTTCTCACGACATGTCCGTAATCATGGCATAATTATTCTAAACCCAATACCATAGATGAGACGTAGCATATAATTTCTTTTTCCTTTATTCAACATCTACGTCGTTCGTAATTACTACTATGGCACACTCGTACGTAAATTGCATCTCAGAATCATAACCACGTATGTCGATACCTTGTTGTCGAGCACAACCTGAACGCCGAGCCAAATGAAGCAGCTTCCGTCATGAATCAATCACATAGGCCATATCTAACCACTTCATCCCATCCACTCTAAGCACCGTTTCGGTATACCTGCGCACCTTGATTGCGGAACATAATCGTATCCCGTCTCTGCAGTATCATAAGCGCGCGGTTCAAACTCTGCTCGCTGAACCCCTTCCCTTCAACCATCTCGCGGCGTAGAGTAGCCAGGCTGGTGCTCCACCCAATAGGCAAGCGTCGGCGAAGCTCCTGTTCAAGACGTGTGACTTCCTCGTTCAGCTCGCGGCCGCCTTGGTTCGCGGTCCCCTGTGTGACGGCGTCCATCGTCGAGCACAGGAATAACCGGATGGCTTCGTCGACGTGCTGCTCGGTGGCCATGGGGGAAAGAGTAAGTTTTGCGAGAGCTTCTGTGATGCGCACGATGGCTTCGAGTTGTCGCACTGTGATGGGGATGCTGGAGCGCGCGTTGGCTTCAAGTTCGGAGGCGTGGACTTGTTTCCGGATCGAGACGAAGTGCGAGGATAGCTTCTCGGCGGCTTCGGGGGAGAGGCGAGGAGCGCAGCGACTGGAAGATAGGTTAGCGTTTGTTGGTTATGGGGCAGTTAAGAAAAGGGGCACGACTCACGATTTGCAGTAGCTGAGGTACCGCCGCATCGTCTCGACGGGTACTTCGCCCTCAACTTGCTCTTCGAGGCCACGGCCGCCCATGTGGATACCCATGACGTGCTTTGCAATGCGCTCGTCCTTGTCTCTGTTGTGGTCGTCTTTCACGATGAAGATCATATCGAAACGGGACAGAATGGTCGTCTGGAAGTCGATGTTCTCGCCCGGCGTCTTCATGTCATCGTACCGGCCGAAGATGGGGTTGGCTGCCGCGAGGACTGAGGTTCGCGCATTTAGAATTGTTGTTATACCTGCCTTGGCAATCGAGATGGTCTGCTGCTCCATAGCTTCGTGGATCGCGACACGGTCTTCGTCTCGCATCTTGTCAAATTCATCGATACATACCACACCACCATCTGCTAATACCATTGCACCACCTTCGAGGTAAAACTCTCGCGTGGAATGATCTCTCTGCACGGAAGCTGTTAAACCAGCTGCCGAGGAACCTTTACCCGATGTATAGATAGATATGGGAGCAGCTTTCTCGACGAATTTCAAGAGTTGCGACTTCGCAGTACCAGGGTCACCGAGGAGGAGCACGTTTATGTCACCTCTTAATTTCATGCCGTCAGGTAAGATTTTCTTGGATCCTCCAAGTAGTAAGCACAATATGGCTTTCTTAATATCTCGATTGCCATAGATCGATGGGGCAATACAATCGGCCATAACATCATAGAGATCAGGTCTTCGGCTAAGTTCCATGAATTCTTGTTCTTCCTCCTCGGAGAAGATTGAGTGTCCTTTAGCTGTGGCATCCATATCTGTCTGGATACCCACGGCTCGTAAATAAGGCGTTCTTATAGCAACAGCACCGCCTGTAGACGAGTTCTTGGAACCCTTGTTCTGGTAGATAGAGAAAATGCCCATGATCGTGCACCTTGATCCCGGAACGACCCTATTCGTAAGGTATCGGTCTGCGGAGATGAGAACATGTCGTGGAAGCTCTCCTACGGGCACCTGGTCAGGGGCTTCTTGAAGCTTAATAATCTGCTGATCGACAAACTTGGACTTTTCGTGGGTGATAAAGTAAGGGTCTAGAGGACACTTTTCGGATGGGTCATTGGGAGGTCTCTGGCGACCACAAGTTCGCGGAAGTGTTACACCGGTAAATCCACCTAGGACGGGGATCATCTGTGTGTGTAGGCAATTTCGGCATTGAATATGTAACTCTGTGGCCTTAGAAGACATAACAGAGGCACCAATGACGATGCCAGGCACCCTAACAAGCCTTGCGATAGTATCAGAATCCAGATTCCGGATCGAGACATCTTCTGCGCTGGAGTGGAGGAGTAATTGGTGCTCAGGGACAACAGCTTTAGGTTCGTGGGGGAAGATGATTCGGTGTGTGCATTTCTTGAGGGCCCCTTCGAACTATTATATGTTATTAGTTAATTTGGATCAATATCTCGGTAAGTAGTATATGACATACGAGAGGAATAATCTCGGCGGGTTCTGTGACTATTCGGTGCGCAAGCTCTTCGTTATATTTGATTAAGTCGGTAATGTTAACATCGCAAAAGTACTTTTTTAATAACGCATTTTCTCTTAGCTGATCTCGATAGACGAAGATATTGTCGTGTCTGAATTCGAGGATAAAAGTTACAAGTTGTTCTTGTATTTGCAGCCGGCTATCTTCGTTTGGTCCAGAGTTGGACTGGAAGACGGAAACTGAGTAGACTGATTGGCGATCCATCTTGGATACCGGATATGTACGTCCTTGAGTGTTCTATTCAGAGAATCGTAATAGTTGAACCAAGTGTTATGAGTTATAGGATCATTAGCGATTATGGTGACTATGGATCGAGGGGTTGAAAGTTGAAAGATTTAATTTGGGAACCCGCGTTAATTGACACGCGAAATGGAGACGCGTTTTTGCTGGGGGTACGGTGGACCATTATGACATTAGTGCCAAAATCAAGAAAATAGGTGGCACTATGTCTAATAAGGTAATAGTAAGGCAAAAATACAGTATAAGCTCAATTAATATACGCTGTATACACAATTAACACCCCTTTTAACCTTATACCGCAATAACTTTACGAATATTAATCCAATTATTTTTCAAAATACACCAATATTTTGATTCAAAAATGATAAAAATTGCTATCCAGGTTGCATGTAATTTGACCCAATATTCGTAGTGTTATTAAAAGCTTGTAAGTGTAAATATAAGGCCAACCAAAAGTCGAATAGCCAATCAAATATAACTAGCCTTTACCTTAGCCTCAAAATATCCGAATTTAATAACACTTACACATATTCAAATAACTTTACCAATATACGATTTCCAAAAATATAATTAATATCATTTTATAGCCTTGATTAATGCGAAAATAATGATACAGGTTGCATGTATATATCTTTTGGCTGGCGTATCGTATAGCGTATTATATCAATATCCAGTAAGTCATATACAGCACGTGATACCCTTTATGACCCCGTATATATATCATCCAGGACGAAGTCCGTTATTTATACATATATGACATATTATCTTTACGAAATAAATTTAAACAATTACACAATTAGTTTAATGATTTTTTTCATACTTCAATTGAAATAATGATATTTTCTTTAAATTTTAGAAAGAATACTCAAAAAGTTATTAAATAATATAAGAATTTTGTATATACCCCGCATAGTATACTGTGCACCTTTCATACTAGCCTCTTTTGGACAGCCCTGACCTATTTTCTTGATTTTGGCACTAATGTCATAATGGTCCGCCGTAGGGGGCGCGTTGAGAGGTTGCATATAACGCTAGGCTTTATTCGAACCTCAATGGGTTAACCCCTGAATATTCTTTAGCTGGCTCAAGTTCATCCACCAATATCACGTGTTATATGATATCTCTAATACGTACATATCTCAATTGTTAGACAGGCTAATTATGCAGTTATCAGCATTAATTACCGTCGGAAAACGGCATGTAACCTTCGATTACTAGCGCCATTAAATGAAACGTATGGGAACTTATCTGATTCGGTACATTTGAGCTAGCTGGCTACAAGTGCGCATACCTTAACATTTACTAAGATTCAGGACCCAACTATTTGCGATACCATATATTAGGTACACATTGGTATTGGTGTCAACTTACGTATAACATATATCAACGGCCTATCTACCAGTTGGTTGACCTTCTAACGTATAGACCTAAATATATAATCGAAACTCGTCGTCGCCTAATCCTCTAGCTACCTCCTTTATATCGATCGAGTTGCGACTCCTCGGCGCAACCAACTTGTATTCACTGGCGTCTTATACTAGACGTTTGGTTAGCTTCGGCATAGCTATGATTCCCCGGTAGCCCTTTTAGCGAGCTTTGTCAATAAGCCTTCCGGCTTCCCTCGCAATGTTCTCCAACGCAGAAGCTCGCAAGTCCGTCGACAGCCTACCACCTCTATCACCCACCGCCCGATCCGAATTCCCATTTCATCGACAAGGCTCCGTTGCTTCGCATGCCACAGCACGACGAGGCTCGACTGCGAGCTCCATACACTCTATTCGCTCTATTGGGGGTCATCTCGATACATCAAGTAGTTGGTCGCAAACTGTTCACGAAACGGGACAAAATGCTATCTCTACCTTACTTCAACCACCGATAGTCCGGACGGGTCTACTACCACATACATCCGCTCCCGCTTCTAGTGCTCATAAACCGCCCACCGCGCGAGATATACCACCTGTTACGTTAACCAACATACCTCACGTCGATCCTTCCGAGTTCAAACCTTACCTGACACAGGTTGGAGCTCTTTATGAACAGCTGAGGCGTGTAAAAGAGAGCGACGATGACGGAAGTGAGCATGTATTTGGACGTGGTAGGGCCGAAGAGTTTGCAAGTGCTGTAGACGATGGGCGTCTAAAACCGGGCAGTCGTCCTTCCAGCTCTCGAAAAGTGTCAGGATCTTCGATTAGGTCGATATCACCGATTGAATCACCTACGGTACGCCCGATGCGTAGAAGATCTAGTTCTAGCTTTAGCCGGAAAATAGCGAGCCAGGGTCCGCCACCCTTATCTACCATTCCGAACGTCTACTTCGATGATGATTTTCATCTAGAGAATCCTCGCACATTTGATGTTGTTAGCGAACGATCCGAGGTCGTACGGCCACCTCCTGGTTCTATAGGAGAGAAAAATGCTTCTAATGGGGATGTACCGGCTCCCCGTAAAACCCTCGCTACGAATGCGATATTACAGGAAAAATTATCATGGTATATGGATACTATCGAAATGCACCTCATCTCGTCTATATCAACGGCTTCTACAACATTCTTTACAGCTTTAGGGTCGTTAAGAGAATTACACTCCGAGGCAGCTGAATCGGTAGAAAGGATAAAGACGCTACGGCAAGAGCTCGAGACCCTCGACCAAGAGATTGCCACCAATGGATTGGAAATCGTCCAAAAGCAACGACGACGCGAGAATCTACAGCAGCTAAATGACGCCGTAAAACAGTTGAAGGAGATTGTTCAATCAGTCGCGGCATGTGAAGCTTTGGTAGACTCAGGGGAGGTCGAAAAAGCATTGGAGAGTATCGATTCTCTTGAGAAATTAATTGCTGGCGAGCGGATACCACGCTACGGAAAGATTGAAAATCATGATTATCAGTTGTGTGATCTCAGAGACGCCGTTGCCCTCCAGGGCGTGAACGGTGACATTTCTACTCTTCGATTCCGCATAGGCAAAGCGCTTGAGACTAAATTTATCGATATATTGTTAGGTGATTTGAAGCACCATGTTGATACCGTCTCATCCCAGGAGGTTTTACTGAGGTGGAGCAGTTCAGCCATGCGATCTCGCGGTGTACCCAGCAGAGAATCGACAGCGCATCCGGCTTATTTGGCCGCAACTGGAGGTCTCCGCGCCCAACTAATGCCAATTCTAGATGGATTGCACCGCTCCAAGCATGTTACAATTGCCATAGCGTCCTATCGAGAGGTCGTCCTACGGGAAATCCGACAGCTCATAAAACGGCCACTTCCGACTTCTAACGACGATGACAATGAATCTGTAATGTCTGCATCTACAATGAGCTCAAAGCGCCTAACTCAGCAGGAAAAATCATCTATCCTCGCACGGAATCTTCGAGCGCTTGACGAACAAGATGCTGAGGCTCTCTTCGTCAAGATGTATATTAGCGTCACAGAGACACTGCGGAGGCTGAGCACTCAGGTCAAAGTGCTATTTGATGTTGCGAGCTCCATGGGTCAGCAGCCCATAGATTTCGAGGCTGGCCTGAAGTCACCGCCTCCTCTAAAATCACCTCCTCTTAATAGCGCAAATCGCGATTTGCAGGAGGATATCCACTTAACCATGGACCTAGCAAACCTTTACGGACAGGCGGTTGATGTCTCCCAGGAAAAGATCGTAAAAGTGCTTCGCGTCCGATCTGAACAAAGTTCACATCTCCCTTTGATATGGTTCTTGCGGTACTTTACGCTTAACCTGTACTTTGCAAACGAGTGCGAAGCAATTTCTGGTCGAAGCGGAACCTCACTAAAAAACATCGTTAACTCCCAAATTAAAGATTTCATCCAGTCACATGGCGATGCAGAGAAGCAAAAATTGGCCCAAGGCATGGAATCTGATCAGTGGAGCGCTAAAGATTTCACTGACGAAAACACCATCTTACTCAAACGTATACTAGACAGTAGTACGAGGGATAGTGATGCCTGGTTAGAAGGAAGCAAGATCTGGACACCGTTCTCTGAAGCGGATAGCAAGCAGAGCTCCAACGGGCGACCTCGGGCTGAATCTAATGGCGCAACGAAGGAGAGGACAAGAAGTGCCATAATAGACGGCGAGACGTTTATACTACCCAATTCAGCAATATTATGCATAGAAGGGATGTCTCATTTCTTACATCTCATATCTGGAATTCCGTCCATGGCATCTGACGTATCCAGCTCTCTAATCGGGTACTTGCAACTTTTTAATTCTCGGTGCACACAACTTATCCTCGGCGCGGGCGCCACTCGTTCAGCAGGCCTGAAAAACATCACGACGAGACATCTAGCCCTCGCCTCGCAAGCTCTAGCATTTATCTCTACGCTTATTCCTCACGTCCGCGAATTCGTTCGCCGGCATGCGGGTTCAGGTCCCAACGTCAACCATGGCAACGTTGCTAACCTCATGGGTGAGTTCGACAAGGTTAAGCGCCTTTTCCAAGAACACCAAAACAGCATATATGACAAGCTAGTCGAGATCATGAGCGGCCGCGCCTCGGCTCATGCAAAGAGTATGAGGGCGCTCGACTGGGACCAGAAGACCGAATCAACTGTGAATCTATACATGGAAACGCTGGTTAAGGAGACGGTCACGCTTCATAGAGTGCTCACAAAACATCTGCCAGAAGGCACTGTAAGATTGATCATGACGCCCGTCTTTGACAGTTACAAGAGCCAGGTGGGCAAAACGTTACAGGGATTGGAACCTAAGACCGAGACAGGTATCAAACGGTAAGCAATGATATTAACATTCCTCATCATCTACTTAATCAACTAACTAAGGGGATCGTAGGATGGAATCCGATATCGAATACCTCATCAGCCGACTAAGCAAGATAGACGGCTTTAGAGACACGGGGGATAGTCTACTCGGCATCATCAAGACGAAGAAGCCAGAGAAACAGCCGGAGCCTCCCGCGTCAGATGATAAGCCCGAATCGCCCAAACCAAATGACAGCAAATCAGAAGAAAACAGCGCCAACGGAGAGAATGCAGGTGAAACTGCAGAAAAGACTACGGAGAGCAATTAACGGGGTTTGGTCTTGTTTTTATTTGTTGTGTTTTTGCTTGTACATCAATCCGTTCTTGGCATGAAAGCAGGCGTTTTATTTTTGTAGTGAAGAAAGGACTACGCTGTAGTATTGCGGCGAAGTGTTTTTGGCTTTTTGTTTTTCTTGACTGGAAGACGAAGACAGATGAAGATGTGTAAACTTTAGTTGTTATGGTATGAATGTCGTATCCCGCCGCTACGATAGATGTGTACGTAGGTAGTTATACGTTGATGCCTCGTTCGAATATGAAGTTTTAGGTGTTACGTAGGTAACTATACCTTTTAATCGCTACATATGTATTATTCTATATTCAGTCTAGCTTGCCATATTGGATTGCTGTTATATACTTGTCATAGCAGTTTTTCTGATGACAAGCTTTTTAGTAAGAGGTATGTAAGTGATATCTTATATGTTCTATTTCATACACTTATCTACAATAACCAATTCATACATTATACTTATGCATATTTACTGTTATTCTATAGGTGTTTAAGATATCTATATCACGCAATATACTGCAGCATAGGAGTGTAGACCTTATACATATCCAGTCTAATGTAGGTGTTTTATAGCCACCTCACCCGTCCGACTCAGACCGCTTGCCTTACGTGCTGTCTAGGCCGTCTTGTTCCTAGCCCACGTGTTTCTCCCGCGAGATACTGTCTCACTTTCCCGTCTTCTCCACACGCACTTGCATCTGTGTCTACATACCTGGTACCTATGCGGGTCTGTGTTTGTGCTGTGCTAGGCACATGTACTCGCACAAAACTCGACGCTGAAAACATCGTTTTCGTGTCCCTCATAATGACTTAGAGTAGATAGAGAAACGACTAAGCCCTACTACGTGCCACTACGTTAATATGTCGCGATATAGGACACTTCTTAGATTTCTTTTCGTTTACAAGGTATATAAGGTATCTATATATACACGGCTTGTTTAGGGGTAGGTAAATACCTAGGTACCAATAAATATTCGCAAATGACAGGTCATAACGATAGGACGTCCGGTTAGTAACACAGCGGCTAACCTGGAGCCCTCCATTCGGCCATCAGCAGGTAGCACGGTGAGCCGGCCGCGTTCAATGGCCTACTTCGCTGCTTTGCCCGTCTGGGCAAAGCCCCGCGGTCGCCCGGCTTGCGACAGCAATTACTAACTACCGGTAGACAGATGCTGGATCCCGAAAAAGGCCAAGTCGATATCGGTGTACATGCATGCATGCATCGATGCACCGTGAATATATTGGACAAAGAGCCATGCCGGCTTCGGTGACATGCGAAGGAAACCTTGGAAAAGGTGCATAGGGCAGATAGGTAGGGAGGGTGTGTAGATCGTTTTCAGGCACCGGGTATCAGCCCCGAGGACGTACCTACATGTAATATTGATGAATATTGACTAGTTAGTACGTCTGTACGACGGCAAAGACTCCTTAGTAGCGGGAAAACGTGGAGTGCAGACCTTTATTCGTTTCATTCCGGAGCGTGTTCACGTTGCTAGCCGCTCGGCACTTATACAAGGAAGATAAGAAGACCCTGAATACATAGACGGGACGATTCTGATTCTACTCTTCTTTGTAATTGGTTGACTTGGAGCCGTTTAGAATGTAGCAGGTTTCTCGGTGTATTGAGCCAGATAGGATAGTTGCTTATGGAGGACGAATAGGCTCTACCCGCCCGTCTTACCTGCGGGCTGTTGAAGTAAAGTAAGGTAAGGGGAAAAGGAAAAAGAAATAAGATGCTGAGAGCCGCTGTCACTGGATGACAGATTTGCAGCGATCTGCATAGCGTTGTCTATCAATCATATAGCGACCCTTCACAACTACATGCCCCTTATACACATACATAGTATAACAGATAGGTCAGATAGTTAAAGTCTTCGCAATTCTCGATGTCTCGCATGCCAAGCATAACAAGATCTCCAATACGCACACATATACACGTACATACCAATTAAGATACTAGGGGGAGGGGGTGTGTAGGTAGTTAAAACAGATAAGAAAGATCACCCTCGCATTGTGGCATCGAACCGGGATATCAAAAAAGCTTGGCGGTTTGCGGCTTTGGCACGTTTTTTTTATTGTCTTTATTTGAACCGCGACAGGTCTTGGCGAAGTACATATTCATGTTTCCATCTAACTACATACCTATACACAACTTACTTCATATCTACATACAACATAAATACCTTGGGTAGGCAAGAAGGTAAGGTCGTGTTGGTGTAAGTGTTAGTGTTAGTATCAGGGCCCGTGTAAGTGTAAGTGTAAGTGCTCCCGCAGCGCTATCCAATAGCCTACTCGTCTCATCGCCGACATAGCAATGCACGCGCTCTCCCCCGTGGCTTAAGGAAAGTCAGTTCTAGGATATTTCCAATGCGGCAACACCGCACCTGTGGTACCTAATTCCATCAGTGCATCGTGGCGCAGGTCACTGACCCCGGGGCCGATCCTCAAGCCAGAGAGTACCTAGTGCATGGCTACCTATCTAGCATCTACATAGCAAAAGGCGACATCGCGGCGTGAGAAACGAAACAAGCCGCACATAATGCGTCTTTCGGCGAGAGACTTACCAAATACTCTATTACGAAACATGGCCTAGGACACTTCGATCGTTCCAGGCGGCGGGTCGGTATCGGGAAGTTGATAAGCTAATTTAAGGTCCGGGGGGATCGACCCGAACTTCGACGTTGGAAGGGTGAAGGTTCCCAACGCGGTAAGTGGTATATCAATAAATAGCCCACACACCCTGTTCGTCGACTAGGACTACAAGTTAAATATAACCTCTTTAAAAAAAAATATGTAATGACATGGGCCGAATTGAGCAACTATAACAAATCTCGAATTTCCGTGATATGATACAAACCTAACCTAGGAGAATAAGTACCTAGTTTAATGCGTATTCTAATATACATATTGGGCTTGGTGTTTATGTTTCTTTTTGTTTCGATTTATTTCGGTATCGTTTCGTGGCTTTCGTCCGGGGTCGAGATTGGGGTGCATTTCGATGCTGTGCCGCGTAATTCTATCGACGAGGCGCCACGCAATCCTGCGGGGGTCGATCATTTCCACCACCACCAGGGTTGATAGCCTTTTACTTCCAATATCTCTCCATCTTGATGAGTTACGTAGAACTGTTTCACAGAAAATTAGTAGCGGGAAATGATTTCGGGAAAGGGGAAAGTGAGAAACAAAGAGATAATCAGAAACAGTAAATTGGAACCACGTGTCGAGGTGCGTATCTACGGCTTTGACGCTATGCCAAAGGGGCTCGAGTCTAGACCTCACTACAAGACAATAGACATAACAAAGCAATAATTTCACGTGGATAATGAACAATTTCGTTTGTTTGGAATCAACCGTGAGCTCGTCTATTCGTTCCATCTATCTGGTATCTCGCTATAGCACAACAAAAGGGGGTATAATTGTCCCTTCCAAAGCAAACTAAGAAGTGCGACCCTCAAGTATATACATGTAAATAGAAAATTGCAAGATATAAGACAACGAATGCGGGGAAAGGTGATAAGTATCGGGTTTGTTTATTTGTTTGTTTGGTTTTGTTTCCAGGAAGGGAACCTGACCAGCATGCCATCTTCTACTCCGCCAGGGAAGTAATTGTTTTACCAGCACGATCCCTCGAGGTCGTGAGTGTTGCGCAGAGCACCTAGGCTCGCGGCGGGTTGGCGGTTGTAAAGGATGGGTAATGCCAGTAGAAGTAAAGTCGTGTCATCGTTTCCGAGCGCCCAGCGCACAACGCCTTCAAGGCAGGATAAAGCTCCGCTTACGCAGAGAGCTTGCCGAGAACGTAGTTACGCGGGACCACCATGGCCTCAACGTCACGGCGGGCGGGGGCACCGCCGCCGAGGGTAACGATAAGGTCTGCCTCTGGGGTCGTGACGGTCTGGATGTCGTCAGGGTGGTAGTAAGCGCTGCCGCAAGGGAACACTTGGCACCCGGATACGGCAACCTTGGACGCGGCTTGCATTTGACTAGCCGGGTACATTTCCTTCACACCGTTAACGTCGTTAGGGTTCACGATGGCCGATACATCAAAGTATGTCAAGCCGTTCCAGCCGTTGAAGGCAACCTCGGCGAGCATGCCCGGGACGTCAGGGGCACCCTCGTTGAAAGCGTAAGCATTGCCGATCCATCCCTGGGGGAAGTCCACTCTAGCCTGACCGTTTCCTCCAATCGTAATGGGAGCGATAGGTGCTTGTCCTGCAGCCGGGGTAAAGGTGATGTGGCGGGTGGCGCCGTCCTGGTTGACGAATGTGAACGAGTTGGCGCTAACCAGAGTAGCCGAAGCAGCAGCAAAGGCGGCGATTTTAGCGAATAGGCCCATTTTGTTTGTTGTTTGTTGTTTATTGATAGAAGTGATAGTCAAAGTATCTATATCTGATGGCTTGTTGCCTTGTGGTTTCTGGATTCAGTTGATAGGGAATGTATGTTGTAGCTAAGGGTTGATAGCTTCGTGTTAAATGAATGTATCACGAATAAGCTTTGAAATGAAGGAATGATAGCTACCAAGAGCTGAAAGAGAATGTATGGAATCAGAAGATTGATGGCGGTATAGAAGTGATAGATAGACTTAGGATGCGGGATGATACAAAGTCTTATATAAAATCCGGAGGGACAAAGACCACGCGAGGTCGGCTCGTGGCTCTACCATCATTGTTCAGTTCAACCAATCGTCGAGGAGCTCTATGTATCCAATGTACAAGAAACGTTAAGCACGTCTAGAGCGAGTGCTGCGTTAGTATGCAGCGGGGGTCCTAGACCAATTCCATGATCCAGGATCCATCCAATCCCCCTGGTGCCGTGAATGTATCAGCGCAGCCACAGCAGCCTGAGTGAGGTAGCTGTAGAGGTCTAGAAGGATGACCTGTCTGCCTGTTCCTGAATCAGGGTTGCATCCCTAAGTGCAGCCGGCCCAGCAACTTAGATGAAGGGCCTCGCACTAATGGTTCCTTCTAGTCGGGATAAACTTTGCTAAACCCATATATTTGAGCCCAGCATGAGTCTAGTGGCGGTGAAATATAGAATGCTAAAGTGATTGCATTAACTCTTGATCTGAATTATGGCCCTCCGAGCTATTCTAGAAAACATTAGTGGTCAGCAGTACCCCAATAAAATGCGCATCCTCGAAAGTCGCGGAGCCTGGCGGACGGCATCTGATGGAATCTTGGCGATACTATTTTAGGGCTGACAGATAACGATGGGGTGTGAGCTTATGAATTTTGTGAGGACAGTCACTTAGGCATCACAAGTTTTTACTTGTGCTTCCACCAATCCAAGAGACTCGGGTGGGCTATTTGCCAGGATAAGATGAAAATTTACAAAGGACTAGAAGGGGGTGGCACACAAAGAAAACAGGTAAAGGATTTTTTACCCTGCATTAGCAACTTCTGGATTCGATCTGGTTCTAGAACCCGATTGGTCGGCTTTAAGATCTTGTTCCTGGTACCTGACATATTCCATGTGGCATTAGCACTGATGTGGCAGGCCATGAGAGGGTGCAGTCTCGCCCGATAAATATGAGAAAGAGGTATATTCTATCACCGCATCTAGGTCTGCGATGATGTAGCTTAATGGACTGTCGCCATTGGGTTTTGCGCTTCGGATGAAATTCTTTGCTCAGTCGCTCTGCCGAGAGTAATCTATACGTGGTACCATTTAGGTAAATTGTTCACATTGCTAATACACTGCTGACATGACAACAACCTTGTAGAACATCGCGAAGGTGGTGATATTGGGATAGAATAAGCACATCCCTTGCGCCCGAGATGGAACTTCATACGGGAATATGATGCCAACTGAGTGAGCGCAACGGGGTAAACAGACTAGTAATTGAGGCTTCTCGAACTAGGTTGACCTATGACTGCAGCTTGCAAAATTTTCTTTTGCCATTCCGTAGCCAACGCAACGTAGTGACACATATGTGATGAGTTATTGAACGGACTGCAGTTGCATGAGCTCGATAAGGCGCTATAGCACTGGTGCCCGAGCAAATTTCTCAACCAAGAAGACTAGATCTCGTGAGGGAGACAAGGTAGACGTTCTAGTCTTTCGCTGGCTAGGCATGGTGATATAAAACTTGTGGGAACCTTGGAGGGATTTAGCATAGCTATTGGTGTGCGGTCCCGGTAAATATGAGCAATAAGGCTCAGCTGTCGAAATCGTCGGCCTCACGCTATTCACGGTCGAGTGGATCAGCAAGCAAAAAAAAAAAAAAAAAAAAAAAAAAAAAACAAAAAAACCATGATCCAGTATTGACCTAGCTGCGTAGCCACTAAGGCACCCGGGTGTTAAGCCGGAATGGACCGATACCAACGCCTAGAGATTTAGTCACCGAGTTGGATACCCGCAACTCCGGACCGTCGAGCGCTAGGGGCCGCGCCTTCACACCATCAACCACGGGACCGAGGGAGGGGGGAACCCAAGAGACAGGATAGGATCCTGATTTGCTTTTGCCACGCATGCATCGCGATCCACAAAGACTTGCGGATATATTGCTAAACCGTAGCGGACGACATGTTTGTATGGTGGCCAAGGTAGCTATAACTTAACAGCCAACTATAATCAAGACAATCGGCAGTCCTTAGTCATTCATATACCGGAGGATTTTGGTCGAAGCTTAAAATCTCTTCACTCTTCCTTTACGTTAGTGTAGGTACCGACCAACTAATCCATCGGCCAAAATGCGGCCTTTCAAGTCTATCCACGGCATCGTAGTTGCCTGTTGCCATGGGCCATAAACTAATGCATCGGTATCAAATCCTTGACCAAATCCGATTCTTAGAAGGAGAGGTGACATATCCCACCTAGCATGAGCGGCGCGCGGAAGTTCCAAGTAACCCTGAAGTCGTATACTGCTTTAGCGAACGATTATATGGCTTGGGTATGATGATTCATCAAGAGACTTGTGAGCAGATTTTAACCATCAAATAAAACAAGTTTTTTTTTGAGAGGGTGAAGAAAGATGCACTGAATTACAGCTTTCAACCAAGCCTCGACGCTGAAGCTGGCCTCTCCTCCTGCAGCCAAATCACATGGTGTTAGCCAGTTCATTGGAGCAAAGCCAGCCTGCAGGTACACCTTTTAGAGAGACACCGAGATGTTGAATGTACTATTCGAAGCCGGTGAGGGTTGACCTAACAGTCAGCAAGAAGTAAGATACCATTATGCAGGTCCATACGGACGACCTATCAGAAGAAAGCTGGGAGTTGAAAATTTTCCGGGCCGTTGCTTGGCATGTTCGCTTGCTAATTATCCAATAGGCATCAACGGAGAACTGCAAGTTGAAGCCGAGCCCATCAAATTTTTCAGGAACCGCGATGTAACGGAAATGTCGGTGATGACGTGCTATTGGCGTTTTTGGATGGGTTGTGGTTCATCCGGGAGAGAACAAAATACCTCTTCCATCATTGGCCCAACGAGGAAAGCCTTCTCTTACCGTCATTCTTTGCGGTCGCTGTATTGGTAGCTTGAACAGAAGTCCAAAAAGCTCACACTTTTGTCGCCGGTCCTCCGAATATCGCCGACTGACTCTCATAAGAAGCCGCGGTTAGATAAGCTAGTTAACCGACATCGCTGGGAGTTTCTCTATCCATATCCTGGATTGCTGGAGAGACGAAGCAGTTATGATGATGAATCCCGTGGTATTCTTGTCAGACCTAATAAATTTCTTTCGGCAGCTTAGACAATCGGTGCTCGCTAACTTTTTCTTGCTGATCCAAAGATAATCCGCAGCATTTACACATATTTGTCGTGGTACCATATTATCTGATCTGTCTGTACTTCAATATTTTGTCGTTGAGACATTGAGCCAAGTATGCCACTTCAACCGGAGAAGCACAAGGTACGTTATCGAGATATTTCAGATGGCAACTTTAGGTTTGCTTCCAAGGTTGCGGTTAAAGTTTCGAATGGAGAGAAATATTTGGGGAAATTCCATTTTCCATTATCCGAATGTTTTTAATGCTCGTCGTATGTACTTGCCTATCATAATTGCTATCTTTATCTACAGAAGCCACGGTCACGGTTATCGCGTTGAGTTAGGTATTCTAACCTTTTTGGAAGCTTTGACCGGATTGGAATCTCCGTCTGCGATCTGAACCACGGTATCACTCTTTCCTATCATGCAGTGATACATATTTGAGTACATTTTCGCATATCTTTATCATACATTCTATCCAATTCAACCTATAAAATCTCAACCAACCCACAATTTAATACAGTCCTTCCTTCAACAATACAACATATCTTTCAGATTTTAACTTACCTAGATCAAATATTTACTCTTTTCTCTTATAAAACATCATATGAAATTTATCAGTCAATCGCTAATTACCAAATTTGAAGATATTCACGCCTCATATTTTTAGATCTCATCTTGGTGGGAGAGATGAGAAAATGTTGATATTCTAGAGGGCTTGGCACTCTATTTAGACTGGTGACTGATGACTGGTAGCTCAGCAACACGAGGTTTTGCTCGGCCCTTTCGGTAGAATCGTTACATTGATAAGGCCGCAAGTGGTATAGACTCCTAACAGCCACCGTGTCTCTGCACCAGCCCTGCCAGCCCGCTTACCAAAAACCGAAAGTCGAAATATATGACGTGCCCAATCAGCTCAGGTCAGCCTCTGTTGATGGACCAGAATGGCAGGGGAGGCTCTTTGAACGCCTATCATATTCTCAGCTCAGCATCACCAACCCCGCCTGACTATCTTTGTTACCTTATCTATCGCACGATCTAAAAGAGCTATTTGTTGAAGAGATATGCTGACATGTCCGTACATCTCACGAGTAACAACCGTTTACTGAGACTGTTACCTCGTATCACACTAAAGAAGATGGCCATTTTATAGTAGAACTCCTACTCTGGCCTGGTATCGCTAGATGGGACCTAAATTGGATGCAACGTACCTTACCGCCGCTCCGTAAAGGTTAGGCTGGACATCTAGATAACCTAGCCTTGGAGCTAAGTATCAATAGCTCTTCTCGTAGCTTCACGACGAGTCATTACGAGATAGACAGGGCAATTTAGGATGAATCGTGACCAGAATAGCAGCCTCTATTTATCAGGACGATGAAATGGCCGTATCACGCATCCGACCGTACGACGGCTACGAGGGTAGAGATGTATCGGTCGTATGGTTGGCTGCCTTTGTGGCTTGTTAACCCCGGACAAGCGTCTGTCGATATGGTAACTGCCCGCCATTGATATGCATGGCATCATTCAAAGAGCTCCCAGCCCTTGAGCTTGTATGTAAGCCTGCGATTACGGGCTGGACCGGCCGGATCGGGCTGTTTGCCATTGCCCACCATAAGGTTGCAATGAGAACTCAACCCTCCCAGGTCCGAGAGAAAAATAAATAGGTGGCTGTCCTGCATGCACTTCCAACATACTTATCTCTTCAACATCTTATATCACTCGGGATCTCTCAATCGCTACTTGTCGAATCTCAACTGACATCACAGTCGTTTTGCAAACTCCAATCGCTTAGTGATTCAAGTCGAATAATAATAATATCGGTTCTTTCGCTTTACCGTCGTGGTTAATATACCGATCAAAATGAAGCTAACTCAGATCCTCGCGCCCGTCGTTGGGCTGTTTGCTGTTGCGAATGCTTGGGGTGAGACCGCAGTTTGGACAACGGTCGTGGAAACTGACTATACTACTTACTGCCCAGTATGTATAATATCCTAATACATCATAACTACTACTTCTTGAACATTTGTCTAACTGACGCTTCGACTAGTCTCCTACTACTTTCGCCTGGCATAATGTGACATATACTGCTACTACAGAGACCACTATTACCATCACCAGTATGTTTAGAGTAGTTCGTTATACTAAAAGTTACGGAAACTAACATTCTAAAAGACTGCCCTTGCACTGTTACCTACTCTCAACCTCCCCCGGTTACCATAACTTCGTACCCTACGCCAACTCTTCTTCCTACGGGAACTGCCCCTCCCCCTTCTTACTCTTATTCCAACGTGAGCTCTACGGTCATCACTTACACCCCGACGCCGTCAACTTACATCTCCGGAACCGTCCCCATCACCACTCCCTCAGTACCGACTAACGTCCCCATCCCGCCCACAACCTCCGGCCCGGTGGTGATCCCCACTGCGGCTGCCGGCAAGGTTGGACCCATCGGTGCTCTTCTTGCTGCTGGTCTCGCTGCCCTCGCTCTGTAAACGAAGTAATACGAAACTTCGTACTATCGCGTTTTACAGATACCCATTTTTGCTTTTTTATAATACCTAGGCGGCGAATGATTCCCCTCACCTTTTGGAAGCTATGATTTAATATGGTTGGCATCTGGAAGCGGAAATGGTTAGCGGCCTCGTTCTATACCCTCATTAAACCAAGCGATACCCCTGGGAGCTTGGCATGCTATTTATGATGGATGACTTTGACGAGATAATGTGGGCTAGCATAAAGGAAGGCGGAGTTATGTTGAGGCTCACACAAGGGGGAGGTTTATATCCAGTATATTAATCTGCGTGTATGCACGCATATTGGCTAATTCGATGCCGACAAGCTTCGAAACTACACTCCCTGAAGCTAACCCGGTATCTGGGTGGTGCAATAATAACGTATATAGAAAATACCATAATAAACACCAAAGCTGTACCTTATATTCAATCGTAACTCTCATTGTGAAAACTGTATATCTTCAGCCTGGTTGTCGTTGACTGGCGTATCTTAGCTTGAGCTGAACGCCATCTTCCCAACCCGCAGCACTACTGCGCTCTGAATTACACCACCTTAGTGAATCGTAGCCGCACGCACGCACGCACCTCTTACATGCCCAGCGTTCCCAACCTAACCTAACCCTCCTCCTCTTCTCAGTTCGGACAACTGGCCCCCGCGAGCTAACCCACTACGCAGAGCATTTCTGCATTCGTCTCTCTTTCTTATCGTGCATGTATGGCCCTAATGCTGACAGCACCAATCTACATAGTCGCTCACGGCACAGCTTGCAGCGAGCAGCGAGCGGTGGCGAATAGCCGTCTGCTTATTGCTGCTTTTGTCGGCTTAGCTCCACATGAGGTAGGGATCTAGATAGGTGTATGCACGTTGCATATGTATGTATGTACAGAGACGAACGGACTTCCAAGTTTTTGTCGTACCTATCTAGGTTACCTATCTACCTGCCAGCCTACCTAACCTATATGTATGTTAGTTAGGTCGAAAGAGGGAAAAAAAAAAGAAAAAAAAAAGTTTTCTTCGAGGCTTACTTTTGTTGAGAGGCTTGGTATGACGTCCCTACCAGGTACCTAACCTATCTACATACCTACATAAGAGATTCCTATAGAGGGATACCCATCGATATCCCGCTTCTTCGCTCGGGCTCTTGTACGACTGCACCATCGCATTCGATTCGATACCCCTGCAGCGTGAAATCGGCGCTGACAGGCGGTCTTCTTTGGACACAGAATTTCACGAACCGTCTATGTTAGGGACATGGTAGACGAGTGACTAAAGGGTATGTAGGTATCTACTGCAAATCTGACAGCTTACCAGCGGAACAACTTTGGATGACGCCCCCGTTTAAAGGTGGCTATCTACCTAACCTACATACCTATCTAACATCATCATCATCATCCGAGAATTCCTCTTCGTCTCCTGGTTGGGACAGGCCGCCACTTAGCTCCTCTCCCGCCCCTACATAGGTAGGTACCTCCCAAGGTATATATGTATGTAGTAAGGGAGTGCTGAGTATATTATTTAGGTATGTGTATATGTGTGTATCTACTATCTGGGAAAATGTAACGATATGCATGTGATTGCGCTCCGCACAGGTGGAATGTCTGCGCCGCCAAGATGCCATGGAGCTCGTATTTCCTCTGCCGCCATGCAGCTAGTCCGCGAGCTGGCGCGGGGCAAGCAAGCAAGGAGTTCACGGCGGGCTGTCATTCACTCGCTTGCTGGGCTCGTGCGATATATAATTGACGTGATTAAGAGTTTGTTGGAGGTGAGATATATAGGTTAGGTATTTTTATAATATGGGAATTGAAATAGGGATCTATGGTATATTAGGTGTTGTATATATGAAGTTTGTGCGGATTCTAGTTGGCAATTGGTCTATATGAGGGAAGAGACATGTCTCTGCTGTAGGCGGAACGCCGTTCTGCCTCGCCAGCTAATACTTTTACGGCGTTTGCATGCCTAAGTACCTAAACTGCCCATCTTATACAACTTGAGATACATATCGAAGGTATGAATCTGCGATTGCGGTAACACAAATAGTTAATATAAGCTCCATATAGTTATATGTATAGTTAAGTCGTCTACCGAGGAAGATAAGTCTGGTAACAAACCGGTCACACTATCCCTACCACTTGTTACGAGAGCTGAGCTAGATTTACTTACTTACTTGCTCTTACTATACCTACTTCGTAATCCTACTAATACCAATACACACATCCTCTACCCTAGCCGTAAGAATCCGTATCTTTTTATAGGCGTCACCTAAGACACAATGCGACCATCCTCGCGCCGTATCTCTGGCTTCGGTAACCAAGACCCAGACCCAGACCTCACTCGCGGCGCAAAGGGAGAGTTGGACCGAGGTGAGCTCGATGTAACCCCATACAAAAAGGCAAGGTAGGTAGGTAAGGTAGGTAACCTACGTAATATGAGGTAGCAGTAGATATCCGTCCCGATCAGTTACAGTAGCATCTTCGATATGTGGAATATCTTTAACTCCGACCCGGTATCTTATAATCCGTATACTACCACGCATAAGGGAAGACGCGGAATAGCGAATAAAAAGACAGATAAAAAAAAAGCCATGTCTCATGCGTTGGCACGTTATGATTAGTTGTAAATATATTAACTATCTGGGTCCTCTCTATCCTTCTCTATATACCTATACCTTACCTGCCCGTCATCGAACGGTCTTAGTAATTAGTACCTGAAGAGAGAAGGTCGAATGCAAGGGCCCATACCACCAACCACTACACCCCCACATAGTATCTAGATCTCAGTGGTTTTTAGTGTAGAAGTCTGCCGGTGTTGAACGAACTTTGATAGATTGGTATCGGCTTTCTACAGCTACATAACACAGTTGGGAAACGAGGCCGCCTGCATCTAATACACGTCATACTATTAAGACTTCTTATTCTATATCTAGTTATGGGAATACGAATCTCACTTGTGCTAATGACTGACTTTTATTCGGGCTTACGAGGCCGCAAACCTTCTGGTCATCCTGATGAAGAAAATTTTGTGTATTGGTATGCATATGTTACGTTGCTGAGGTTTATGTAGAGGTTAGAGTCAAGCAACTAGCATGCCATTTGAACCGGGATCCCTGACGGTTCGGTTACCCACAGCAAACCACCATCCCATAACCCATCTTCAACGGGATACCTAGGACTCACATAGGCTCCCGCAAAGGTCGATGTCGTATCCATAGAGAAAATTTCATTTTCACTAATTTCCCATTCATGCAGATATCATAATTCGTTAGCCACAATCAATGCACAAGCCATAGCTTCCAAAGCACCTTGTGATGTTAAGCTAGTCGTAATTCGTAAGTGTCGTAGCGTACTATAGGGGACTTATCCCGCCGACGGTAATTCCATTCCGTTAGCTTCCATCCTAGACCTAACCTCTCGTATGAGCGCCTTCGCTTCCTCGACCTCAACACCGTCTTGGCATAGCTCGTTCGCTAAGCGGTTCGCCATAACATAGTCCTCCGTCCTCATCGCGTGGCGCGCAAGCCATATCCGGGCTTTGCTAGTGGCCGCCGTCACCCCCGTACCTCCCTCTCCACGTCCAGCGCGATCGCCGTCGTCTTCCGAGCCCTCTCCTGGCGAATCAGTATGGATTGCGATGCCTTCGCCCTGGCTGTCGCCTACCCCGCCGTCTTCTTGCGCCACACACATTTCCATGTATGCCTTGGCGTCTTCTTCCTCACCCATGCCGTCATACATGTTAGCGATCTGTAGCAGGATCTCCGGGTCCATGTGTGCACCTCGGAGACTACCCGCTATACCACCGCTACCGATGCTACTACCTGTGTCGTAGTAGCTCTCGGCGAGCAATGCCCGTTTTAAAGCTTTGATCCCGTCCTGATTTCGGCCCATGCGCTGTAAGCACGAGCCAACGGCCATCCACATCTTTCCGTCCCATGGTCTAAGACCAGCTGCCTTCTTATAGTACCATAATGCATATGCATGCATCTCTAAAATCTCGTATGTCTGCCCTAACCCATACCATGCACGGTAGTCTCTTCGGTTTACGTCCACAGCTCGGCGATATGATTCAATGGCCGCATGTGTATTTTTAAGTTCGACGTACTCGTGGCCCATAAGTGTCCAAGCGGACAAACATGAGCGATCCAGCATCAACGCTCGTCGGAAATATTGTACAGCTTTCTCGTGCAAGGATAACAACGAGTAGTAATTACCAATTACCACGCAAGATTCTGGGCGAAATTTGTCAACACTACTGCATAGATGCGCTAAGAATGCGAGTTTTGGTCGTGAGTTCATGACGTAAAGTATGTTAGAATAATGGTCAAGCGAGTCGAGTCGATGAGGGTGTAGCGATAGAATATTGCTAAAGTGTTGTTCTGCTGCAACGAGATCTTTTGCGTGGTAAGATAGTAGCGCATCGCATGTGAGCAGGAAAGATGACGTCGGGAATATATTGAGTAGTTGGTCGAGGGAATTAGCGAGATTTGGATCGTGCTGGTAGAGCTCGAGCGAGGTGTGTATATGGAACATAAAGGAGACGATGTTTTGTGGTAAGCGAGGCATTATGCGATTTAACTGTACTGAATTAGCGATCGCGAACTCGAACAAGATTGTGCTGTAACATACATCTTCCACCCGTGAGATAAGAGCAGTCATCTCCAGCCAGCAACCCCAATTCATAGGAAATAGGTGTACGCTGCGGACCAGCCAATACAGGGCCAGTTCTTCATTTTTTTCTTTGGCAAGAATCATACCGTAGAGGTATTCAAGCCACCCTTGGCTACCTTCTATCTCTTCGCCGTCATCCGATTTCCGTTTCTCGAACCATGTTTCTAAAATGCGACTGACTGTCAATAGCTGTTTGTTGATGCATGTGCCAATGTCCTGAGGCCCCATTACTATCTCGGCATCCTCATCTTTACGTTTCTCTCCTGCGAGAAACTTGGCATATAATGCAAGAAACAGGCTTTTTTGACTCAATTGTGGTAATATCTCTGCGCTGCTTGTCCTGGTGCTAGGTGCTGTGGCCTTGCCTTTCCCCTTGCCTTTGGGCGTCGAGTTATTCGGCTCTTTCGAGGATGCCATGCCAGCTAAGGTAGAGTCGGGAAGGAAAACTGCAGCACAGCGATCATATTCTCGGCAATCGAAGAGAGATTTGGCTAGAAGGTACTTGTTTATCTCTTTAGCTTCGAGTATTGCTTCTTCCGGGTCGCTATTTTGGGCGAATGCTGTCGATGGGTATCCATTAGATGCATCCGATAGCTGAGAATCGTCAGGCGATGCCTCGGGTTCATCAATTGCGTTAAGTAGTTCGGCTGCCCTAGATAATATCTTGGATTAGGATCCGTAGTGTGTAATGTTGCGAGGAATGGGGATTAAAGAATACCATTTTGAAGATTGATAAAGACATCTCTCTGAGCATTTTATAACTGCTTCCTGTAGGGCGCTTCGGAGTTGTGATTTTTCCTTACTATTAAGAGACATGTTTGCGTGTTATATATGCGTGAAGATGACCAAAGAAACTTTGTTATGTCGCCTATGGCTGGTCCTCATGAGTCGTATAGCTCGGTGTAGTTAGACGCGACGACGACGAAACCGCGTCGCAGTTCAATTGTGCTTGGAGCTTTGGATTGTATGCATTTAGGTGTGAATGGCAACGAAATTTGGAGGCAGTATAACCTATACACATTGAATTTTCAAGAAAAGTGGTCCTCCCAGGTTTGTTTCACAGTAACGAAGCTTTATAAAGCTCTTAGCACTTAGCACATGAATCATGAATAGGATGAATAGGATGAACAGGAGCTGTCGCTGCCCCTCGAAAATCAATATTGACCTACGATAAGATAACGATAAGAGGTAACGATAAGATATCAATCAATTTATGTACCTACCGGCGTACCTAACCCACCATCTTTAGATATCCACAAGATCGACCCGATAGCGCATGGTCCCTTGCACCTCACCGCCATCAGTTTTAAGTATGTATTGAAGATAGCTATGTGTAGGACAAATTACGCGGAGTACAAGATTTGCCTCTAGAGATTTGCGTTACTAAAGACAGATAATTCCAACAATATTAGTTGAAGGGAGAGATTTAGCTACGAAAGTTATTACTAGACGTTAGAACTATCTTCCCGCCTTCTTGGTATATCATATCGTAGGTATTATGAGGTAGCTAAAGTATTAGTTACGGTGCTACATAGTAAAAAGATTAGGTACCAGACCCCTGCACTGAGCTAAAAAAATCAAGCCAAAAGTTTTACACGTTCTCAATTTCTAGCACAGTATTTCTCATGCTGTGACAATGGCGGGACAGCGACCGTAATACTAAATAATGTATTACGTAGTACCGTGCAACAATTATTTATCACACATAGCGGTACTGAAATTAAACCTACAAAACTTTTAGCACCGACCATTCTAAGCTAGCGTACTAAGATACATTGGGTTAGGAAATTCTCGGTTCGTCAACAAAAAAGTCGACCCGGTGTGGGGCAACTCCTATACAACTTCCCGGGCCGTCATAAGAGGAGACATTTACTTCCCTTATTTCCTCCCTTTAGACCTTATATCCAGAGACATATCCTAAGACATAATTTTTTCAGTTGAATATTCAACACCTCGTCGACAAGATGGCTAAGAGAACTACTCTCAAGGAATTTGAATCTGTCTTCCCCAAGCTCGAGGAAGATATCCTAGCTTGGGCGAAGCAATACAACCTGCCTCAGCAGCAGCAAGATTGGTACAGAAAGGTGAGATTCGATTATTATTACCACCCAACTTTATGCTCTTCTGAGAGCATTGAATCTGGTTAAATATCATTTGCCGCATCCCATACTAACCCTACACGAAGATGCTCCAAGAAAATACGGTTGGCGGAAAATGCAACCGTGGAATGTCAGTTCCTGACTCAGTGTCTATCCTTCTCGGCAAGGAACTATCCGAAGAGCAGTATTTTCAAGCTGCTACTCTAGGCTGGTTGATTGAGTTTCTTCAAGCTATGTTCCTCGTCTCCGACGATATTATGGATAGTAGCATCACCCGACGTGGGAAACCATGCTGGTATCGCCAGGAAGGCGTCGGTATGATTGCTATCAACGATTCTTTCATACTCGAGTCTGCTATCTACACCTTACTCAAGAAGCATTTCAGGACCCACCCCTCTTACATCGACATGGTAGAGTTATTTCACGAGGTAGCACTGCAAACCGAGCTTGGCCAGCTCTGCGATCTTCTCACAGCTCCGGAGGATGTCGTGAACCTCGACAACTTCAGCTTAGAGAAGTATACCTTTATTGTCATCTACAAGACCGCGTATTACAGCTTCTACCTTCCCGTCGCTCTGGCGCTGCACATGCTCAATATCGCGACCCCTAACAACTTGAAGCAAGCTCGTGACATTCTCATTCCCATGGGCGAGTACTTCCAGATCCAAGACGACTACCTGGACAACTTCGGTCTTCCGGAGCACATCGGTAAAATCGGAACCGATATCCAGGACAACAAATGCTCTTGGCTCGTCAACCAAGCCCTAAAGTTAGCTACTCCTGAGCAGCGCAAGACGCTTGAGGAACACTACGGCAGGAAGGACAAGGCCCACGAGGCCGAGATCAAGAAGCTCTACAACGAAATGAACCTCGATAAACTGTACCAGGACTACGAGGAGAAGGCTGTCGGCGAGATTAAACAGTTGATCTCCCATTTGGACGAGAGCGAAGGATTAAAGAAGGGTATTTTCGAAGAGTTCTTACGGAAGATCTACAAGCGAAGCAAATAAAGAAGTCGAAATGGGGGAACGAAGCTTATGAAATCTATCTGATAATCGAATCAACTGGTAAAAGGGATGCCTAGGATGACGCAGGAGGAATTCTTCGAAATGGCCGTAGATTTCTAACTAGACAGCGACATGAATAATACCCTTAAAATTTATAATTCGATATATTTTACTTACATTCTCACGAAACACAGGTCCCTCGTTAACTTCAGGTGGTCCAGAATGGAAGACCCCATACGTTACTGCACAGTACTTATTTTACTTGATCATGGCCATCCTTCTCATGGAATTGCAAATTGAGAGGGGTCTTCTTCCGCAACATATATATTCCCGCAGAGCTAATCCACTCTCTGGGGGTTCAAACTACCGGATATTAATAACATGAACCAACTTCATTACGTGGTTTATATGATACCCGCGCAACACCTAAGCCCGGTATTAGGCAGGAAGGGTATTGGCTGCGAACGATCTTTCGTAGAAGATAGTTATCTCTCATATCTCAACTATCGCTCACCGTCTCGCCGGTTGTACCTTTTGTAGTTCGAAGGCTATTAGCGGGAATATTTACGCTGTTCTGTCTAAGGTTAATATGATTTTTGTTTAACTAATTTCGCTTTAGGATTTTGGTTAATTATCGATGCAATACATTACGTCTTATGGTTGCATGACTAATCAAGTGGTTTAACTATTTCTAGGAACCTTTGGTATTAAATGCGATGTCTGTTTGAAGGCTATCTAGTGAGTGACTTGAAAAGAGGGTGTTTCCAACTATCTTAGGTACGCTGCACCGAAGCAGCGCGCCTTACCAGCAGCAAAACACGAGAAAATAAATGAAGAACAATGTGATAAATCCTGTATAATTTTGACATGTAAGTATATCATATATGTATTCTAGATTATGGCCTCAGTTTATACTTACTGCCTAGACGTCTGAGTTCTTCTCATCATTTCTGAGAACTTCTGGAGCTTCTAGAACGATATATCATCCGGGCAAGTGTCGCCACGGCAGCAATACTTTTTATAGCCTGTCCAACAACAAGCCCCATCACCACAACTGTCTGTCCCGCAGTCGGTATAACCAGCATCGCATGACCCTGCACAGAAAGGGGCGGTGCCGCTCCAGTAGCATGGATCCACGTCGACATCTGATATCATGAGTTAGTATATAACTTGTTTAAGTAGTTGATTAATAGGTTCGCAACACACCAATAGCCTTCACGGCAGATACTGCAAGTAAGCACAGGAGAGAGAGAAGTTTGGGGCCCATATTGACGACTTTTTGAATCTTTCAAGCTGTAGAAAATTGCCTTGAAGAGTAGTACTATTAATAAAAGTAATTCAGAGATAGAGACTTTTCTAGGTCTTCATATACCTTTTCTACTTGAATAACTCGAGTTTATCTATAGCAACAACTGACTCTCGGAGATGTCATCTTATTCCAGTAACGGAGTGAAAATGTCTTTTTTACGATCGGATCGGTTCATTCTTCTCCTAGCTATCTCTAAGGCGTACCTATAGTGTCTCTTCCGACCGCGAAACGCCGATCCGGGGAGTAAGGTAAGCTACGATATCGGCATAAGGCCCGGTACGCTTCTGATGATGCTAGTGAGTATTCTCGCGTGGACACTGGCCGCGGGGGGTAATATCAAAATGAGTCTTGTTCGTAGTTGCCGCATTGAGGGAATCTCCGAACGTCAGCTCCCCTCACTGCATCCCTTATCAGCTAACTCAAGAGCTGAATTTCTTACCTATTATATCAAACATTAGCTGAGGGAAAGCTTCGCTTGGTATCGACACTGATACTACGTATCTCAAAGCTGAGCTCACCGCCATTCCTGATCAACATGTGGATATATCGGCGGAAGATATTCTCGTGTGCTTTCACAAATAACCCGTCAAAGCCCGACTTGAGAAGCTTCCGCACATCGCCGTGATTACTGGGTCAAACTTGAGGAATATATTAGGCACATCGCCGTTATCGTAGTATTTATTGTATTCTGGGAAGGGCTTCTTCGGCCTTGAAGGTTTCGAGTAGATATCTCGATTGGGTAATATCGTGACGGACAATAGCTTATTCGGTGTTATTGTACCTATATCCCCTAAGAGTGGTTTTGCTAGAAAAGCCGAGAGAGGGATGCTATTAGGAAAAGACCCTTGGAGACCAGCATGTTATATTTCCTATACGTTTTCCTAACGCAAATAGATATTTCCCCGTGGTCCACAGCAGAAAACCCCATATTTATGAATTCTCCTCGATTTACTCTCCAAGCTAACAGGTCATAGAACATATTACTATGCGTATATCAGATACAACGACGACCCTTGACCCCGAATACGCAACAATAAAATAGAACCAGAAGTAATCGTATTATCTATATTATTTCTCGTCAGAGTAAAATTCACTGCACAAGGATGCTGACGTAGGCCAGCCCTAATAGAAAGCCCTCTACTACATAGCTCAGCAGGTGTATTTACTACACCTAGAACAAGCGACTGTGGTAGTACGTCTAGCATCATTACCACAAAATTAGCCCCAATTCATATCCAAGAACGCACGAGAAGTAAATCAATGATAGAAATTTCGAAGAACCGGGGAATATTTCAGAAGGACTAACGAATGTCACCAGTGATGCAAGTATAAATTACAGTTACCAGCTCCAGTATCAATATGATTATAACCCCAATCACTAGCCGGGCCTACTTTCCTTCCCGAGACGTTACCGTCAATATCAAGCTGATGAAGCACGTCCCATTTCACGTCTCACCAAAGCCAATATAAAAAAGCGCATCGCACAGGTCCGAACTCCGGAGGACTCACTATACTATAAAAAAAAACGCCCTAATTATAACTTGTCTTAGGATACAAAGATTATGTATTCGCTCGCTAAAAGCATGGCTTGGATCGTTAACCGATTTGGTTGTGTTTTTCTTGGTGACGTTACGCTTTAAAGCTTACTTATTTCCAGTGTTGTTCTGGCAACATATATGTGGCGCTCGTAGAAATATAACGGTTGGAGGTACTCTATAAGATTAAGAAGCCTATGTCTATCGGGGGCGTCGTAACACTTATCAAGATTCTACATGAGGCATCTAGAACAAACAACATGTTCAATACGTATAACTAGACGTAGAGTAGACCCTTGTAGTTAGGTTAGAGTTCCTTGCGGAACAACAAAGCTGTTTCCATACTGTTCGGTTACACCTCATGATAACACTTGTGGCTCGATATTGGGCCCGTTCTAATCCTAGTCCGCGGTGAACGTGATGAGATTCCTTTAACGTCGTTCAAGGGCGTAGCTTCCTATCGGATTATAGAATCATGGGCCAGAATGCTTTACGCAAGCGTCTCAAACCTGGCTGAATTGGCATCAACCAGGAACCAGATAGTATTTCTTAAAAATATCTCGCTAGGGACAAGGGGATAATCTCATACGTATCTATCTATGTCCCACAGTCTAATTGCCACAGTAAAGCACAGCGCTTTATATAAGATGCGTTTTACCGGAGCTAAGGCTGCAGGGATAGTAAACCGTTGAATACATTCACCTACCAGCATATCACGTAACAATCAACTCTGATAGAACAAATAAACCCCCAAGAGGGATTTTAATTATACAGCATCTAATCGAAAGCATCAGTTTTCGATGCAAGTATTACAAAAGAGGTATCTAGACACGCGGGCTAGCTATATAGGTAAGGTAGGTAGGTAGGTAGTTCGGTAGGCAAAACATCTATCGGTCTTGAATCCTCCTCCTGAAACAGTATTAACCATGCAAGAAACGCAGGCATTATATTGACATCCATATCTCATCGTAAACAGATCTTAATACGTTGATCTGTGATAAAAAGTCCAAAAAATCACGTTTCTTCGCTTCGCTTTCCATGATATAATCTTCATGACTGCTCGCTCGGCCTCCATGATCAAATGTCCCCGGAACTCCGCCGCTTTTGTGAGAGATGATCTTGAAATAGGTATGTAAGAAAATGTAGGTAACGAAGTACCCTCCAGCCGTGAGTTTGACAAAGTAAATATGCGACGTTCGGCGCGATATTAAGGATTAGATAGTGTAATATGTAGGTAGGTAGGTAGTTAAATAGTTTCGTAAATGTCATTATACTACTTTCAGAGTGCCTGTCCGGCCGGGCACGGAATTGTAGGAGCTATACTCGCGTTCTTTCTCTCTTGCTCGTTCTCTTTCCCGTTCCCGATCTCTGTTTCGTGGCGGTGGGTTCAATTTGAATTGCTCTCGATCACCACTGCGTCCAGGGAGAGACGGGACAGGGGGAACGTTTCCCCCTACTGGGGTTCTTGGCGGAGGTGCGCCTTGAGTTTTGCTTCTGGTTCGAGAAAGGCTCGGGAGGGGGGCTGTGTGGGGAGGGCGGCGAAGGGCGCTCCGGGGCGGGATTTCGGGATCCCCGTTCTGCTTGCTTGGGTTCGAGACAGTAATAAGATCGACTAGATGTGCTGTGCCAGCAGGAGCTTTGACGCCATGGCCAGTACTTTTCCTCGCCCACTGTGGTGCTTCTTGGAAGGTGTTGTCTTCCAAGTCGACCAGTGGTTTCGGCCGGTCACGACGGTTCGAGTGCGAAAGTCCAGTCGGTTGTGAGGAAAGGGGGTGCGGGTGTTCATATGCTAGGGGTTTGCTACTTGAAGGGAGAGGCGGAGGTCGTGACGATGATGAGAGAGAGGGTCTTCGTGTGTAGGTATGCGTATGTGTAGGTGTACGGATGACGCCTGCAGAGGTATTCGGGCGTGTGGAAGAGGAGATGGAGCCGACACTGCGTTGTCTCGCAGAATGCTCAAGAGCTGAAGGGAACCAAGGAGATTTAGGCTTTTTAACCGGCGTCTCTGGTTCGGACTTCCGATTCAATAGCGAAGGGCCCTCCGTAAACCCGTCATTTCTGTGTCTTTGTCGCCCTCGCTCCGGCTGATCTGTTTCTACATGGGTATGTTTCCGCTCTTCATATCCATCACCAAGCAGACCGTTGCCGGTGAATCCATCGTCAATTGTCGTATTAATTTTATCGATCAATTTTCGCTCGTTTTTGCTGCTCCTGTCTATCTTCTCGGTCGTCGTATTGGAAATGAGGTGATGGGAAGGAATTTCCTTTGGCATGGTCGATATATCTGGCACAGGTGGTAAGAAATCCTGTCCGAACTGAGATAACCGCTTATCAAAGCGCTTCATGTCGAGAAGCGGCTCAAACTGGCCAATTGCATACGGCGTTTCATCAACTGACACTTGGAGACGGTGACCATTTATCGAAGCGACATTTGCTGACTTCTTTGGTGCCTGAGCGACCGAAGGGGATGTTATTTGAGGCGGTTTATCGTCCGTCTTCCTGATCGAGATTTTCCTCAATGGTTTCGGGGCTGCTGGTCTACGATCTACAAGGTACCAGCTGCGCCAACCTTGAACCTTTTCCCTAAATTGGATCGCAATTTTAGGGTCCTCCGTGCAGAAATATTGGACATAGTTCTCAGTGTTCATAAAGACGTTAGTCTTCTGTTGACTTTTCACCGCGAAGCAATATCGCTTGGGTGGCTTGATATGCCTCCGCATCTGTGACTCTGTAGGTGTATATATATCGTAGTCGGATAGGCGACATAGGCTCGCGGTATCCTTGTCGGTTGAGTTGGCGTTCGGCTTCTTCGCACATATTATCTGACCATTTTCAAGAAGGGTGATCCATCTCTTGTTCCACTTTCCAGGGCGATTTGAGTGGTACATATATAATTGGAAACCTTGCGGTGGTTCGTCAAGGCTTGGAACTGAGTCGATGTCTAACTCCCAACCCTGTTCTTCGGACTCGGATAATGCTACTGTCAATTGGTTTTGAGTATCTCGATCCCAAGAATTCATGACGTCTCGAATATGCTCGTAACGTCGCAAACGGCGCTCAAGACCTAATACGCCATAAGTTTCCTTAACGACGTAATTCGACGGGCTAATATCGCTGGAGCCCATCATCTTAAAGGCGTAGGCTATTATATCGTCCGCAGTCGTTTCGGGGGTGACTTCCACACTGAAGGTATGCTGTCTATAGCGCACGGCGACATTCTAATATCACATTAACACATTGTAGATTGAGTCAAGTCACAATTCGCACTTACTCGATCTCCAGCATTGATCGCAGAGTGAGGCGCATCCGTCTGTGGTACAATGCCTCTTCCGCCAGGCTCTATCCCGGTTGGATGAGTTTTCGTGGGTTCGACACTGGTAGTTGAGGATGTTGGAGAAAGCCCAGGAGATAATCCATCCCTGCTTTTTCGCCCCTTGGTCAAGAGGACAAATTTTTCAATTACAGGACTTCTCGGCTTGGGCGAATTCGCTTGAAATGATGGTCTTGGACTATTCGCCAACTCCACTTCTAACCTTTGGAGGTCTTTCCTCTTCTGCTCGATTAATAGTCGATGGTTTTCGGCCTCTAAGCGCGCAACTTCTCGCTTTAACGCCTCATCGTCCACCCCGCTGTTTAGCCTGTTCCGTCGCCCATCTCGACTAGCAAGCCTTCGCCATCCGCTCTCTTCGCTCTTTGCGCTTTTCGCCGTGCTGGGACGGCTCTGATATTGATCTGCCATACTTCGATGCAGCGTATGCCTTCGCGTGCTCTCGGTATGGCGCATCTGATGTCGCGAAGAAGAATCGAGCGCGGTAGCCGGGGCATCACTCCCCTTTTGTGTCATGCTGGCGGTCCTTAACCGACGTGGTATAGTAGGCACAGGGGGGGCTATCGGAGGTTCCCATGGGGGTGGTGGATCGGAATTAATTTTTTGGGTTGCATCGACGTTGACAGTAACGCTACCTGCCCGCCTGCGGTAGCGAGACATGGATCGAGCAATAGTACTTCCAGATGTGGTACTCTGGTACTGCTCGCTGCTTTCGCGACGACTACGTTGAGTTGCCATTTTGTCTACTGTGTTTGCGGTTAATGGAAGGCTTCTCTCTCTTAGGCTTGGAGCTCGCCAATTGTGTCTATTTTCGAAGGGGAAATCAAGACGAGAGAAGTTGGGCGGTGACGAGCCACTTGGTAAAGTGACCGTCTCGGACCCTGTCGACATCTTGTCAGGGGTATGTTTGTGGAACCAAATCGCTTAAAGATACAAAATCAACAAGCACATAATAAGGAGAAATCTGTGCCGCTAAAACCCACTAGGACAAGATAATGACGATGGTGTAGCGAAATGTGTAGCGAAATGTGCAGGGAGCGCAGAGTGCCCAGTAACAGATCGCTCCCAGAACAAGCTTCAAAGCTCAATGTTCAAGTAAGTAGACAATTTGTACAAATCCAGACGTTTGTCGCAAATGAAGGTGACGACGGCGCACGGTAGAACGGCACCTAACACTAGGTGAATACTAGGGTGCTTGCTCCTTTTCCCGTCTACTTCCTCCTCCCATCCATGGTGATCGGAATAGTGTAGTAAAGCGTATGTCTTGGGGGTTTAACTGAAGATAGAGATAGCGCTGTAATCTCCATACGCGCCTGTTACCATCAGATCATCTGACGTACGGGGATGATCCTGTCGCCAAAAAGGATTCTCAATCAAAGCAACTGATCAAATTTGGCAGATTGCCGAGAAATCAACTCTTATTGTTATTGGTAGAAGAGGAAGAACAAGGGGTATCTACCGGGCCATATCCATATCGGGTCAGAGTATGTGGAGTTATTATATCTCAATTATCGCGAATAATATTCGGCTGGTTAATTGGCTGGTGGATGATTGTGGATGGCTAATGAATTGGTTTAGTTGGCTATTGGCATGACGAGCAGGAAAAAAAGAAGGGGAAGGCTAAGGGGAAATATGCACTAATCGTACCTAGCCCGTAGGTACGTTAGGTACTAATCTAAGTTGGGTAATCTTGGCTTCGGTAACTTTCCAGCTTCTCATGCAAGGGCCAATTCAGGTCATTGCATATAAAATATAAAATGCAGGGGATCCCGCATCGCGTCAACGATCCACTGGACCACTGGACCACATGCACTAAACAATCAGGGACCACTGAAGGCCTGTGCTCGTCAGGCACAGAAAAGTCAAATTCTCAACTTTGGTACCAGCCGATAATTGGTTCCACCCGTTGTCTTAACGCGCTTACTCGGAATGCATGTGGCATCAACATGTGGCAGACACGAGAATTAACTAAGACAAAATGGCTACGTAAGGTTACTATATAGTCCATAGTTATACCAAATATTCCGAAACTCTGCCCACTTCAATGTTACCATTATCATGATTTACCCTCCATTTCGTACGTGTAGTTCGCAGGAAATATTAGGTCTTAAAGAGGGTCTGCATCTATGCAAGATGCATGCAGGCACAAGCAAAATTAGGTTCCATGCAAAAGGCTAATGAGGCTGGCTAGCAACACCGTCAATATCGTATTCAGCTGGGAGTCCAAGACCAAAAATAGTCTGCTCGCCGATACCCTACATCTAAGCCGGAAGCCCGTCGAGTTTATTATTGACTTCACCTCGTCCGCATACCTAGGTAGGTAAGGATAATCGTTGAATTGATACGAGGTTCCATTATGTTGGGTTACTAGACGAAAACGTGTCTCGTGTCGGAATAGAACATAATATGTAAGAAATACTATATTGATATTTATACCTTGTAAGTGTATACTTCTTGTCTCATTAAAACCCGGTGCCTTGATGGTTTTAAGTTAAGTACCTGGAGTAGGTAATTATAGCTCTAGCTAGAAATTCGGGGACCAAATGCTTGGCTCTCTTACAGGTAGAATTAGTTATACCACTAAGCAAACATCTTAGATTCTCATTTTCTAAATGCTTTAACACTCCACCTCCACCAACCGGTAAAATCCTGAGTAGCCACATCTATGCCGATATCTTTGAGTGCCTTCGTGCTGAGGTGGCAGTCGTACGGCCTCTGGACGGAAGCATTCGGGTCGTTCCCTTCGGTATTAGGCTCGATGGCTGCGATCGATAGACCCATGATTTCGCCGAAGAGCTGGCAGATCTCATACTTGGTATACTTATTCTCCGAAGAGAATTGTAAGATATAAGGTAATTTAGATGGGTCATCCGTGTTTAGATATTTCAGGGAAACATCTATTAGCAGGTGTTAGCGATGAACAAGCGAGCTTAACGCAAGGAATTGTGTTAAATGCAGAGAAACATACCATAACACACCCGTCCTACATCTTCGGTCTACTGCGTGTCAGTATTACACATAATTATTTGAAGTGTGGCTTTGTGGAAGGAAACAGCGATAAACGGCAATATAACATACTGTAAGCATGTTAGCATCCAAGGAGAAAATAGTACATGCAAAAAATAATTTCGAAAACAGTGGTAATGTTGGTAATATTGAACTTACCATTGGTAGGATAACGGAGTGCCCAGTGATCCATCTTAACCTTGGCACCTGATTCTTGTGCTTTCCAGACAGATTCCATGAGCACATTCACAGCGCTCTCAGATGGCACCTCGGCATCACCGTATAATACGGGAACACGTAGGACAACACCAAGACCTGCCTTGCCGGCACGTTGATACTCCTCCAATACAACCTGCTCTCCATCTAGCTTCGTCTGCCCGTATAAGTTGGTAGGTTGCGGCTTTGCATCAGCCTCGTACGGTGCATCACCAGGCTTGCCTGGGAAGACATAGTCGGTGGATATATAGATTAGGAAGATACCACGCGCCGCGCACAGGGAGGCAAGTCTCCTAGTAGCTTCGACGTTTAGGGCGCGTGTTCCCTCGGGGTCGTTGTCACACTTGTCGGGGAATCGGTTCGCGGCGCCTAGCTAGTGTTAGTTTCGCGCGAATCTATAGGCGAGTGACTAGGAATGGGTTATAACTGACAGTGAACTACGACTTGTGGTCTTGGAAGTGAAAAGCAATGTTAGCAAGCAGGTAGACTCTTATGAATAGATAGCAATCCTAATATAAGTATCACATACTTAACATTATCAAGGGCAGCCTCTACTTGCTCTGCATTTACTAAATCGACCTTGAGGATCGATGACCCGTCGGCACGAGAGTAGCCTGTCCCTTTAACGTTCCACTTGCCTCTTTCGAAGGCCCTTACAACCTGTCTGCCTAGTAGGCCAGTGGCTCCGGTGACCAATGCAGTTTGATCGGACATCTCTGATTAGCAAGGATTTTGGCGGTTGAGAAGATGAGTATAACTTTAAGCTGGTGCTTCAAGGTTAATAGTATGAAAGAAGCTTGGAGGGGTAGCTCTGATTCGAGATGCATAACGCCTATGGAATAGCGGGGGTGGGGCAATTAATAGCTCTACTATCTACTACCCTGTAGAGTGGAGCTATTATAGCTTCGTTTCCCTATGTGTAGTTCAATGTTGTTTAAGAGTCTAAACCTAGGTACCTTATATTTACGAGGTTTAATCAGGAATAGGATATAGTTATTGCCCTCTTTTCTATAATAAGACCCCATTACCAGTCTAATTTCGAAGCTCCCCTCAAATCATCCACATTCAAAATGTCTGCGCCCTCTTCCATCAATGTGTGCCAGACTTTGTTTCTGATACCAATTGGCCAGCTAGGCGTATCCCAATATCGAACCTTTAGTCCTCTGCGATGAGCACCCTTGATCTGACCGCGAATCGTACGAAGTTGTTTTTCACTGAAGCCGCCTAGGACGATCCCTATACTATTAGCAAAGCTTGTGCTCGCATAAAATGAATTAGAGTCATTATATATAGGGACTTCGGTAGACTTCGTGTCCGAGGCGTCTAGATCCTCCCACATATCTGTTAGAGGGGCATCGAAGAATGCGTCTCTATACGTTGCGTTTTTGGCGAGTAGATCGAACGGCGTATTCCCTGTTCCAACAACGGTTACTTGGCGCCGATGGATGACTCCATTGTCGAAGGAAGTTAACCAGCCCCCCGACCTCAAGGGTTCGAGCTGTGCTAGGACATGTGGCCAAGTCTTAGCCCCATCGGTCTTCAAGTCCACAAGGAGAATTACTGTCTGTTCTGGGTCATAGTCGAAAACGCCCCGACGTGTATCGTTATAGAATTGTGTTTGCGGGTTCGTGCGATTGAGTAGGTCTACTAGAGGATTTACGTATAGAGACATAAAGGTGCGATTTGGAGTCAGGGCAGCCTCATCGTGTCCAACGTAGAGTTCCGGATCATCATCAAAAAGCCAAACATCCGCTTCGACCCCGATACAGCCAGCGTGTAGGGCTGAGAAGAGAGGCACCTTGCGCCAGTAGTCGTTATGCGAGTGACATCGAATCGGGATAACATCACGGAGAAAGTCTGTAGGGTACCAGGCCAACCCCTCTGTTGCTGTACCTGGCTTTCCCCAGTTCCCAAAAACTTTGTCCGGATCATCTTCCAGACCCCATAGACTCCTAGCGATAGAGAGGAGTAAGCTTATGAGCAAGATAGAAGCTCTAGATTTCAAGGTTAGTTGTACGGATTGACGCGGTCTATGTTTTGATAGCAATGCCTACAGTATGATCAACCCCCAGATGCTGCCGCATGTGAGATAGCTTTGCCAGCTTTGCCAACGTTGCCTTTTCGGGGCTGATTGTACTATTTTATCTGCTGAGGCTATCCTTGCTGTAGTGGGGTTCTCATTCTCTTCGGATCCATCGACAGGTACATAGTCATGAGAACGTTGCCGGTTCCAGACGTTACTTAAAGGTAACTTCATTTGGGAGTGCTAGTTCTTCTTATGTTATCAGACTAGGCGTGGCTCATTTATTTTACCTGGGTAGGGAAGATGAAATATTCTGAGTCGGTCACCACTCTAATTGTCTGTTTGACTCGATGATTACTCTTTGTACTCGGTAATGCGTCTCTGACGTCAGTAGGAAAGTAGCGAAGGGTAAGTTACATCGAGTTTACTTAATTGGAAGCAGAACATTTAAATTAAATATAGATATCGAGGAGGTATATTTAATAAGTAGGATATGATGGCAATAGGTTTAGAATGGTATAAATCTAGATTCGGACTTGGCGGCCAGTTTAGAGTTGGTCCCTGATCTTATCTCTATAATTCAAGTGGGGCGAATGTGGTAGAGAAAAAGCTAAGCTGTACTATATAGTCTCGAGCTTAAAATGTGGGGTTAGCGTACTCAAAAATTTTGGGCCTCAAAATTCGTTGCTAATTTCTAACTTCATTGACTTCTTTTGAGATCACAATCTAGGTCAAGATGCCGCATAAACATACACGCAGAGAAAAGGATCCTTCCACGTAAGTACAATTCTACCGTGTTAACCCAACGGCTAGCTAACTTCCCTACCTAGATACGATCTACCCCCTTCGCAGATCGCAAGGCCTTTACCAGTAACGTCGCAATCGCAGAAAAATGAAGCAGGGAAGCAGGCCCAAGGTCAGCCTGGGAAGGGCCAAAAGCGGAAGCGAGATGTGAAACAGAAAGATGATGCGCCTCGAGCGTTCAAAAGGCTGATGGCCTTTGCCGGAGGCAAGAAACCGCGGTCCGGATTAGATAATGGCGATGAACCGTCCAAAAAAAGCAAAAAGAAGAAAGCCAACACTGTAACGAACACCGAGATCGAAACCAAAACAGAAACAAATACAGAAAAGCAGCTTCCTAAAATCCAACCTGGCGAGCGGATGTCGGATTTCGCAGCTCGAGTAGATGCCGCGCTTCCTATCAGTGGTTTGATCAACAATTCGGTTAGGAATGGCAAAGATCCCCTAGGCCTAAAAGTATGGAAGACAAAAAAGGAAATGAAGATGCACAAGTTATACGACGAATGGCGAGAAGAAGATCGGAAGATTAAGGAAAAGAAAGAAGAAGAACTAGAACTCTTAGCAGAGAAAGAGCTAGAAGATGAAGAATCAGGTGTCACATGGAAACTTGACTCGCAGAGTGGTGGTAAGAAGAAAAAGAAGGGGAAGAGAGCAAAGTATCTGGGCGAGGCTGCTAGCGACGAAGAGGATCCGTGGGAAGCATTGAAGAAGAAACGCGGCGAGACGAAAGCCGGCTTGCACGATGTCGTTAAGGCGCCACCGGAGTTTACCGTCAAGCCGCAGAGGAAGATGACTGTTAGAGGCGCAGCGGTCGAGATTGACGGTATTCCGAAGGCTGCGGGAAGCTTAAGACGAAGAGAGGAGTTGCAGACTGTGAGGGACGATATTGTCGCCTCCTACCGGAAGTTGATGAGCGAGAAACGGCCATCTTTGCATACGACCTAATCTTAGAGTATATCCCATATCAACTTTGAACGACGTAGATACCCTAAAACCACGAGAACCTACGATATTATTGCGAATAAAAATCCAGCTAGGGCATTACGTAGAATACCACTTGTGGTGTACCTAATGTAGCAACCGACCACCTCGTCATGAAATGCCACTTTACAACCTAAATACATCAAATTAACGGAAAGGATACACTAGAAGTAGCTTCAAATTGACTATCATGCGTGGAGCAAGGAATTACGCAGAAGTCTCCAGTAGAGACCATTTTTTCGGAAACACATATAAGATTGGAACAACGTTTCTTTGCCAATCCTTCGCTCAACGCCATGCTTCTCGGTACCTCATAAGTTGTCGATCTCCAACCAACTATCGCTAATAATTAAATACAGTATGATGCTTGGCAATACCTTTTCCTAGGTTCTAGGAATACGTTAAATGTTGCTTTCCCCCCCTAGACCCGCGAAGGAATAGTAAGGCTTCATTTTCTCAATGCTAGAGTCTCGTTACCTAAACCCTTTTATTTAGTAGTAGTAAATATTATTGCCTCACCGGCAATTAACCTCAGAAATGATCATAATGAAACTTTATCATCCTCATTGCGGTCTCCAGAACTCGAGGCATATCTCCAGGGAGCTACTGTCGTCAATAACGCTGAAGATCTAGCTATACAATATGTAAGCTCTAAAGCGTATCAAACAATGATAGCAGCTACTTAGGCAAACCATACCGAAGCATATTATGGTAATCTTCAAACTTCTTGCGAATATATCGAGCATATAGACTACGATTATTCACGGAATATCAACGACGCTCTTTAATAATGCATTACTAGCCCTCATAATGGCCATCAGGACGACAGCGAGGCAAATAGAAGATAGGCTTGGAGGTTTTTTTTTTAATGATCGAGTTAAGACGGACGTTTTGGGCAACGAGGTTGCCTCGGGGGTCGAAAGAAGAGGCGTTTGACACTAACTAGGTACGCATGGGGATATAAGATTCAGAGCGTAAACTTGGATAGGAACTTTTATCAACCGTGATACACGGATTGAGAGGCTTAGCTTGTAGTAGTACATTGGGGGCTGTTTTGGCCAATGCCCCATTCAAGAATATGGGTGATGAGGCACTCCTTATGCCCACCTGCTAACTAGCGTAGAACAAGTATCATCCAGGTCTTCATTTATCGGACCAATTGTCTTCGATAGCTCTGAAAAAAGCATAACCAATTACCATGGCAATTTCAAGGGGCTGTGTCTTAGGTACGTTGTTATGCATGTAATAAGCCACGAGGCTTTCCGAACTCTCCATGAAAGAATACAACGTCTACTAACTCGAATTCACCGTTATATTTTCTAAAAGCATATGATTACTATTTATGCTAAATTCACTCTCGGGTCAGAATCAAGTAGATTGACTGTGGCATCAAAGATCAATTTTATATGTTATATGATAGATATATGTGAGAGGGCAGCCTCCTTGTCGCTATCATGATCCGGCTCATCCATTGCGGCGAATGGAAGTTCCGCGAGTTTGATCTTTGCGATTTGCTTCCTAAGTATGCCATTTTATCACACAGGTGGTTCACTGATGCAGGCGGGAATCCAGAAGAGGTGACTTATCATGATGTTCTGGCGCGGTTAAACAACATTGAACAAGGCAAAGCACGGAGCTGGGAAAAAGTCGAGAAGGCTAGGGATATCGCCTGGGGCCTCAATATCAGATGGATATGGATCGACAACTGCTGCATCAATAAAAGGGATGCGCCGGAACTCTCGGAAGCAATCAGCTCTATGTATCAATGGTATGCACAGTCACAGGTCTGCATTGCGTACTTGAACGATATGGATAGGACTGAACTTGGTCTTTCATCATGGTTTTTAAGAGGGTGGACATTGCAGGAGCTGATTGCTCCATCTCAAGTCCTATTTTACAATAAGAGTTGGCAGTACTGTGGGAGTCGGAATGGGTATAGAATTGAAGACCCATACGATATAGCTACAGATCTTAGCGGCACAATCTCTAAGATTTCAGGGATTCGGAGGGATCTTTTAAAACTAAACGACAGCAATCGAATTAAACGATACTTGTCTTCTGTACCAGCTTGTCAGAAGATGTCATGGGCGGCTAAGAGGAAAACGGCCAAAAAGGAAGATATGGCATACTGCCTAATAGGGATATTCGGTATTAATCACATGTACCCGAAGTACGGAGAAGGGGGGAAGGCATTCATTCGACTTCAAGAAGAGATCGTCAAGCAAACCAGTGATCTGACCTTATTTGCTTGGGTAGTAAAGGAACTCAACGAGTGCGACTCTGATAATCTATTGACGTACGACAATATTAATGGTATTGATGGCATTGAACATAACGATCGTGTCTTCAAATTCTATCAGGCCCTCCATGGGATATTCGCCTGTCATCCACGCGAGTTTGCGTCAGCTAACAACGTCATACCTACACAGCACGCCGTGTACAACGACGAAATTACAGTTTCCAGCAAAGGCCTCAAGTTCACTACAGCTCTGTGGGGGACGGGGCCAGATTCTCTATTTACCATGCCTCTCTATTGTTATGATCAGACACCTTCCTGCCCACTAGGGATCCATTTGAGATGGGTCGGGGGCGATATTTATGCCAGAACAAATGTCACGAACACAATTTATCTGCCCACGGAACAAGCTCCTCTTCCGAGCCAGGACGATATTTTTGCCACATATAAAATATACCATCTTCAAGATTGCCTCCGTGTCCTCCACCGAAACTCTATACGCATTCCTAAAATTATCTACAGCGAAGATGGGACAATGGAGGTTGCGCAACTAGAAAGGACCAAGGTCTCGCCAGGTTTTCTTTGGTGTGAAGAACGTGGTCTTTTAATGACATATGGAGTTAGATTCCCTTTAGCTTGCGTAACTTATCGAATAATTCAGCAACAGAGCAAGCTGGTTGTTTTAGTTTTGGGGCTCGACCACATGGAAAAGCCTTGGTTGTGTTTAGTCGAGCCTGGTTCACAACTGGCGCCATCGCATTTAGAAACAAGACGGGGATATCTTGATAGAATATGGCGATCGGCAAGACAAGAACGAGTTGAAAATATCCACTTCGTTGCCAATGCTACTTGGGAGCACAGATCACAAGCCTGTGAATTTAACATAAACGGTCGATTCGGAAGTTCTAGTGACTGGCTTGATGGCCAACCCATTTTCAACGTCAGCTTAGAGGCAAATATTGCCCCTATATCTCCATTTGCGACAAATGTTGATAATATAGTTTCATCTCCTAGCAGTGGACGAAACTTTGCATCAGATATGACGACATGGATAGGGGAAACGGACAACTCAGCTCAAAGCAACCAACCAACAACAACTAATTCTTTGCCTATTTTTCTGACTACTTCTGGGTTAGAAAGGGAGCAAACAAGAGCACGAACAGACCCGAGTATTCCAGCTAAAACTTCTCAATCGCTTAGAAGTTTAATCAGCCATTATATTCCTAAGAAGACAAGCAAATCTCCGATAATATCACAACGAGCAGAACCGACAGATACACATCCTATTCTCACCCGATCGCTAAATCGGGTTTCCGAGCATGGCACGTCTACCGTAAACTCGGTGCCCAAAGGAGCTAACCCTACAAGGAGACATGCTAATCCTCCAGGACCAGATCAAGTCCAGTATCGACAATCCCGTGGGTTGTCCGTTGTTACTGGTACCGACATGATTTCTACTCAATCCGTACATACCTCAAGCATAGTTGGTTACACTGACGTAAGGCATACTTCAAGGCAGTTTACAACTGCCAGTGTCGTGAACATACCAGAAGATAACATTTCTGAGTTCATTTAGATTCTAGCTTAGACTACCCCTATTAAGAAATCTAACTACAATATCCTACCTAAGTACTTAACTTAGGTAGTGTTTTATTCTAAATGTTTATATAATAGCCGAATCAAATATGACTATTTCACTATAAATACATTTTTATTTTACGCATATTTGATTAATCCACCCCCCAAACTCTCAGAGAGCTGTCTGCAGCTGCTAGTCGGTATATCCATGATTTACCTTTTACTTGCTAACTTGAAGCGCAAGTAGGTACCTGTTATTGTAGTATAAGGACTTCATTTTAGAAACTTAGGATTGTACTATATTAAAATGTCCTTCACTAACACCGTTTTGAATTATCCCAAAAGTCTGGTAAACTAGATATATGGTGATGGGGGTTAGCTCTAAACTGAAATAATAGGCTTAACGAATCTTTTTACTTTGTATTATCTTTTATCCCGAGCTATGTAGCATCGGAATCCTCGATCACGATAAAACAGCATAGTTACTACGGCCTCCAGCGGCTGACCTACAGTGTCTAATTAGAGGCTTATACTGTTGCGGAGTACACAACCTGTAATGCTCATTCCGAATCTTATTTACCGGTGGTTCCAAATGCAAATATCCCGCAGTTTTAGTCCCGATCGAAAGTATCTTTTGAATCTCCTAATCTCCTAGTAGAGCCGATTACTATGGATAAGATTCGAAAGAAATTATCAAAAGCTACAAATTCTCGGAAGAAACAGACCACAAAATCATGGGTGCTTGGACCTTCTATACCTCCCGTTCACGTCCTGTCTGAACCTGTTCCCGAAATTTTTGCTCACGGGTTATTTATTTTACACCCTACTCCTGAGTTACGTGCTGAGCAAGAACATATAAATGTGGAGTAAGTTTACATCTCACGCTAGATTCAAATATATTTTAATAAAAAATTAGCATCGTCGCGGTCCATGGATTAAACGGTAGGGCACGGGAGACATGGGAGGATGAGCAAAGTGGTATGCTCTGGTTGGAGGATTTTCTTCCAGAGGCGATGCCAAATGCTCGTATTATGACATTCGGATATAACTCAAATTTGCTCTTCGGCAACTCGACAGGCAGAATTGAAGATTTTGCTAGGGATTTATTGAATAGATTATGGTTTATGAGGCAAGGACACAGAGTATGCTGACATCGAGACCTGCTTGTCTGTAACATGCTAACGTGTGGGATTAAGGCAGAAAACAGACCGCTTGTGTTTATAGCGCACAGCCTTGGGGGGATAGTCGTTAAGAAGGTATCTCCCCCCTTTTCATCCATCCAATCCTTGATAAAGCCATGAAATATTGACAACATCAGGCGCTTATCTTAGCTCATGAGAATCAGCATCAATTTGGCGATATTATCTCTTCCACAATAGGTATTGTGTTCATGGGAACCCCACACCGAGGGTCTGAGATTGTAAATTGGACCGCTTTTTTACAGAATCTCGCCCGTATCACGTCCGGAACACAGCTTATAAGGACTGATCTCATTCAAGAACTTGGCACGCATTCTTCAACTCTGCTTGAGATCTCGGAGTCTTTCTTACCTCTCTCAATTGGGCTAAATATCATGTCGTTTATCGAACTACAAATTGAACGCCCTCTAACTACACTAGTAATACAGATCTCTCATCAGATTCCCTGTTTAACGTTAGTATAGCTAATGCGACACAATTCTAGGTTGTACCTGAAGAATCTGCACGACTCAATATTCCCAATGAGAGGGTCTTCCCAGTCAATACCCATCACCGTAACATATGTCGCTATTCTTCGAAGAACGATCCGACGTATGTCCTTGTGGAAGGTTCTCTCAAATATATCATGCATAGAAGAAGTAATTCTTTTACTCCTAGTAAGTCATTACTACATGAATGTTTTATATGATACTAGGTATTAACTTTATCGATATATCACTAATTTAACTGACTATGGCAAGGCATATTTAATCAATTATCCTTCATTGAAGGTCCAAGACATACCCAACCTATAAGTGGTGTGGCAGAAAGAATCGAAGAACAAGTAAGTATAATATTAGATATGTCACCATTATGCTAACGTCTTTGATTTAGACCGGATCTTGTCTAGGCCTATCAGATGGGTCAGTCGAGCGTTCAGCATCCTCTTCGACATCCAAAAGTCTTACTTTCGGCATAACTAACAACATTGAACAACTCTCCTATAATGAGAACCCCAAGAAAGATGTACCTGTAACTATGATTGATACTTTCTCTGAGTACAAGACATTCAAGATTCAAGTTTCAGGTCTACGGCGGTTGGGATTGGGATCAGAGGGGGAGCATAACGACGACTGTATAACCTTGGATGTCAGTGGCAACATGCGATTATCCGAGTTAAGACGTCATTTATCTGATAAAATACGTCCAAGTAAGTAGGATCTTACCTTATTAGTATCCATGATTCTAATTCCATCTCAAGCGAAACCCATCCATAGATTGAAATTCCCTGGTCGGTCATCGCCCATTTCAGAGAAATGGATAGACGTCTTCACAATCCCAGTTCAAGTTACCAGCGGTCGTCCTTGTTACAACAAATCATCGGGGTATAAAATCAATACCGAGCAGTCTATTGCAGCGTTCTTTACTAAGGCTTATCCGACTCCAATTTCAGCCAAACTCCGTCAATATCCCCAGCAGATGCAATCTAGTACCGGCATGTCCCACTCTGTTATAGTCGGAAGAAGCGACGACCCAAATCTTCACATATCCCTTATGCGCACTATTCGCGTAAAAGGAGACGAGGGCCAGTATACACAACCAATAAGATTAGGGACTTTCCCTCTATTCGATACTTTTTCACATAAGGACAAACTCCCTACTAATGTAACGGCGAAAGGTGGTTTATTCTTTCCTATGCACGGTACGCATATGCTTAATCTAACTTATCCGAGCATAAAACTTCAATGGCTAATTCAACACTTTTTGAAGAAAAAGAAGCAATTTCGATGTGTTTTAGTTGTGACGAATCCACCGACTTTGCTGTCCGCCCCTTTGTTGGGGGCATCAATGGAATTACTGGGGACAGTATCCTTTCATACAGTTCTGAACCCGATAGTTCTATTCAAACAGCCCGTCAGGATTATATTACAGTTCCCGCGCAAATTCGGCTAGATGGAATTGCTACTCGTCCCGGCGTTGTTAAGCAGTTCGTTGCTACGAGATCATCTCCAACAGAGCAACATCAGGGACCTGGAACATTAACTTTACCCGCTTCCAATTCAGCACCTAGCGAAAGCAACGTGCAGGGAGCTGGTAAAATAGCCGACGAAAGCCGAACAATTGAATGGCAAAAGACAGGAAAGGATGAAACAGGCGGGATCCAACTACAAATTATCCCTAAGTTTGAGACTAAACGAATGTTTGCGGGCAGTGTGAAAGATGTCTGTCCTAGTTATTTTGGGGACTACCTAGAGTCTTACCAACCCGTCCCGATAGATGCGAAAGTATATGATGTTTTGAAAACTCCTCGGGAGCTTGGACTGCATGACGGTGATACCATTCATGTTAGAGCTCCCGAAAAATTTGCCTGTGGCATCATTCGAACCAAGCTCATACAAGATCTTGTAGCGGAGGCCCCAGAAACGTCAGGTAGTTTGTACGAAATAAAACTGGAAGTCTATGGAGAGTATAGAGAAAGTATGCCTATTTCTAATCGAAACAGGGCAGGCTTTCCTTGGCCCCTTTTTTTGCCCTGTCTTTGGCCCTTTTTCTGGTATTCGTCACACTCTTCTCCGCCCCTTTTATTATTGGTAATGGTCGGTGAAGTGGAAGTTTTCCGCGGGTTTCCAATGCAGGCCACAAAATTGAAAGCTATACTACATGACAAACTTGGAATCTTACCAAATCGCCAAATCTTCGAGCATCACGGGATTGAGTTTACAGGTGGTAAGTTTGCCAGATTACTGCTTTATCTTCCGGGTACAATTTCCACGTCTCATATATACCAATTACTTTTAAGATCCGAAAAGCTAAGAAGTTATCTCTAGAACTAACTAATCCGAGATTGTATGATAAAATCGGAAAGCTAACCCTGGAACTCGTCGTACGTCCGTACCCACAACCTACTCTTGGCATCGGGGCAGGGGTAAGCATCATCCAGCATATTCACCCCGACACTTCCGATCCACGACTCTGGGATCTTGCGAGTTCTAAGATTCTTCACATTCAAATTATAAGTGCAGAAGTGTTCGACTCTATCGTTGGATCTCCGCCCTCGGAAACACGTATCGGTTCCAAGACTGACAGCGGAAAAGAGCGTGATGACTCCACCGGTGTCTTCGATGGTCTTGTGAGTGTGGAAGAGCCGGATAGAATAGAAGCAGCTGGTAAGGAAATTGAGGATGGAGATAATAGTGTGAGGATCGCTGTCTCTCCTATAACTCTGCTCGAAGCAGACCAGATGATCCCGCAATTCAAAGGACAGTATCGATAGATATCTAATATGGAGAGTGTTCAAGATAATTGCCGAGGCTGTCACCTGGCCCTTTTGTTAGGAGATTAATATTAATTTATTAATGTCATAAATAAAGCGAGTGTTTATGATAAATAAACTAAGTGGTATATTATATTTATCTAGTAACGCCTGGCTTCTACTCTTTTGCGAGGGCGCGTAGCGCCCCTTATATATCTATCCTATGTGGATTTATGCCTAATTCATAGCACTTATATCCCGACACAATAGTAGACACAGAAGTAAAAGTATAATCTAAATCCCTTAGTTATTGAGGTTAATTTAGTAGTTATATTGAGTAATAACTACTTAAAACTTGCGATAAGTTTTGAATGCATGAACGATACACAGGTATCCAAGGCAGAGAATGAAAGTATATAGTAATGACCGTCCCATGCTAATGTAGTATTCTATGTAAGATCCTACCAGCCACTTTCTATGCTTTATAGTCCTCAATCCGGGCTTAGGCGTTAAGATGTCTGAATGATCAGCTCTGGAGACCCTTTATGGAACGCACTGTTATGATGAAGTTAGTAATCGGCATATCCTGAAGGCAAAAAAGGAGCTTCTTAAAACTACATACGGTCAATGCTCCGTTTTTCCTACGACATTCTATAATGGAAGATTAGCTAGTCGTCCAATATAAAGCGCGAATTTTCGGGGTTACTTACTACCAGAAACAACCGAAGAACTGTCAGAGGGACCGGCATAGTACTTGCAACCAGAGCCATCCCCATGGGAGCAGTTGTTTGGGCAGTTACAGGCAGCATCTATGGGAAATTAGACCTTGCTTCCAGGTTTCAGATTCATTAAAGGATAAGCAAACCTGGGTTAGTAGCGATGAGAGCGGCGCCCATAGCCTGGCCAGCGAAAAGGAGCGCAAAGGCAGAGATGATAGCAGTTTTGAAGTACATTTTGAATATATATATTTGGTGATATTGTTGGGAGTAGTCTTGAGGTTTTATATGATGTGGGGAGTAGAGTGGATGTTGGTGAAGAAGAGAAGTCGATAGAACCGGACCTTCTTAGTCCTTTTATATTTCCTAGCTCGACTATTTGCCATATTTCTCTTACATAAATGTCTACCTTGTGAGGCAAATATGCCATTGATTTCCCAAAATATCACACCGCCTATATTGTCACGATGTTACACGGACAATATGGCTGAGACTTATTTTAAGTGACTTGATACCTTCGTTGAAATATTCGTTCGTTAAGTTATACCTTTTCAGCCATATCATTTTTGACCAATTAAATCCCGTATTTCAAATATTTTAATTTTGGCTTTAAACTATTTTAAAATATACTTTTTTAAATATATAATATATATAATAATATTAAAATAATAATATTAAAATGTTATAATATATAATAAATAATTATTTAATTATTATTAATTTTATTATTTCATATATTATTATATTACATTAAATTATTAAAAATAAAAGTTTTATTTTTTATATAAAAATTTATGAAACGTCACGCTTATAACCCATAGGTACAAACATATAAGCCATAAGTTATAAGGCATTTGTGGCGTTATGGGCGTAGTTTACCAATGGAACAAATTCAGGTCAAAGCATTTATATAAACTGCATGGTGGAGCGAGACAAATAATTTTCGTGCCACCAATAAATAGTACTAGTGTAGATTATAACCATGTCGATTACGGGGGCCGTATGTAAAAGCAATAATCTATAGGAGGAGAAGCTCCAACATCCCCTACAATTTACTTAGCTACTCCTCAAAGCCATCACTGGCTGCTTAGCCTCCAAGTAGTTCATCATTGTGATATTTAGTTAAGGTCGCTGGAAAGACAGTTTCACTTACAAGTATCTAAAACCTACAATATACAATGACAACTAAAAACTAATAAATTCAGCATAATATACGTTTACTATATTTGCGAACTTCCTGATCACCGCTTCTTCGACCAACATAACCCTAAATATCAAGATTTATCTGTTAGATTGAAGTAAGCAAGTGTAACAAAGGCTTAAATAGACAAAAGCCACCAAGCAGGTGATACCCAAATAATCCTACTCTTGCCGGTCTTACCACATATATCCACTTAAAAAGGTACAACGAGTACTGTTAATTAGAAAGCCTTGCCGGTTAACCTTGTAAATGAGATTGTAAATAGATACTCCGAGCCGTTTGATCAGATGCTTCTGGCGGTATAAGTACCTAAAGCATCTGCCAGATCAGTCAGCAATATCATGTGAGTTAGGAGAACTCTGATTTCTCACGCATCGTAGATCTCAATACAATCAATCATGCCATCAGGAATATGATTAATACATCCTCTTTTTGACATCTTGATTTGTACAGATCGGCTATGTGACATATTAGTTGCTCGAGACGGGAATGATCATATAGGGGGCGTAGGTTATTTTCGGTAGCGAACTTGAACAAGTTGAAGCCATGAGTTAAGATAGTGGATACATTCTTTCAGCCCCTTAATGAGATAAACTTGCCAATTACAATGCGAATTTACACGAACTTAAAACCCACTTAAATAAACTATAACCCTAGTCTTGATTGGATGGTAATATCGACGGCCTTTGAAAGTCTTAGTTGACGACGATAATGTCTTATGTACCTAACCTAGGTAGGTACCCAAGGTATCTATAGCGGCAGGGAACTTCAAGGTTTATTGCTAAAAGCATAGCATAAATTAGAGGTTCCTTCTTCATAATAATTTATTTCAGAGATGGTGTCACAACACAAGCTGCCTAGATACGTTGGAATCTAGGTGAAGAGTATGATTATAGTAATGATTGTTTCATACTAAAGCTGCGGAAGTATACAAACGAACGTCCTCATCTAATACACAGTATAAGATTCCATAGCTTGTCTACCTATATATCCGCTATTCATGCTTCTTTTGCATCAAGATGCCCAGCTGATCAGTGCTTGAGCTCCTTAATGACGTTTGCACTACATTCGCCGAAGTTAGTAATTAGTATCTGTACTGTCGAGGCATATTCTCGATAACGGCAGCTTCCTTCGTCTGCTCAAAGAAAGCTAGAGGGGAATAAGGATAACGATTGGATTTACATACAGTCAATTTGTGGTGCCTCTTACTTCTACGGCATGCTACAATAGAAAATTAGTCAACTGTCAAATACAATCTTCGGTTATAATTTCTCGCTATCACTTACTCCCATGATGGACATGGTGGGAATGATCGGCGTAGTACTCGCATCTGGAGCCTTCTCTATAAGAGCAGTTGTCTGGGCAGTTGCAAGCTGCGTCTGTAATAGATAGGGAGGTTAGACTTATATTAATCCTTGGGTTTAGGAAAGGTAAACGAACACGCGTCGGAGGCAATCGGATCTCCACCTATGGCCTGGCCGGCGAAGAGGAGCGCAATAGCGGAAAACATGGCGGTTTTGAAATACATCTTGTATGGATATCGTCGAAGTGGGAATAGAGATAAAAGTATCCAGTCTTATATTTCGATGTCTTGTTGCGAGTTGAGTGTCTGGATGTTGATGGAGAAGAAGCCTCAACAACGAGCCGTCCTTGGGGTCTTTTTATACTCACTATTTTCAAGATGCGTCATGTCATTATGGCCTTGGGTCATGAGGTGAATAGCTTCTTCAATCCACTGAATAAAGTTTTTTAATGTGTTACCGTAATTGAAGCTACGAAGTCACCATCTTGGGAATTCCAAGCATCCCGTAAGTAGATGGTTTGCCACTAAAGATAGCCTTATAATATGGTAACTGTCAAGATGGGATAAAGACGGGTCCTCTTTGTATGACGATTAAACGTTACGGATACGACGTATATGAATATTCTCAAGATAGTTAAATTCATCTGAAAGATAACCCTATGAATTAAGTAGATGTCATACTATTAAAGCAGGCCTCTCAACTCAGCTATGAGTCCTAGTAGTGATTCACATGAGGAATGTTTCTAGTCTCATAGGTTATTCCTTCAATGCGGTTCTCATCTAACTTTTTAATTTCGTAATGATGACCGGTGTAACTGACGGCGTAAGGTAGATGAGCAGTATTGTGGGGATTTTTCTAGACTGGTTCTTGTTAGGATATACTTAGGTGAACTTACATGAGGGTATCCAAGAATTTTCAATGGACTTGACCTTGACTTTTAACTTTGAGTGTTTTGTTCTTTGAGGTAAAAATAGGGCCTAGGGAGAGAATAACCTGAAAAGTTTAGCCGATATTAAGCCGCTTAATTCGTAACTATGAGTCACCTGATACAAGTGGGGGTGGTATCTACATACCAATGTACCTACATGAGGTGCCCCACAACCTTAACCTAGTTGAATTCACTGCCAAGTTTCAAGTTCCCCTCACTGCAAATCATTCTTCCATTCTTGATTTAGAAACGACTTCATGCGTGTTTGCGAGTCAGATCCCCGAAGCACACTGGTTCGATCCTTTTAGCGCCTAAAATTCTGTCACCATTTTCTCCCTTTTTTCCCATGCCTGAATACCCACGTGCAAGATGGAGATTGGCCTTGACGAGCTGATCGAGTCTCTCCTAACAGAAATTGCTTTCTCTGGCGTTCGAGGTGAGTAAAATATTTGAATTTACCGAGTCTCTCGACGATTCCTATTGGGATTTGTTGAGAGCTGCTCTATTTAATCGCCTCAATCAAAGCTTACTTATTCGACTAGGATGCTCGGTTTCTACATTATTGAAGACAATAGAAGCTTTTTATAGCGGTGCTCAACAGCAGGCCAGTAATTCTGCTGCAGGGCATCGCGATGAAGGACAGAAGCCAAGCGATGCACCACAGACCAACCAGGGTGCTCGAAGTTATGATCTTTCCATGTGTTCAAAGGTCTGGGGATGGCTAGTATCAAGGGCAGACGTCTCTGTGGGCACTAATAGGCAATTCAACCATTATAAATTGGAGGATATCCTAGCTCTTCCGGAAGAGGAAGATAACCCATCCTCCGCAGAGGTAGTTGAAATATCCAAAAATCAAACTTCGACTCCACTAAATGAGCGACAACGCCCTCTAAAGAACCACCGAGGACCGGAAGGAACTTCTTCGAAGTACAGACCTCGTCTTCATGTTTCGGATGAACGGCAGTGGAAGACGATCGCTGGCCATGGCCCAGACCTTAAACGGCTACCATTATTTGAATGGAAAGCACTTGTTGATATTGCATCTGTGAGGGAGAAAGGTATTCTTCAGGGGGATTTGGTTCGGCTGTCTGGTCAAGACAAGAGATCCCTCCCCACGCGCACCGACGCTCTTGCAAAGAAGGGCTACATTATCAAACAGTCTATTATTCTTCGAGGATGTCGCTCCAGTAAACTGTGGCTTGCTCGATTTGCCGAGAGCGCAAAAGAAAATCGTGACGGCCTCAATCTTGAGAAGCTTGACTTATCAAAGGAGACTTTAACCAAAGATCTTCGGCCGGTTCCGTTTAGCGCTAGCTGGAATGGCGAGAGGCTTGATTATATAGCCATTGCGCAAGCTTTTAATGCTGTCATCAAAGCTTGGGGCATTATGAGATATTGCGATGTTCGAACCAAGTTGGATGCTAATCGTGTGCCACAAATGAGAGCCCTAGCAAAGACATCTCGGTGGTTTACCAGCATAGGAGCAGTTACGTTTGTGGCAGCAAGATTCGCGAACGGCCAGAAGCTCTTCAAAGACTGTGTCAAATTCATCAGAGAACCGACGGCTGAGGAGTGGAGAGTCTTCCGAACTACGCCAAGTGCTCATATTAGAGTCCCCTCAGCGCGACTAGGGAAAAGAGGGCAAGCGTCGCGAGCTCGATATAATAAGGGGACTAAGTTCAGTCCTCATAGCCAAGTCAAATCCAAGCAGCCATCGAGCCAAGAGCGCCAAAATAAATCATCAGATAAAGAGCAATTGGTATCATCTTTGTGGACTCCATATAAGCCTATGGTCAACACAACA